TTGAAATAATCTCAAATTTTCACAGAATGTTTAGAAACAGATCAAGAATTTATATGGAAAGTTTTATTTTTCTGTGTGTGTGTTTTCAGGTTGAGCTGTTCACTTCCAAAGAAAGTCATGTTGCGTCTTGAATCTTCTGTACACAATCACCCAACACTGTGCAGCTTCAACACAACATTTGGAAAAACTTCACCAACTGGCAAAACAAATCTGGACTTGATACCAAAACTGTGCAGAGGAAGGCTGAATCTGGATTTGTAAAGTTGTTCTCCTTACGGACTTGTTGGAGCTTTGGAAGAGTTTTTCATGAATTTGTTCTTGCTTCTCTTCTGATGTTGATGTTGATTCCAGATCCTTTAGACCTGCACAAGATCCTTCCTCTGCACAGTTTTGGTTCCAAGTCCAAATTCAATATAGTGGCGAACACATGGTAATATTCAAGTGGCACCTCCATACACAAACATCGATCAGGTTCGAGGTGCTGTCATATTTTATGGCTTATTCTGATTTAGATATTTATGAAAGTGTTGTACATCTGTCATGACATGCAAATTTGAAAAAAAAATTGTAAAAATATCAACTTATGTGAGGTAACATGATGTACATGATGTATGTGTACTTAGGGACTGAAGCTCCTTGAAAACACTAAAATGCTAATCCACATTCACATTTGTACAATAAGAAAAAATCTCTCTTGCACCTAAAAATCTGTACATTGTCCCAGTGAAATAAATAATCAAATCACTAAATACATACATATATACATAGATTAGTTGGCTTGAAAATGTTGAAAATCTAATACGGTAGTAAAAAATGTTAGTTCACTTACTTACTAATTTACAGCCAACTCTGATGCAGATAAAACACTGTACACTGTACCACTGATATAAATACTGCATAACTACATACATAAATGACATTTTATCTGGTTAGGGTTACGGTTATGTTTTTATTTCTAGAGCGTTTTTCTGTACAAAGAGTATTAGAGCTACTTGGGTTACTTGATGGAGAGAACTTGGATTTGGACTTGTCTGACAATGATGATCATATCATGGATGAAAATGACCAAACATCATCACAGGAGCAAAGCAGCAGTGAAGATGAGGCCCCCACTCAGCACAGCAGACCTAAACATTTGATGTAGTGATGTAGTTAGGGCCTCAGGGCTACATGAAGAACTGGCAGCAAATGCAAATTAACAACACTTGTTGACAGGTTCATGGGCAGGGACAGAAACAGGGGCAGAGACAGCGACAGGTTCATCCTGCACTTGCAAATGTCACTGTCAAACTCAAAAGATTGACACTGATAGTTCAGAAGATTTGGACGAACCAACACCAGGACCAAGTCAAACCAAGAAAAAGGGAGTGTCCAAACAGGGTAATCCTTATTATTTTTGTCTTTTAGTATTATTTTATGTATTTATTATCATTAATTTAATTTAGTATTATTTACACAATACATATATTGTAATAACTAAATAAATAAATATAAAGACATAAATAAATACATACATAAATAAATACTTAAATAAATATAAAAATACATATATTTTATCCTAAATCTGGTTGTGCAGGACGTGGAATTAGCTGGAAGGCAACTCCATTGACCCCAAATATTGCAGAGACATCAGGACAAAACTGATCTAGACATGACGGGACCCCACGAGACCACGGTCACAACTAGACAGAGATTTGATGGCAATGATTGCAGAATGCGCTAATGTTATGTATGTGTTTTTAATACATGCAAAATCAGCCAGGAAAAAAAAAACTGAAAATAAAGACTTTTTCTTTCCATTACTCAAAGGGGACTTTCTTGTGTTTTATGGAGATTCAGGCCAAGAGTCCACAAGTGTGGACATCAATTTTCTCCAAAAGTCATAATATCAAAATCTGATAATTAGTTTTTATTCTAATTAGGTTCCAATAATCCCAAATAGCAAAGAGAAATTAAAAATGCACGTAAAAAAACCTCTTGGGCCTTAGGAGGCTAAACTAGATCTAAACCAGGTCTAAAACCAGGTCTAAACCAGGACTGAACCAGGATTAAACCAGGACTAAACCAGGATTTAACAGGACTAAATCATGCTGCGCAGACGTCTCTTTTATCAATAATCTTTTTAATACAGTGAAGTAAAGTCTGGGCTTTTTATTGTCTTTTAGCAGATAAAACATCTTATGTTACAATGTCTTTGCTTCTCTACAGCAAACCAAGTAATCCAAAGTATTCAGATTAAGTAATTTAATGGATTACATTATAAACTACATTTTGGTGTATGTAAAGTGTAATCTGTAGGGGATTACATTTTAAAAGGAACCTGTCATGAAGAGGTAGTTTTCATGTTAGCAGTGAGTGTTTTCAGTTTGAGAGAAGAAGTCATCTTAAATGAGCAGGATTTGTGTGTTAAACATGTGTGAGTGAAACAAAACACAACTCCAGCTCTGTTTGTGATGAGGAAATGACATTAGGACAGATCAGAAAATAGAGTCATAGCGGCTCTTTAAAGAGGGTCTTGGATTTTTGTCTTTGGGAATATTAAAAAATACAACTCTGCTGGTCAGTTTTCCCTTGTGTGGTTATGTTATGATAATGAATCATTTTGAATGTTGCTTCCTTTTAATAATAAGTATTATTTATTAAAGGGCCTATCACTGTTTCTATTGTAATGTTCTATTTACAAACAGAGCTGGCTGAGCCTTATGTCCTCATGAAGACTCTTGTTGGTCCAAACACGTTGGCGTCCCTCCATGTAATAAAGAATTTTTAATATAGTCAGTGGGAGTGCCTCGGGTTTGTACCTTGCCCACTTTGACATTTTTAGTAAGGGCTACATTTTGTTAATATTTCAAGTCAACCATTGTAGACCTGCACCGCTGCTTTTTGACTTTTTTAAGACCCAGTGAAGCACTACCTCTTCTCTTCATCAGATCTGGAGTTGTGTTTTGTTTAACACACAAACCTTGCAGATTGTGTTCTTTTCTCATTAAAACACTGCTTTCCACCTTGTGATGTGGGAATACAAGAAATGTTCCCCTGTGTCTCCAAACTTCATGATCCTTCATCAGAATCATTTTGATCATTTCCGCCGTGGATTCGACTAAATTTGAAGTTTCAGCTGTTGTTGTTGTAGATCTTATCTCGACTGTACAAATGACAAAACACAAATATTCAAAAATAAAAGCAACAATGTAAGACGTTTCTAGTGTATGGAAGTTCAGTTGAGGCTAAAAATGCTGTTAACCTTAAAACTAGCACTTGATGACATCACAAGGTGGAATGGAGCATTTGGAGTTTGGGGGATGCAGATAACCTGATAATCCAATAATACTTAAAGTAGATGTGTGAATGAAACAAAACAGTTCTGTGTGTGTTTGTGATGAGCTAACAGTATTATAACATGACACGAGCTCACAAGAGTCAGTTTTGTGTAAATATAGTCTTTGATTTACTAAAGTAGATTATTATTAAAACAATATATAGAGACATGTATTAAACACGCAACATTTGGCGCACACACACTTCTCCACACACCTGTCACTGCTCTGGGTCAGGGTGAGTGTGGTGGACTAGCGCCCTCTGCTGTGCGCTCTGGGACTTTTTAAAGGTGGAACAGTGTGTGTCAGTGTGGATGGGTGCAGCAGGAACATAAGTAGGGCCTACAGATTCTATACATGCACCAAAAATCTGACATGATCTGATCCCTGGAAATAGTTACGAGTTCCATCTGTGAGAAATGTGGTTATTTCCTGATGAAAATTATGCAAAAAAAAAAAAAAAAAAGAGCAAACTAATGTGACCAAGACAGAAATGAAATAAATTGAAAGAGAAACTCACACAAGGATAGGCAGGTTTATTTGTACTGCATAATTTGTATAGAAGAGTAAAACAGACTAAGAAAGACACTGAACACAACACAAACAAATCTGATCTGATTCTTCTACATTTTAGATTTGTACTCGCTTTGCAAATGTACCCAGTGATGTGAGAATGGAACACACATCAGATCAGAGAAACTGTTTTTATTCTAGTTCAAGTTCAGTGGTTTGATTTAAGGGGACAGTGTGTGTGTGTGTCACTTCTGGTGTTGCAACACTGGAATTTTCCTATGATGGGACAAATGCAGATTCTTGTCTCTAAACGTTTGCACTTTGCCTGTCTATCATGTGTCCTGTAGTTTTACTTTGTGAAACGCCCTGAAACATCACCTCACCTTCTGACCACAGACAGTAGAACCCAGGGGTGAGCAAACTACGGCCCGGGGGCCATATGTGGCCCTTTAATCTTTTTAATCTGGCCCACCGAACTTGAAAAATAATAATAATGATGATGATTTTCAGTGTTTCAAAAGTCATTTCAATAAATAGTAATACTGTGGGATATGGGATATTTCAATAATGTAATATTGTAACATGTCATTTTTCTCTCTTATGAGGTGGATTACCAAAAAACTCCATCCATCTGCTCCTGGTGTGGCCCTTCCGACAAATTTTTGAACCCTTTTTGGTCCACAAGTTGAAAGATTTGCCCACCCCTGGTATAACCTGTCTCCACACTGCCTCCTCATTCCCTCATTTCTCTCATGTACAACTCTGTCCATCAGCTTCTGAATCATTTGGATGAACGGATGGGCCAGTTTAAGATAAGGATTGTGATTTATTCTTTTTACACACTTGTTTTGTGGACACCTTGGTCTTGGTATGTCACATGTGACCACTTTATGTACTGTGCTTATAGAAAACAGTTCAGTGGACAGAACACACTTTGATTAGTGATGTCACCCCTCTGCTGGCAACAAACCAAAAAAAAAAAGTTCCATGTGTCCAACCCAACCAAGGTGAAGGCCTCATCTCACACAAACATAACTCTGAATTTAAAGCCCCCCAACCCAGCTCGTCAGGTTCACGTGATACTACAGACAAAACCCATTTTGTATTTAACTTTAGGTCAGTCAGTCTCTTAGCAACACTTTCATTTGGAAACTGCAAAACTGTCCACTCTGCAGCAAAATGCCTTTTTTATTTAATCAATTTGCAGACATAGATTTATGTGGGACATTATAAATTCAAAGGTCCTTGACTCAAAATACATTTTTCTCTCATCTTAAGATTTTGACAGATTGTACTAAGGATTTATTGATATCTAATTCCAAGCCTGATTTATTGAAGTTTAACTCCAAATGAAGCAAGAAATTTAAACCTGGGTTTGTCCATTTTTCAGTCTCAAATATGTCACATTTTGGCAATTACATCACATGATGAAAAACCTATACACACACCTTTTTACTTACAATGATGTAAAACTACACAATAAGTTTCATATTGGACTCTCTAAATATAAGATTTCTTTCTTATTCATTTGCTGTGTCTCGCCTTAAACGTTCCAACAAACAAAATATTTTTACCATATTTTTAATACAAACAAAAATCCCACACAGTTTACAGTACACATGGCCCCTGCTGGTTCATGCCGTCCGTCCTCTTCCTCCACTCTTGGGATGGGCCTTGTGGACAAAACTGACTACTGAGTTTTTGAAGAGTCAGGATATTCAGGATAAGAGAAGATATTCAGCCAATTCCTAAATGTGCTAAAACCTGACTTATCTGAACGATACAACAGGTCCATTTGGGCTTTTTTCAGCTATTTTATACAGCTTTATATAATATTATCCACCATTTGATGTACTACCTAGGAACAAAACCGAAGGCCACAGCAGAGAGGCCAACCTGAGCTGAGCTGTGCTGCCCCTCACTGCGCTTCAACCATGGGTCTGGCTCTTCTGTCCTTTCCCTTTTTCTTTCTTCTTCTTCTTCTGGAGGGGTTTGCTCTTTTTGGGTGGACTGTCCTGGACAGATACTGTCCCTGCTGGTCGCTTCTTCGCCTTCTTCTTAAAGTCCTTCCTAGAGTCCTTCTTAGACTCCTTCTTAGAATCCTTGTTGCTCTGCTTGTGGGCCTCTTGGATGTTGCCTGTGGAGTCTGTGGTTTCCAGGACTTTGCGTTTCTTACGTTTTTTAGTCTCCGGTAAGAAGCCTTTCTTCTTCCTTTTGGGAGCAGTCTTTGGCTCGTCTGCCGGGTTTGGCTTAACCTTTTCAGCTTTAGGTTTCCTGACAAAAACAACAGGAAATTCAGTCTCTTCACAAACACGATCAGACACAGACGCAGCAGTAAAAGGGCCAGGTACCTACAGGACTCCAAACCTCCTCATCACAGCCCAATACGTGTCCTCCAGGCGGCCCGTCCGGTTCAAGTTCACGGTGCTGCTCAGCTCCTGCAGAGAAGTCTGCAGTGGCTCCAGGGACAGAGGCAGCTTCTGAACACAAAACCACGCACAGAAACACAAGTCAACAACATGGGCCAAAGTCTAAGTTCTGTGGTCACCTGTCTGTGGGTGTGTCTGTAGTTGTGTGTATAGGCTGAGCACACTCACCTGTCTGTGGGCATGTCCCAGAACACACTGACACAGCTCCAGGACTTGTTGCAGTTTGTCTTTCAAGGCCTTCTGCTCGGAGCCACACATCTGCTGCACACTCTGGAACAAAGGAGCACTTTGTGAGACATGGACTCACAGCAGATCAGAAGGTCTGTGGAGGGTCTGTGTGTGCGTGTGTAGAGGGTCAGTGTGTGTAGAGGGTCAGTGTGTGTAGAGGGTCAGTGTGTGTAGAGGGTCAGTGTGCGTGCGTAGAGGGTCTGTGTGTGTAGAGGGTCTGTGTGCGTAGAGGGTCTGTGTGTGTAGAGGGTCTGTGTGTGTAGAGGGTCAGTGTGTGTGCGTAGAGGGTCAGTGTGTGTGCGTAGAGGGTCAGTGTGTGTGCGTACAGTCCCTGACAAAAGTCTTGTCACTTATCCATTTTGTAGAAACAAAAGCTTATAACCTGACTTTAACTTAATCGATTGGTTTTAGAAATGTCTCATATGAAGCTAAAACCCTCCCAAATTATGCTCAATAAACTAAAATAAATTTGCTTCACTGAAGAAAGATTGATCATTTAATGAACACAGAAAGGTCAGATTTTGGCAAGACAAAAGTTTTGTCGCCTACAGAAAATTTAACAAATAATTTACTTCAAATACAAAAATATGTTGCATAACGTCAGTGAATGAAGTAGTGGTGCTGTGAGATCCATATTTAATATCTTGTGTGACTCCATGAGCTTGAAGGACGCATCCATGCAGTTCGACAATGATTCATACAATTTGTTGATGAAGTCATCAGGAATAGCAAAGAAAGCGTCTTACATGCCTCCCAGAGTTCATCAAGATTCTTTGGTTTTGCCTTCCATGCTTCCTCTTTCATTCTACCCCAGACATGCTCAATGATGTTCATGTCTGGTGACTGGGCTGGTCAGTCCTGGAGCACCTTGATCTTCTATCTCTACATCAAAGTTTCTCAAGGCGAAGAAGTATGTGATGAAGCACCATCCTGATGCAAAATTTGACCCCTTTTATGGTTGGGAATGTAAGAGGAGCTAATACTTCTTGATATTTTAGGTTATTGATATTGTCTTCCACCCTGCAAATGTCTCGCACAGCCCCATACTGGATGGAACCCCAGACCAGGATTTTTCCACCACCAAACTTTACTGTTTTCTGGGTGAATCTTGGATCCATGCGGCTCCAGTAGGTCTCCTGCAATATTTTCATCGGCTGTGATGTAATTCAACTGAGGATTCATCTGAGAAATCCACCTTCTGCCACTTTTCCAGTGTCCATCCTTTTAGCAGGCTGTGGGCCTTGGCAAATGCCACACAGTTTTTTAATTGCCTTTTGTTTAGTGCTGGTTTCTGTGCACTGATTCGACCATGGAGGCCATTTCCAGACAGAATTCTACAAACTGTTGTGGTTGACACAGGGACTTGAGGTGACCAGGCCTGGTGGAGTCTGCTGCAGTGGAAAAGGGGCCTTGGATTTTCGAATCAACAAACGGTCCTCCCAAGCAGTTGTCTTGTGGGGTCTGCCGGACCTGGGCTTGTCAAAAACATCTCCAGTCATTTCAGATCTTTTTCTTATTCTTTGTACTTGACGCTGAGACACATTGAAGGTGTCACCACCTCAGCAGTGGATCTGGTCTTCAGCCTCTTGATAATTAAGGCTTTGGTCTCAGGGTGGATCTTAGGCATGTTGTCAGAGGTCAAGTTGCAGTTGATGTGAAGGTCTGGTGTGCTGGGTTCTTTTTATACACACCCACTAATTGATTGATCAGTAACTGATCACAGATGAGGCTGTAATCTAGGATTGGGTGCATCATATGACAAGGCCACAAGACTTCTGTCTTGCCAAAATCTGACCTTTCTGTGTTCATTGAATGATCAATCTTTCTTCAGTGAAGCAAATTTATTTTAGTATATTGAGCATAATTTGGGAGGGTTTTAGCTTCATATGAGACATTTCTAAAACCAATCGATTCATTTAAAGTCAGGTTATAAGCTTTTGTTTCTACAAAATGGATAAGTGACAAGACTTTTGTCAGGGACTGTAGAGGGTCAGTGTGCGTGTGTAGAGGGTCAGTGTGCGTGTGTAGAGGGTCAGTGTGCGTGTGTAAAGGGTCAGTGTGCGTGTGTAAAGGGTCAGTGTGCGTGTGTAGAGGGTCAGTGTGGGTCAGTGTGCGTGTGTAAAGGGTCAGTGTGGTCAGTGTGCGTGTGTAGAGGGTCAGTGTGCGTGTGTAGAGGGTCAGTGTGGGTCAGTGTGCGTGTGTAAAGGGTCAGTGTGCGTGTGTAGAGGGTCAGTGTGCGTGTGTGGGTCAGTGTGTAGAGGGTCAGTGTGCGTGTGTAGAGGGTCAGTGTGCGTGTGTAGAGGGTCAGTGTGCGTGTGTAGAGGGTCAGTGTGCGTGTGTAGAGGGTCTGTGGAGCTCACCAGCACCAGCTGGTCTGTGACTCTGGTGCAGAGCTGGGTCCAGGGGTCACCAGTGAGCAGCATCTGCACGTCCCGGTTCTGCAGCGCCTGCTGCACTAGCACACACGCCTGGCCCTGCACACAACACAAGGGTTAACAAGGCCAGTCTGCATGAACAACACATGCACGAGGACAACTACACGAAATATTAGGGATGGGCGATATGCTGGTTCCAGTATCAGTATCGATACCGATATCAATACATATTTTTTGTGCTTCCCCATTCTGTGTGGGTCCTTTTTGAGCCGATTAAGGAGTAAAATTGGAAACAGAATGTTTACACAAACATGTAATAATTATGTATTCGAGACAAATACATTTTGTTCCATTATTTTTACAAAAGCGAAGAGTTCATTTTAACCTTACTTAAACTAATTAATTTGTGGGTCTCGCTATGGATTGTAAATGTGAAATATCAGTATTGGCAAATATCAGATATTGGCAAAAAAAAACAACACTAAAAACAAAAACAGAGAAATCCCTATTGGCCCATCCCTAATAAATATGGACGAAAACTAGGAATTTTGGACTTAAGCAAAATAGTCCTAGTGAAAAAAGGAGCGGTACCCGCTGATGTTCCCTGACGCCTGCAGTGATGTTTTCAACAGCTGTGTCCAGGAGGTCCACACACAGCACCTGAAACAGAGCAGCACTTCAATCAGGCCCCGCCCACACCACTAAAACAATGGTAATGATCTGAGCATAAAGTGCTGCTGGTTCAGATCACATCCCAGGGCGGGTGATTCAAGTATGTTTTGACAATGGCAATGTTCTGAAGAATTGTGAGCACTGAAAGCTGTGGTGAGGCGCACTGACCGGGAAGCGTGTGAAGAGGTCAGAGAACATCTGCGTGGTGAGCGGGGTCTTCCTGCGGCTGAAGAAGGAACTGAGGGCAGCTCTGAACAGGGACGACACTCGCTGCTGGTCCACACTGCCCATCCAGCGCACCTGGACAGAGGGTCAGACACACGGCTCACAAACAATTCTCCTGCTCTATACGGACGGTCTACACCAGGTCTGGAATTTTTGAGAAACTGGGGCCAGTCCAAGTCTAAAAGAGCCCTATACTATTGTCACAGTATTTCTAAATAAGAAATTACAGAATGAAGTGTAACATGCTTTGATTTGCCTGAAATGATCCACAGTATGGCTTTAGCGTAATATATTCTCTTTAAAATAATGATTACATATTGTGTTTGGACTCACCTCGCCACAGAGCTGATCCACAATTTACTCTGGTTTGCATCACCTGCTTGTCTCCATGGAAACAGGCTCAATATCATACTGTAGAACATTCCAGCAAAAGCAATAACCCAGAGGTGGACTTTCCCACATGCTAAGTTACATAGTGCAGCTTTAAATACTTTGAATCTCATAAAGTCAATATGTTCAAATTAAACAGAACATTTGCTGTGAACAACTGTAAAGCTGATTTATTCTTAAAAGTAAAAACACTGGATATGATGGTCCAGTTAATAATGCTATGCTCTGGTTGTGTTGTGACAAATATAAACAGGGCTGGTGTCCTTACGCTGTCTGCAGTGTCCTCCTCTGAGTCTTTGGACGGAGGAGCTCCTCGCAGCACTTTGACCAGGTACAAACAGGCACTACAGGACACAGCACAGCAGTCACGCCAAACAAACACATGGTTGAAATGTGAGCACAGGCTTGAAGTACCTGAAGTAGTAAAGGGCCACAGAGGAGTCGTGCAGCTTGAGGGTCTTGTGGAGCAGTGTCTCCAGCAGATCATGCAGCTCCTGAGTCCTGTCCTCCACACAGCGGCAGTACACTTTAGCACGGAACAACTTGTTTCTACAAATGTACAAACAATGATCACAACTCTCACATCTACAGTGCAGTGAAGGGAAGCCATTTTAACTTGAGTCATTGCAAAATGAAAATGGATTTTATAGTCTAAACATCTGTGGTCTAGTAACCAGGGACGCCTCAGCCTGGTGTCCCTGGTTTCATGTAACTGGGGCCATCATGCAGGTTCCTCTTCCTCTCCTTTCTGCAGGACGCCAGCCGAATAATTTCATATGAAATATTGTTTAATTATATAATTTTTATTCAAGCAGCAAAACATAAGGGCTATAATTAATATTAAAATCATATGGCCTGATTCTCTGTAAAAACTGCTGTGCCTGCAGTTGAAATCTCTACAGATGCATAGATTTTCAACTAGTCTAGTTGTTTAAAATGGTCATAAACTGGCAGTTCAAACCTTAATTTAACAAAATAGTGATGTTGTCATTCATTTGAATTAGTCTAATAGGTGGATTCCACATCATCATGCAGCAGAATTGCCTCTAATGAAGGATCATGTCTGATCATAATGAAGGATCTGTTCATGGCAGTGATGCAGTGGGCTGAGTCAGAGGAGAGAATACATAGAGACCACCAGTCTGTGACACAAAAGTCCTTATTTAAGACCAAAATAACTTTCACCCCAAAACAAGAGCGCAAACCACTACTGTACTAAATGAGATAGCTCTTTAGCTCACATCACCAGTTTCTATGTGTTTTTCTCCTCCCCAGGGGCAGTTAGGCAATGAAGTGACATGGAACCCAACTCAAAACAACAATATAATATCTACTATGGGTCATCTGATGTAAATAAAGCCCAGTTCTGAACAGTGGAGCTTGATCAGGCCTGAAACCGGCAGAGAACAAAATACTTTATCCATAATTTTGTGGGAGGACAGTGCAGTGGGTAATCCAGTGGGTGGGGCAGTGGGCGGGGCACAGGTGTAGCACTGATCATTCTCTAAAAGAGGTGAGCAAGTACTGTGTAGTGTGAGACGCAGCACAGAGGAACAGAGCTGCAGGATGTGAAATCGAACCATCATTTTAAGTATTGTACAATTTAGAGAAGTGTTGGCCCTGGTTTAACATTAGGGTTTCCAGGTAACTGGTTTGGAATTACCTCTATGTATGTCATATCTGCTGCCTGTATCCAAACAGGAACTAGACTTGTAAACTCCAAAATGAAAGGAGGCAAGATTTCTGGTGAAATTTGTCGACCCTGCCATATGCACTTGAAATCATGATCATGAGTGAATGCTGTGTGCTGTGGTACCTGAGGATGTGGGCCGTCCTGCGGAGGAGGTCCTGCTCGTGCAGCTCTCTGTCTGAGCCCATGCACCTCTCAATCAGAGTGAGCAGAGGCTGCACCAGGGACAGCACCAGGGGACTGCCACACTGACGGGACACATATACTTCCACCAAGTCCAGAACCTGAGGAGGACACATTCAGCTGAGAGAGGGAGGCAGAGGACAGACAGAGGTGGAGGGTGGACAGGGTGGGTGCAGGAGAGGAACAGGGTGGGTGCAGGAGAGGAACAGGGTGGGTGCAGAGGGGGGACAGCGTGGGAAACTGCTGTACCTTGATTTTAAAGTCCCGAATGAGGAGCTTCTCCTTCTTGAGTTTGGACTTCTCGTCCTTCTTGGCCTGGGTCTTCTTCTTCTGCTCAGAGAAGACTGCAGCCAGGCTCTGATCCAGCTTCATCATCTCCTCATCGCCCAGGTCCTCGTCCCCACTGCTGTCCTCCTCTTTGGCCTGTGCATACAGACACACACACACACAGACACACACACAGACACACACACAGACACACACACAGACACAGAAACAAGCGGAAACACTGTTAACCCCCCGAGGCAATTTCTGCAGACCTGAGGAGCTGCAAGACAAAAGGTACTAGTAGAACAAAGAAAACTTCTGTACACCCAAACAGAAAAGCTGGGTTGCCAAAGGTATCAAAAATCTGATTAATTAATATTAAAACTAGTATTGAAACTAGACACTAATTTGAGCAGGTATCGATACTAAAAAAGTCCCATTCACAGGACAGAAATTACGCTTTCTTGAATCGTTTTAGAATGATATTGAGTTGTATCAGAACAAGTGTCAGAGCACATAGACTAGTACACACATGGACCAACATGAACCTACTGCACAACTGACCATTACACACACATAACACACAAGGGAATAGAAAAAAAATACCATTGTCATGGTATCGGCATTGGTATCGGTATCAAGTCTATTCCTTAGCATTGAAATGTTTGTATGGTGACAACACTAGCTAAAGAGATGAAGAGCAGATATATCGGTCACACGGACAGAGGGGTACGAGGGGCAAAGGGCATGTGCCACTGACCAGAGCATTCTGCTGCTCCAGGACCTTCATGAGGCGCAGGCGAAACTCCGGGTCCACGTCCTCCTGGAGCTCCTCTTCATCCTCATCTTCATCATCATCAGCGTCAACATTCTCTTCATCGTCCAAGTCCGAGCCAGAGCCCTCCTCCTGAAGACACATCATTCAATAGAACACAGAAAAACAATGAACAGGCACCGCACGAGCCCTGGTTTTTCATTCTGACCTTTAAATCGACCAGCTGTCATTTAAATGTAGTCAGTCCAACCTAGAACACATTTACCCCTCACCTGCCCTCCTCTTCCTCCTCCCCCTCCCCCACACACCACCCTCCTCTTCCTCCTCCCCCTCACTCATACACCACCCTCCTCTTCCTCTTACTCTCTCACATGCACACCACCCTCCACCTCCCCTCTCTCACGTGTGTTCCCTCTTCCTTTCTTACCCATGTGCCCTCCTCCTCCTCTTGTACCTGTGAGCCCTCCTCGCCCTCCTCGCCCTGCTCCTCTTTGTCCTCTTCCTCCTCTTCTTCCTCTTCCTCTCTGCTGAGGCCTGGGTTGTCGTCAGTGATGAGGAGTGCGCTGTCCGCCTCGTCCAGCTCTGGTTCCAGTACCTGAGCAGTGACCACACACATGGTTAATGTGTTTGGTGCTACAGCAGAATGGTGGAGAAAACAGCAACCAGTCTATGAGATCATGTGATTTAAAACCATAAGAGTTGTTTAAACATGGAATTTATTCATAATATTAAAATCTGAATGATTTTATTTTTAAATTGTCAGTGGTTTGAACACACATGTGTTGAGCTGTGTCACTGTGTATATCAGGAAGGTTTTTATTTCTACAGCGCTTTTCACAGGCATTTGTCACAAAAACGCTTTACAGAGCATTATTCACTCACTCCATATCTGCCCTGGGGCAGACTCACTGAAGCGCGTCTGTCGTGTGAATCGGCTCCATTGGTACCTCCGACCACCACCACCATCGCTCACACACACACCACTTCACATCATTTTGATCAGTCCACTAGTCAAAAAGTGGAGCTCACTACAGTTCTACTGAAAGAACTATATTATTTTATTATCATTTCACTACCATTTTCACAACCACTCACCTTGTCATGTGTCATGTATATGTCTGCATTATTGTACAATAGGCTCTGCTTTGCTCTAATGACATAAGATTGCATCATCTTCTCAGTTCATTCATTTGTTAGATATCAGAGCATCACTGACAAATGAGTGTTCACATGTCTGAATGAACAAGACCTGCGCTGTGTCAATGCTTCTGCAATGCTTTTTAAAAGACAAGATGGTACTATAGAATGCACCAACACACATTTCCAACACTGTGTCACACAGTGTTGGAAATGTGTTACACACTCACCTTGAGGCCACATTTACCCATCACTAGACCGCTGACATACCTTGAGGATGGCGCTGAGGGCGGGCTCGGTGATGTGAGGACACACAGAACTGAAGACCATCTTGCAGACCTGCCTCATGTGTCTGCTGGGTTGAGACAGCAGAGACAGCAGCAGCTCCACCAGGACCTCGATCCAGGCGGGCTCCTCCTCCTCGCCTATAAGCACACACACAGTAAGTGGAACAACAAAATGATCACAAATAGTCTGATCAGTGTATGGACTTAAAAATAGGAGCATTTCCTGGAATAACACCTAATGACATCACAAGGTGGAAGTATTTACTAAACTCAGTATGCAGGAATGAAACAAAGTTCAATTTTAAGGAGGGCATTATGATTGTGATGAAGATTTTAGACTTTAGACTTTTCAGACTTTAGAAGCATAATTTCCTGACTTAATCACAGGTGTTAAGACATTGTGGTGGATCTCTAACTCCAAACTGAAATAAATGAAGACTATCACCAAAGACCATCACAGTGAGACTGCGCACTCACCTGGTTTGCTGCGGCGCTTCTTCTTGTTGGCGCGCTCCACACAGCTCTGCAGGTCACGGATGATGTCCAACATCTCCTCAGGGGCCTAGAGAACACAGACATATGCTTTAAACATTCAATCTGTCAAGGCTAATGCACCAAATTCCAGTTTTTCACATTAAATGGATTTGGGCAGGAAGTTTAACAGCAGTTTCGGAGCTTGTTTGCGCAAATGACAGCAATATGTAAAAATTACAAATTTCCCAAATTCTGAGCAATTGTGGCTATGTTACAGAGACCGTAAAAATTGTGTAAAAAAAACTCTGATATCTTCTAATGTACCACACCTTGATGTGTTTGCCTGAAAATCCAGAAGGATATCTGTGTATTTGTTCTACAGATCCATATCAGCCATTGCTACAACCATGAGTCTGGATTTTTCCAGGCAAATAATGTGCACCAATCTGAGCCTGTTCGGGTGAACGCTCTAGGAGGAGTTTGTAAAAGTTAGATGTTGACAAAAAATGTTAAGTCAGATTTAATCAAATATGGGTGACCTTTGGTGGAGCAGACGCCGTTGGCGTAATGATATTTTTTGTTATTGTTTTGTCGTGATCGACTTCTGTTTGTTTTTTTTGTGTCGTTCACGGACGTGCCATTTTGTTTATTTTTAGAAAATGGAAATAGCCAAAGCACGAGTTTTAATAGATGGCAAAATTGTGTGAGTTTGCCATTGTTGCTGGGTGAGTTGGTTAGAAAAAAGAAAGAAAGAATAATATTCTGTTATGAGAACAAGGTTCCGCTTTTCTTTTTAGCTAATAAACTATGCATTTATTAGCTGCCCTGGAACAGACTGAAAAATGTTTTTTCTCTCATATACCAGTTTTATTTTGTCTTATTACAAAAAATAACAAATAAAATGGGTTTCAATATTATAATATTCAACATTATATTATATTATATAAACAATATAGACAATACAGTCCCTGACAAAAGTCTTGTCACTTATCCACTTTGTAGAAACAAAAGCTTATAACCTGACTTTAAATTAATCGATTGGTTTTAGAAATGTCTCATATGAAGCTAAAACCCTCCCAAATTATGCTCAATAAACTAAAATAAATTTGCTTCACTGAAGAAAGATTGATCATCTAATGAACACAGAAAGGTCAGATTTTGGCAAGACAAAACTTTTGTCGCCTACAGAAAATTGAACAAATAATTTACTTCAAATACAAAAATATGTTGCATAACGTCAGTGAATGAAGTAGTGGTGCTGTGAGATCCAGATTTAATATCTTGTATGACTCCATGAGCTTCAAGGACTACATCCATGTGGTTCAACAATGATTCATACAATTTGTTGATGAAGTCATCAGGAATAGCAAACAAAGCGTCTTACATGCCTCCCAGAGTTCATCAAGATTCTTTGGTTTTGCCTTCCATGCTTCCTCTTTCATTCTACCCCAGACATGCTCAATGATGTTCATGTCTGGTGACTGGGCTGGCCAGTCCTGGAGCACCTTGATCTTCTTCGCCTTGAGAAACTTTGATGTAGAGATAGAAGTATGTGATGGAGCACCATCCTGCTGCAAAATTTGACCCCTTTTATGGTTGGGAATGTAAGAGGAGCTAATACTTCTTGATATTTTAGGATATTGATATTGTCTTCCACCCTGCAAATGTCTCGCACAGCCCCATACTGGATGGAACCCCAGACCAGGATTTTTCCACCACCAAACTTAACTGTTTTCTGGGTGAATCTTGGATCCATGTGGGCTCCAGTAGGTCTCCTGCAATATTTTCATCGGCTGTGATGTAATTCAACCGAGAATTCATCTGAGAAATCCACCTTCTGCCACTTTTCCAGTGTCCATCCTTTTAGCAGGCTGTGGGCCTTGGCAAATGCCACACAGTTTTCTAATTGCCTTTTGTTTAGTGCTGGTTTCTGTGCACTGATTCGACCATGGAGGCCATTTCCAGACAGAATTCTACAAACTGTTGTGGTTGACACAGGGACTTGAGGTGACCAGGCCTGGTGGAGTCTGCTGTAGTGGAAAAGGGTCTGGCCTTGGATTTTCGAATCAACAAACTGTCCTCCTAAGCAGTTGTCTTGTGGGGTCTGCCGGACCTGGGCTTGTCAAAAACATCTCCAGTCATTTCAGATCTTTTTCTTATTCTTTGTACTTGACACTGAGACACATTGAAGGTGTTACCACCTCAGCAGTGGATCTGGTCTTCAGCCTCTTGATAATTAACACTTTGGTCTCAGGGTGGATCTTAGGCATGTTGTCAGAGGTCAAGTTGCAGTTGATGTGAAGGTCTGGTGTGCTGGGCTTCTTTTTATACACACCCACTAATTGATTGATCAGTAACTGATCACAGGTGAGGCTGTAATCTAGGATTGGGTGCATCATGTGACAAGGCGACAAGACTTTTGTCTTGCCAAAATCTGACCTTTCTGTGTTCATTAAATGATCAATCTTTCTTCAGTGAAGCAAATTTATTTTAGTATATTGAGCATAATTTGGGAGGGTTTTAGCTTTCATATGAGACATTTCTAAAACCGACCAATTAATTTAAAGTCAGGTTATAAGCTTTTGTTTCTACAAAATGGATAAGCGACAAGACGTTTGTCAGGGACTGTACACATTTTAGCCACATTTCTTCCTTCAAAGTCTGAAGGTCCAAGTCACATGTTTTTACTGACAGGATTAGCTGTAGAGCTTTCCATTCAAAAGCGTCAGCCATTTCACCTGGATCGATTGCATAGCCCTGGTTTGTATGCACATGCCACAGTTCACATATGGGCTATAGCAGGTTTTGTAGTAGAGTAATAGTTATTTAAACATGGAACTTATACATAATATTAACAGCTGCTTTAAATTTGGATATTCTGTATTAGTGGCAACATAGGAGCATTAAAATAGTTTAGGATTAGGGTTTAGGCTAAGATTAAGGTCAAGGTTATGATTAGACAAGTAGTGACTATTGTTAAGGTTAGGATCAGTCTCCAGGAACTTAATGGAAGTCCAGATAATGTCCCCAGGAACTATGGACACCTGACATGCTGTAAGTGTGCGCGAGTGTGTGCGTGTGCATGCGAATGTGTGCGCGAGTGTGTGCGTGTGCGTGCGAATGTGTGCGCGAGTGTGTGCGTGTGCGTGCGAATGTGTGCGTGTGTGTGTGCGAGTGTGTGCGAATGTGTGCGTGTGTGTGTGCGTGTGTGTGTGCGCGAGTGTGTACGTGTGTGCACGAGTGTGTGCGTGTGCATGTGTGCGCGAGTGTGTGCGAATGTGTGCGTGTGTGTGTGCGTGCGAGTGTGTGCGTGTGTGTGTGCGTGCGAGTGTGTGCGAATGTGTGCGTGTGTGTGTGTGTGTGTGTGCGCGAGTGTGCGTGAGTGTGTGTGAGTGTGTGCGTGTGTGCACGAGTGTGTGCGTGTGCATGTGTGCGCGAGTGTGTGCGTGTGCATGTGTGCGCGAGTGTAAGCGTGTGTGTGCGAGTGTGTGCATGTGTGCGCGAGTGTGTGCATGTGTGTGCGCGAGTGTGTGTGCATGTGTGCGCGAGTGTGTGTGCATGTGTGTGCGTGAGTGTGTGTGCATGTGTACGCGAGTGTGTGTGCATGTGTGCGCGAGTGTGTGTGCATGTGTGCGCGAGTGTGTGCGTGTGCATGTGTGCGCGAGTGTGTGCATGTGTGTGCGCGAGTGTGTGTGCATGTGTGCGCGAGTGTGTGTGCATGTGTGCGCGAGTGTGCGTTTGTGCACGAGTGTGTGTGTGTGTGCGCGAGTGTGTGTGCATGTGTGCGCGAGTGTGCGTTTGTGCACGAGTGTGCGCGTGTGTGCGCGAGTGTGCGTTTGTGCGCGAGAGTGTGCATGTGTGCGCGAGAGTGTGTGTGCATGTGTGCGCGAGTGTGCGTGTGCACGAGTGTGTGCGTGTGCACGAGTGTGCGCGTGTGTGCGCGTGTGTGCGCGAGTGTGCGCGTGTGTGCGCGTGTGCGCGCGAGTGTGCGCGAGTGTGTGCGTGTGCGAGTGTGCGCGTGTGTGCGCGCGAGTGTGCGCGTGTGTGCGCGCGAGTGTGTGCGTGTGTGCGCAAGAGGTACCTTGAAGAGGTGGAGGCCGACCAGGAGGAAGAGCTGCAGGAAGGCCTTGTTCTCTGGGCTCGGAACTTTCTTCATCTTCTTCCTGAGGCTGGACACAGACTGCAGCAGGCTGAGGACAGAGCACATGTTTAGAGGAATTAAACACACATGCTCAGCTTTAGCAACCATTTTAAAGTCAGCTCAGAATGAAATAAGCTTGGCAATGGCATATTAGGGCCCCATATGGATCATTTGGATAGGCTATGTAAAGTTGGAATGTAACAGTTCTGGTGTTAAGAAGTAATTGTATGTAGAAGTAATTATATGAAATGTGTAAACAGTGATTTATCAGCAGGGGCAATAAGTGATTGGGAAAGACTGATTTCAGATACATGTACAGTTGTGCTTCATGTTGTGGAATGTTTCAGTAGTTTAGCCCGAGCTGCACTAATATGACGAGGGCCCCCAAACCACATTTTGCTTTGGGCCCCTTGAAGGTTACACCCGTCTGTCTGGAATAGCAGCATTCAAGAATAAACCAAATAGGGCTTGCGTGATCTAAATACATTTCATATAATCTAAATGGTTTGATTCAAAAATGTGCATGTATTTAGCGTGGTGATAAAGGTTCTTCTTTAGAATGAGGTATGGCACAAGTTGGTTGAATTGAAACATTGAAAAAAATGTCTTTGTGTTTCTGAAGCTCCTGAATAGCCAGTAAAATAGATTTGTGGACTGTCAAACTCAGTGACTGATTTCAAAGGTTCTGGCCTTTCAGCAGATTCAGATTTTTGCCAAACATTGTCATTTTTTTAATTAAAATTGCCACACCAACATTTCAAAAAAAGTTGTAGTGCTATGAACAAGTCTCTCCATGTCCGAGCACCAAAGTCCATCTGTGACATGTTAGTGTCATATGAACATCTCACACTCTGAGAAGCTCAGGGACCAACTCCTGCTGGTGCCCAGAGTCACAACTAAACAAGGGGAGTCAGAGTTTCAGGTTCATGCAGCTAAAACCTGGAACAGTCTGAACATGTGAGACAGACTCTTCTGTGACGCTGTTTAAATCCAGACTCTAAACATTTGTTTAACTGTGCATATAACTGAAAGGTTTTCATTCCACACTCTTCTCTCCAATTTATGTCTCTCTTTTTTAATTTTAATCTTTATGATTATTTATGTTTTGATTTGTTTTTATTATGATTTTAATGTATTTCTTATGTAGTAAAGCACTTTGAATTACTTTGTGTACGAACTGTGCTATACAAATAAACTTTCCTTGCCTTGAAGCTTGAAGCACATTCACAATGACATATATGAACGCCTGTACACTTCCTTTATCAGACAATTAGATGCACCGCACATATGTACTTATTATAAAAGTACCTGTCCCAGGCGTCCCTCTGCGCGGGGCCGAATGCAGGGCCTGGCTCCACATGCTGCTGCTGCTGCAGGAGCATCTGAGCAAACTCAAAAATGTGACAGATCCACATGCTGCCATCCGCCCGCACGCCCTGTGGCCTCCTGTGGGGGGCACTCTCCTCCTCTGTGCCCTGCTCCTGGGGCAGGTGGTGCAGGGACAGCAGCAGGCTGGAGAGCAAGGCACTCAGTCACAACAGAGATGACAAGGGGAGGGGCTTACACAGCGGGAGGGAGCAAAGAAAGGGACTAACAAGACAAAAAGAGGGGCTTACAAGAAAACAAGGGAAGACAAGTACCAGACAATGGGAGGAGCTCACAAAATAAGAGGGTTTACAAAACAAGGGGAGGGGCTTAAAAAAACAGGGCTGTACAAGACAGAGGGAGTGGCTTACAAAAAAGAGATGGGTTAGTTCTGAATACATCAAATCATAGCTCCTAGCTCCCAACGCCTTTACCTCTGGAGCTATGTCCAGGGGGTCAACCATAAAAGTTACTAGGCAGAGAGAAGGAGCTTCAGCTGCGTTTGGAAAATCTGACCATTGTTCCCGTGGTGGGAACAATGGAGACGCCACGTGACCCTACAGCTGTTTAATAAAAAACTACAACACTCACAAAAAGGGCCTACAATAAGCGCTCCTCATTCTCCTCTACTGCTCTAGTTTTAATGCAAATCTCAGCATAACATAAACGTGTACATTTTATAAATGACCTGTCTGCTCATGAGGTGAATAAAATAGCTCTGCAATAAACCCAACAGACAGTACCTGTGAACATGAACTACCTCAACATCTCAACACACACATATGCACAGAAGAGAATAAATATATTCTACAGACTCACCAGCTGCAGCCTGCTCTGCCCTCTGTCCCAACAAATATTTCACCAAATGTCCTTTAGTCCATTTGCAGTGGAACACGGTGTGCACAGGCTCCATCAGCACCTCCCTTCTGTTATCCCCCTTATGTCATGATGTAGTCTACAGATAAGTGTAAGCTGTGCTGGCCTTAAAAGTGTTTATTTTCATTCTTATATAAAGTTGTGTTTGTCCAAATATTTCTATAACATCTGAGGCAATGAAACTTTTAAAGCATTACAAATTCTTCATAGAGATCGGCCCAGTTCAGAAAGCTTAGGGAAAAATGTGCACTGGATTGTGGGATGCCTCATAGTTCTGTACGGCTGGTTAAGAAGCTCCTGAAGTTCCTCTGCTAGAGGACATATGAAAGGAAGCATGCAGGTTCTTTTTCCTAACATCTTCCTAACTCCTAAGACAGTCCTCATCATGGCAGGCGGTGACGCACATCTGGTTTTGGCTTAAGGAGCTAGGAGATAAGAGGCCAGTTTGATGTATATGGAACTACCCATGGTCTTAGAAAAAGGATAGGGGCTTACAAGACAGGGGGAGGGGCATCCTGATATGACAAACTGAAAGCAGTTCATGTAGACAAACATTTTCCTCAGAGTCCCATAGAGGTCTAATGCTGAGGAGGGAGGGATCTGGAGCTGTACCTGAAGAATGAGTTTGCCATTGTGGCCCTGGTTTCCTCCTGAAGGGGCACAGACAGCTGCTCTGCGCTCTCTGGCACCTCTGCACACACCGCTGTGGTCGAGAAGAAGGCGTGGAACAGCAGGAACCTACAGAGGGAACACACAGCCTTATCGTCGCACATCATGCAGAAAGCACAAACCATACACCGAAGAAGAGTAAAGAAGAAACAAGTAGAAACAGGTGGACTAAGCGAGTGTGACATCATGACCTCAGCCTTAGTGTCCAGCCAAGTGAAGTCAATCGAGGCCTGCAGTTATAAGGATGAATTTGGAGACAAGTTCCATATTTTGAATTCTGACAGCAAGTATCATGGCAACCAAAGAGTCAATCCGGAGTTGAGACAATGTGGAACTGGGCGCTTAGCAGGTTAGATGTTAATTTCTATAAACAATCACACAGCCTTATTTTCACCCTAACGTAAACGGTATCAAATCAATAAGGAATTAACAGAGCACTATAGGTGGTGACAAGATAGTTTACTAGGGATGCTATATTAGTAATTAGTTTCCATAGAGATCGATTTTGGCATGATTTTTGACATTGATCTTTTTGTGCACTGCCCCAGTCTGTGTGTTGAACAGACTACTGGTAAATGAGTAATGATAATATGATTTATGATGATCGGGTGACCATGTTTACCATCTGTCCAAGGACTGCAGATGAAAAAATTGCCTCTCTGGCCAATTCCAGTATATTTACAGAAATGTTGCTGCTAAATAAAACAAATAATACATAAATAAAAACATTTTGTTTTTATTTTTACAAAAGCAAAAACTTTGTAACCTTCACTAGAACTCAAATAATCTGTACTATAAATTTGCAATGAAATACCCAAAAAGTTCACTGTATTTCACAAAGAAATCTGCATTTTAACAATATTAGGTCAAGCTGTTCCCATTTGTATTAAATATTATTGGCCAATAGAATGTTGTGTTGTCATCTGAAACCCAGTGATAAAACATGCAGAAAAAAAATTATTTTGGTTTTCCCACAACATGAATATTCGGAGATGTGTTTGAAATGTGCAATGTTTGTGAAGTGAATCTTTCAAACATTTAAGATTCCCTAAAAGAAAAGTTACATAGGACACCTTTAACTGCAAATCGAATCCCAATGACAAACCAAACTGAGCCCTCCTATACACAAAACCTGGTGTCACTGGAAAAGAAAAGGTCAGCAGGTCAGGGCAGTGGAGCTGAGGGACATGACTGACCTGGACACCTGTAGCACCATGACCTCCTCTTTCTTCAGCTGCTGGTTGTCCACCAGCGCCACGAGCCGCGCGCCAATCCACTTCCTTAAGCGGTGAACCCAGGGCGGCCTACAGGAGCAGAGAGGCGGTAAGAGACTCTGCCACACAACCACAAGCTCACCAATATTATTAGGCCCCAATCTCAAACATTTAACATTGAGACCAGCACCGATTTGTCAAGAATACAGAAAAAAAAATCCAGAAAGATTGAGATTTTTTTTTCGATCTTTACAAAACTACATTAATTTCAGCATTTAATTTCTAAAAAGACACTAACCCTGTAGAGTAGCCTTCTACAAATGACAGGACATACATTTTTTGGATTAGATTTGGACTGGATGATTTTTGGATTAGTTTATGCAAAAGAATTGGACCCGTTTGCTTTTGGACCCTGAAACCTGTCCTCACCATCCCCTCGCCTGCCGCGCCATCCCCTCACCTGTCTTCCTTCTCATCTCGGGGCTTCTTGGTGTTCACATCCAGCAGCAGGTGGTGCTGAGGCCTGAGGAACATGTCAAAGAGCCAGGCAGTGTAGGCCTGGAGCGCAGAGGGATGGAGATGCTGCACCACTTTCCAGGAGGGGGGCACCAAGGGGCAGCCCTGGTTACACAGAGAGGAAAAGCCCCTCAACACCAGCAGCTGCCTGTCCGCGTCCTCACAGCCCTGTAGGAAGGTGGACACGTACATGTCCATCTCTGGAGCCAACTGGAACCGTCCAGGCTTCTGCACAACCACAAGGAGATCAGAGGAGAGCCATTCAACACAGAGCTTGCGTGGTTATGGCACTATTTATGCAGAAAAAAAGGACTCGGAAACAATGTATTTATATAAACACAGATGACTCTGCCTTTTTACAAATAATACAAAAAAAATAAAAAAAAATAAATCTTCAGCTAACTCATTCATTCACTTCTTCCTTTTGCTGTAAATCCTTAATCAAATTAAAATAGTCATCTAATATAAATTTTGGTCAACTGAGACGCCATCAAACGAATTATCGACTAAAAAAACTGAAGAATTACAATCCTGTTACCATATTTCCGGACTATATGTAGCTCCAGAGTATAAGTCGCACCAGCCAAAAAATGTGGAATGAAGAAGAAAAAACATATATAAGTCTCACCAGACTATAAGTTGCACTTATATAGTATATATATAGTTATAGTAATAACAACAGAATAGAGAACAACAGGCTGAATAGGCATTAATACGTTAACATATTAACGGTTATTCAGATAATTATAGCATAAACAACAACCCCCCCGGTTGCCGTGAAGCTGTCTTCTCCATCCCCACTTTCCGGCAGTCCCTCACAAGTTTTTCACTCACTCCAAACTTTCTTTCTGCTGCTCAATTACTGTTTTCGGCTGAATATTTCACTATTTGCAGCAAGACAGCGGCTTTTTCTACAGGAGACATGCGCAGTAGAGTGTGACAGTGGTACAGGAGTAATAGTAATACTAGATACTGACACACGAGCCTAGAGCCTCTTGTGGCTGTCAGTCTGAAAATTTTAATATATAAGTCGCACTGGAGTATAAGTCGCAGTAAACACGCAAACCATGAAATAAAGTGCGACTTATAGTTTGAAAAATACGGTAATTACCAATGGAAGCTTTAAACCAGGAGTGTCCAAACTTTTTTCATCAAGGGCCACATATCTAAACAAAGACAAAGCAGAGGGCTGATCGAGGGCCATAGACTGGTGATCAATACAGGGAAAAAATGAAATATGTGCATGTTTAACACGTTAGAATGAACCATCAGACTTGATTCATGCTAAGATCCTTAAAACCACACACTAAATATTAAATATGAGCTTTATCAAGGTAGATTTTCAAAAAACTTGCAGTAAAAAAATATTTTTTAATTGATGCAAGGTAATTTGGGCCAATTCACCTGGAAGTCTGGGGGCCAAGAAAAATTTGTCTGATGGCCACATTTGGCCCCCGGGCCATAGTTTGGACACGCCTGCTTTAAACCATGCTATAGTCTTTCGTTGTTTGTTGTGTCTACTAGCAGACGACTACAGCTACCTCTGTCTTTAGCCCTGTACTGCTTTGCCTGCAATTTACCACAATATGGCATTAAACTTGAGCTAGAATAAAGTATAATAAGAGCCTGACCTGTGAGGAGAGCAAATGCAGGCCGTACTGCCTCATCAGGTCCCCCTTCAGAACGTCCTGGAGCTGGGCGTCTGAAAAAAGAGGCAGAGCGGCTCCCAACAAACGGAAGCTCAGGTAACTGCAACACAGAGAACACTCAGACCACAGCTCTGTCACCGCTGTCCTCCAGACATTACAGCAGCACACTCACTGGCAAGGCCCTGGAGGCTCCTTCAGCAGGCCCTCACTGATGACTTTGGTCCAGAAGAGTTGGAAGCTGTCTTCTCTGAGGGACAGTTTGAGCAGGTCCAACATGACTGGAGGTAGAACATGCTCCTTCTTCACAGAGTTAGCCACCGTCTTCAACAGCTCTGTCAGCCTGCACACACAGCACAACATATAATGCTTCTACATCATAAGCATTGTAAACACATGTAAAACATGAGCATGTTAGACAGGAGCTTTTCCTGTTATCATGGATCTTTTGCCAAAATAGTGAACTATAAAACAAATACCATGCAGACACAAAGCACTTTTCTGGAGCCGTGCGTCTAAAAAGGTGGAAGCGCATAAGCAGCTCCAGACTGACTCTGACACAGAGCTGCAGACACATGTCTAGGTTTTGGTCTATGGAGGCTCTGTAAATGGTCTGTGCTGTCAGGTTATTGCCTTTGCACGCGTCATACCATGTGTTCACGCCATAACTATTTGTTTATTAAGGGAAAAGAATTTGAAATATACAGAATACTTGTGAGTGTTTCCTGTAGGTCACATAGTTAAGAGTGGCAGCTTCTCTTTAGTCATACCACGGTTTAATCTTTGCCCCCGTCTTACTGAGACCTACAGCGACAACCCAAGATTTGCCCCAGGACCAGTGATGTGTCACAGCAGCCCCAGGTTCCTGAGAAGAGGACACACACACAAACCTGGGCACATTGTCCTGGTGGATGATGGTGGAGAAGCCCAGCAGCTTCTTGAGTTTCTTGGGTTTGAGCGTGTGAGGGAAGCGCTGCAGAGCCACCAGTAGAAGGTGCAGCTGCTCTGGAGTCTTGAAGGGGGTGGAGAGATCTGACTGCAGCGCTGAGAACAGGACCTGCTCAAAGACCTCCTCCTCCACCTGTCAGCACACATACACACACACATTCATATAAGAAGCAGCAGTCAACATTATACATTTGGTCAAGTAACACATCAAATACATCAAACATCAAATAGACCTTTTCAAACTTTTCAAATGTGCCCTTTAGATTTACTACTTTCTACATTAAATATTCTGATCTGAGCACCAGAGAGAGTAGCAGCAGTACAATAGAAGTAGCTCCTGAAAATGTCCTTAAATCTCCACCTTTAAGTTACGCTTGTTTGCATTTTAAGATTTTCTTTACTTTTTATTTTACTTCATCCGTCCAACTAAACACCATGTTTTTGAGCATTTTTTTCGGCCTCTTTGTTCTTGGCTGTGAGACGCTGCAGAGCAGTCGGCCTATTGTATGTTTTCCAGTGAGCACCTACTTTCACCCTCCAAGTCCCCAGTGCTGTCTGGATATAAACCTGACATTCCTGTGGAATTACAGAGGAGGACACACAGATGAACCAGGAACCCAACCCAGTGTTCTTTATATTAAAGTCACCTGAAATGATTTTCACTTCAAGATGTGCCATGCCAGGGCCAATGAAGGCTGATTGTCAAAAACAGTGATTAAAGCAAAGGGTAAAGGCTAGTTTTAAAAATCTAAAATCTGATTAACAACTTTAGTTATTCTGAGTTTATTCTTTGTTTACTGCATTCCATAAGTGTCATTCATAGTTTTGATGCCTGAGAATTTACAATGTAAATAATCATGGAAATAACAATGTAGCGTAAATGAAACTTCGAAAGTGTCCAAACTTTTGACTGGTATTGTATGTATTGTATGTATTTAAAAGTGTAAATGTGTAAAAGAGCTCCTGAGCTGAGAGACTGCGGGCTCAGCCAACTGGGCAGGGGACAAACACTGGACCTGACCTGGTTGAGGATGTCCATCATGGTTTTGGTGGGTAGGTCCTTGAGGTGCTGTCTGTGAGGGGTCAGACTCTGGAGCAGCTGCACACAGGCCACCACCACCTGAGGGTCCTGTGGAGACGGACGGGGAGAAGACTGTGTTTAAAACCAGTGTTAAAAGCGATCTAGTAGGCCTGTCACAATGACTATACCAAATTATTATTCAGTGTAGGCTGGAACAATACTATCTGAGGGTCAGGGTGGGACTTTTCATTTGTACTAGTGGGGGTCTTTTTCTTACTTATTTTATCTGAGCTGTAGACTGTTGAATAAATCACTTCTATGACTCATTAGAAATACAAAATCATTACTACTAATCTAATCTACAGTCTTATGCTGTTGTTAACTTATTGCAGTTCATGTTTTTAAACCATGTCACAGACTTGTGTAAATCCGCATCTCAATTTCATACAGGGTGGAAAGGAAGCGACATAAGAATGTTTATAGTGCAGCGCCACAGAATGAAAACTGAGCGCAATAGATTGATTTTGAGTGAGCGAGTGGGAGAAAACAATACATGGCACTTTAGAATTTGTCATGACAGGTCTATCATGTTATAGTACTGACAGCTCCCAAACAGAAAAGCAGAAGCTTCCTTCCCCTTCTGGAGGTCCTACCTGTGTGAGGCGGCCTGACTGGTGCAGAGCCAAGACCCCAAAAAGGCTCCCAAACATGGCACTTCTCTGGAGCTTCTGAAAGAGACAAGTACAGTGCTGAGTAGGCTTAGGAGCGAAGAGACAAGGACAGGAGGACATTAGGACTTAGGGATGTAACAATAAGAGAAATATTGTGATATTGAATCATCAAAACTCTCACAATAATATAAATCACTGTCACAATATACTGAACTGCGAGGTTTTTCACTTAAAAGTATTTAAATAAGGGTGAACTACATAGGATCTTTTGCTTCAGTTCAGTGCAGACTACATGATAAATAACTTCTCAAATTATTTTGGAATATGACAGTAATGATTCACATTGAAGAAGGAAAAAGTAGTACCTCTCAAATTCTGTTACCCAGAATTTAAACCAGGAGCAGCAATGCGTAACATAGGCAAAAATGTATATATGCAGTTTTTTAAAAGTGTAAATTTACAGAAGAGGCAACAGATCTGCTCCTGCAGCTCCAGCCTCTGTATATTCTCACGTTTAAACACCGACCTCTTTTACTTTGCTTGTGTATTCATTGTTGATTGGATTGGATGAATTATGTTTTATATAATAATTGACATGAAGAGAAAATGCTTTGTGGCGATAACAAACCATGTCTGCGATGCTCGAAATAATGAGGCTACTCACCATTTCACTTTGATTGTCTGCTCCAGGAGCCTTTTCAGAAGTTGTTCTTGACATCGTGAAGTGTTTTATATTTATTCTCCAGAGCTGTAGACTCTCCATAGTCCATCATGAGTCATTCCCTGAGCTTTTAGAGAACGCATTTTGAAATGCCAGTAGGAAGTGTTGACATCACCTGCTTATTCCTGTCTTCCAAATATAAAAAGTCTGGAAATGCTACGCTGACTCTAACCTAATTGGAGTGAGATGTAGTGTAGTTACGTGTCGACTGTCCAAAAGGTTCAAATGAAAAGTGATATCTGCGCATGTGCTGCACTGCTGCGTTTAAGTTACTGCAGTAATAATCATACAGTGAGATGCATATTGTGAGAATATTGAACAGAGAAATATGGATATTGTTACATCCCTAAAAACACGAGGACACAAGAAGAGAGGAGCTGAGGGGTACAGACCTTCTTGACAGTGAGGAGGTTGTACTTAACCCGGATCCTGTCCAGAGTCTGCAGCAGCGAGATGTCTTTAAAAGCACTCAGCACCTGCACCAGTCAACATGCACTCACAATGTAAGTCACACATCAGACAATTGAGTTAAAAGGTCCTACATTATGCAAACTGAACTTTTGTGGGCTTGAAGCCATGTTATGATGCTGTTACCTCGTCAGAAACATACCCAGGCTTGTGTGTGTTTCATTCACACATGTTTGAGTAACCCTGCATTATTATTGTGACTACAGCTCCAAAGATCAAAATGCTCTGTTCCACATGAAGTGGTAGTTTGCAAGTCAACAGATACATTTTGTAATGTGTAAATAAAACAAAAGACCCCAGGTATGTTTCTGTTAAAGGAAACAACATTATAATATCTGTATAGTATTATTATTCTTTAGGATTTCTAATGAGACTTAAGTAGTGAGACAGTGATGCTGATAGTGGACTCTGACCTGCCCCAGGGCCAGGCTGAAGGCGGGCCGGGCGCTCTCTCTGCTGTGGGACAGTCCATCTACCAGGCGCTTCAGAGTGTATTCCAGCTCTTCCTCCTGAACACACACACAGAGGCAAAAGACCAATCAGACATGTGTCAAATTCATCTGCACTATAATCAGAGCTGTGTGTAGAAACTGTTTGTCAAAAGTGTTGAAAATCAGATACTAATCTAAACTAAATACTTATTTGAGCAGGTATTGATACTAAAATGTCCCATGAACAAGACAGAAATGAACCTTTCCTAAAGAGTTTTAGAATGATCTTGAGTTGTATCAGAACATGTGTCAGAGCACATAGACTAGTACACACATGGACCAACATGAACCTACTGCAGCACTGACCATTACACACAGATAACACACATGGGAAGAGAAAATACTTCCATTTAATGTTGAAAAACACATTCTATTGTCTAAAGAAAAGGTTTTTTTTTATTTCCATTGGGGTATCAGAATGGTTATTGAGTGTCGTGAGTAAACTAGAGGAAACTTTGATAACGACAGTCAGGATACAGAGAGCATCAGTAAGTCAGGAGCTGCTCGTGGCTCAGGTCCACTATGTTCAGTCACCTGTTTCATACAAGCAAAGTCAACTGTGGAACTTATTACTACCCACTGATCAGAAGTGCACAGCACACTAAAAAAGGACTATATCAGGACTGCAGAGGGACTAAAGACTGGGCTACACCAGGAGGACCTAAATTCTTGGTTTATGTCAAGTGTGAAACGGAACCTGTGCTAAAGCAGAACTTGACAGGTACAAACAGAGATGAGAGTTTTTGTAAACTGGTCCATGTTGTCAAGTCTCGTCCCTCTGCTCCACAGACAGTGTCTGCTCTCCCTCACCTTATTGTTGGTCTGGAGGTACTGGACTAGACTGTCCACAGCCCGCAGCCGGACCTCCTGCTCGGGTTTGGCCAGGTCCCAAAACAGGTCCAGAAACACGCGATTCTGGTGGAGGGCCGCGGCGGGCCGGGTGGGCTCCGGACCGGGCTCCGGACCGGGCTCCGGGACGGGCTCCGGACCCTGTGCGCTCTGCTCGGACATGTTCTCCATGTGATGTTCATGCGAATGCTGAAAACCACGTGACTCTGCGCAGTGACAACACGTGCACCACGCAGCCCTCACTGCTTCCGGGTTAGGTTCAGTGCGGGGGAAGAGCGCCCCCTACTGTGCGCCTGTGCTTTGTGTGGATAAGTACAGTAGTAGTACTTTTTACTTGAGCAACTTTTTAAAGAAATTGTACTTTTCTGTAATATTTTTTATTGAAGTAACAGTAGTCTTAAGTAAAAGTTGTGCTTCCTCTTCCCACTGTGAGTCTAAAGAGACAAAAACTTTATGTGACAAAATGAAATGATTTGAACATTTGTTTCTTGCAGCTCAAATATGATTTAGTTTGTCTAATTTTTGTGTCTGTCCTTTGAAAACACCGGATTTTGGGCATAATTTAATTGAATATTTTGTCCTTCAAATTACATTAACTTTTCTAATTTATAAAATTATAAGTCAGATGTTATGTCCTGACAGTTACTCTTTTACTCTTGAATACTAGGAGATATAACCAACTATAAAATACTTTTTTTGCACATAACCAAGTAATTAGGCCACTACTTTGTACTTGTACCATTAATGATATTGCATTAGTAATATAGTAAAAACTCACTTGAACACAGTTTTTGGCTGCATTAATATGTCCATCTCCAAAATAAACCTCTCTCAGGCATTTAGTCCGTTAAGTCGATGCTTTTTTCAGTATTACACTGACAGACTGCAACAGTCCAGACTAGAGTACAACACTGATGAGTGGAAACATGTTTCCAAAAAGTCATTCTCATGTAAAAGTCTTTGTCATTTTAAAAATTCTATAAATCTTGAAATGATTCAGATGAATAGATGGACCAGTTTAAGGAAAGACTTATTTATTCTCTTTACAGACTTCTTTTGGTATGTCACATTTGATCACTTCGAGGGCCTGTACCTGATCAAGAGAACTTCTCTTTATGTCACACAGTTTGGTTAAAGCTTCTAAATAAGAAAAAAAGACTTAAAAAAAAAAAAATCTACTAATTTCACAAAGCAGGTGAAAAACAAAAACAGAAGCTACTGACAGGAACAGGGTCAGGCACATTGTTTCTGAGAATCATGTGTAACAAACTGCCTGACACAATCCCAAACACTTGATTGATAACAAATGTATTCTATAACAAAGTGCAAAGACAGAAAATTTTAAGGAAACAACTGCACAACACTATTCCACACAGTAGTTTCTGTGTTATGGTGCAATATCACAAAGACAGAAATGACTAAGTGGGCGGGGCTAAACATTCAAACTAAAACATGTTCCAGAGTCATGCTTTAAATCAGGTATAGGCCCTCTAATGTACTTTTAAAGAAAACACTTGGATTAGTGTTGTCTCCCTTTGCTGGAAACAATGGGGAAAAGTCTAAAAAATAGTGTCTGCAAGCAAAACTGGTAATAACCCATTTGGTCAGACACACATGGAGCAAGTTTCAACCAAGACGACAACCTCACACCACACACAAACTAAACCACTCCAGAATGAGGGTGAATAACTCAAAGTCCACTCGGCCTGATATGTCTCTTCAACAGTCAGGTTCACATTAACATTGCAAATGATCAGAACTCAAAATCGAGTTTGAGGGCAGTACAGAGTTTTATAGTTGAATCTGCCTTTTAATTGTGAGAAATGTTTGGAACTGGTTCATGGTTAAGCTCTAATTACTGCGTCTATGACAAACAAAAACTGGTACAAAGTTCAGCGTCTTAGTGTCAGCTCAAATGGTCACTAAGGTGAAATATATTCTTAGGGTTAGTGGCAAGTTCACCCTGACTTTATTTTAACATAATTTACAGTTTATTAGATTATTCAACATTTTATGCCGAAGCAATTTCCAAGTTTCTCACTTTGAACACGGACAATGACAAACCTTTTTCTCATTAAAAGACAAAGGCACAAGTGTCAGTTGAAAGGTCACAGGATTAAATGTGTGAACCCAATCCTAAACAGAAAATACATTTTGTCTGTTTGGATATTTCCTTCAAACTATAGAGTAATTCAGGCCCCATTGTGCAGCGAGCCTACGGCAGCTGCTGCGTGTGTGTGTGTGACAGCAGCATGTTCAGAGCCCGCTCGGCCTCCTCCACCTGCTGTGTGAGTCTGTCCCTCATGGCATCGCTCTGGGCCTTCTTTAACAGCATGCGGAGGTGTGCAAGGGCAGCGCGGTGCCCGGGTGCATTATGCAGCACACGGATGGCTCTGTCCCCACTGCAGGCCAGGAATAGCCCTGTGGTGTCGAAGCGCAGGTCGGTCAGAGGAGAGGAGTGCACCGAGCTCAGCGTCTCCTCCAGCTCTCCACTCTCACAGTTGTACAGGCAAACATCGCTACCACTACTGACGGCTAGCACACGCCCATCGGGAGAGAGCGCCACCCGGCTGCCCTCAGAGGAGGAGCAGGGCACGGTCTTGAGGAGGTAGGGGTCCTGTTGCTTGCGGTACTCCACATCGGTGTTCCACAGCTTCCATGTGCCGTCTTTGGACACTGTGGCCATTCTGTGGGCAAGAGAGGAAACCATAAGAGGAAACCATAAGAGGAAACCATAAGAGGAGCAGTGCGGTGTAATAGATGTAACTACAGTTCTATGAGTCAGGAGGAAAGAAACACAGCTAGAGGCCTCAAGAGCTGAAAAGTAACCCATTACAAAAATGTGCAAGTTACTGTACTTTCTGGAGTAGTATGTCTGCACTGGTAATTGTAATCTACGGTACTCCTTTTATGTGCCAAACTACAGAGACTGCAGCACAAACACTAAAGGCTTAAGCCTTCATCAGGAAGTCTGAACATGTGTTTAACTCATATTCATCACTCAAACATGATTCCTGCAAATGTTTTAATAAAAAAAAACAAAAAAAAAACTGTTCACCCTTGGCCTGGTCTTATCCAGGTTTTGGGTTTAGTCCCAGGTTGGACGTGGTGTGTAAGTGTGAAGACTTCACTACAAACTGCCTATCCTTCTCCTGGACAAGCATCCAGCGTTGTAGACCAGGGGTCGGCAACCTGCGGCTCTTTAGCACTCCCCTAGTGGCTCCCTGGAGCTTTTTCAAAAATGAGTGAAAATGGAAAAGGAATGATTTTTTTGGTTGTTGTTTTAATCTGGTTTCTTTAGGGGTAAAACCCTCGTTCATCTCTGGTCATGGATCTGATCCATCAGCTGTGTGTAAATGAAACACAAAGTGTTTCAGCAGAACAAATAGATGAACTGAAGCGGGGGGTGGTGTCCGGTGCCTCCACCTGAGAAGAACTTTCCCCGAAAAAAACAAAACAAAAAAACACGTGCGCAGACGGACGCTCAGAACAACATATAACGAACCAAACGGGATTCACGCTTCTGTCCGGATGCTGCACCAACTCAGAACCAGCCGCAGTTGAGCGCGTAGGACCGGAGCAGCCCGCCCGGACCTGTGGCCCACAGCGCATTCTCGCTTTTCCCGCACGGAACCAGCGCACAGACGACTGCACTGAAGCACTCGGACCCAGTCCTATGCGCTCTGGTCTTGCTCGCCCCCGTCTGGAACCAGGACATGGAGGACGAAGCCTCTGGACAATCTGACCAACACTGGACCCCCAGCCCCGTCTTGAGGAGCTGCGCGCTGACTGCCCCGTGTGTTTGGCGCTGCTGCCCGAGCTCAGACTCCAGGCTGATGTGCGGTGAGTTGCGTACAAAGTTCTCCATGCTGCTGTTTTCTGAGTGCTCCTATGCACGATCAGAAGAAATGCGACTGCTGCTCTGAATGCTTCCGTCATCGTCGTCATAGCAACAGGTAAACGTCGGTCGCACTTTCAGCCCGTCAGCTCCTAAAACTCTGTTTATCTCAGTTTACACGCAAACATAAAACCAGAGTTTTCCAAAATCTCCACTCTAGCCGGAGTTTTTAGAAAGATTCGTTTTCAGAGGCAAATTTGCTGTTTGCGTGTAAACGATGTGAACAAATGTTTTTAAAAATACCCGTGTACGTGTAAACGGGGCCTAAATGACAAAGGAATAAACACTAACCACCTGATTTCAGTGGCTACAGACGCTGTACCGAGTATGAGAGGGTCGCAAAAGGGGTTTGTGTATCATGAATGCTCATTTTGTATTTGTAGCCTACTTAGTCATTTTAATAGTCGGCTTATATAGCTAATATACTGACAGCCTGTGTTGCCTTCATATTAGGCTTATATAAGGCTTTTAATTTTTTGCGGCTCCAGGCAGGTATGGTTTTTGTTTTTTTGGGCCAATATGACTCTTTGAACATTTTGGGTTGCCGACCCCTGTTCAAGACTAACCCACACCTGAGCTCCATCTCTGGATGGTGGTTAAAAGCACACTCATGTGAAACATGCAAAGGCCGCACCCATATAACAAAAGGATCTAATTCTTAAACCAACCTAAGCACAAACATATGAAATATTCAGGATTAATACACAAGAAGCTGCACACTGCAGCTGTGAGCAGGTACCTATCAGAGTTGTTGGAGAAGGCGAAGGCATGCACCCCCGCAGAATGTCCCTTCAGGTCGAACGCTCGGATCACCTCCCGGAACTCTCCTCCTTTTCCGAAGCACACCTCCCACACCTTCACATCTGGAGTGAAGCCACAGGACGCCACAAACCTACACACACACACACACACATACATGAGGTACATGAGGTTCTCTTTTTTTGTCTTTCTCTGGGTTAGTCTTTGTACAAAACGTGCTTCTTCTTCATATGGTGATGTCATGGCGTCATAAGAGCTTGTTCGAGTCTACTCATTTCACTAAATATTTCATTATTTAAGAATTGGCTAAAAGAATCTTGCCAAGTTTTTTCGAGTTTAACAATTAATTTAGAGCATTGTTTCCCAAAGACTGGTCAAATCCACCTTTATTTTGTGATTAACAAATAATGTCTATTGACTTGGGTCACGAAGGTCTGTGACTTTAAACCAACGGGCATTTCAACTATTACCTAGCAACCAAACTGTAAACAAGGGCTAACATTTCTGGTCTCTTCTAAGTGATGTGTGTGCGTACAGAGGTGTACGTGCGGGTGACGTGCGGGTGACGTGCGGGTGACGTGCGGGTGACGTGCGGGTGACGTGCGGGTGACGTGCGGGTGACGTGCGGGTATACACCCACCTGCCGCAGGGTGACACAGCGGCGTAACTGTTGGTGACCTGGTTGGTGTTGATTGTGGCAAGGATGTCCCCTCTCAGGTCCCAGATGTGGATGGTGGTGTCTGCCGAGGCACTCATGATGAATTTACCTGAAACAGCAGCAGATCAGTTTTAGATTGGGGAAATGGGGAAGTACCCTGCACAAGGTTGTAGATAATGTGACAACAATGAGGGCATTTACAGAACATACAGACATACTGTGCTCGTGTATGCAATCTAGTTATAATCTATGACATCCGTGGAGCACTATGTCATCATCAGGACATTTTAACTCACAATGTTAAAAACGTCTGAAGAACTTATAGAACAATTTTATATATTATATATAAAATAAAATAAAATAAAATAAAATGAAATAAAATAAATGTGTGTGTATGTGTGTGGTGTAACGACACACTCTTCTTCCGGTCGACATAAATCCGTTGGTGTCTCTGTCCAATCAGAATCCTTCCCCACCCCCAGACACAAAGCGAAATTAAATACAGGCCATTTTTCCATGTAAACCTCAGTTTGGAATGATTATTTGTAAACTCTGATAATATTTTAATTCTGAACTATTTAATTCAGAACAATTACTTCAGAATGAAAAAACATCATATAAACATGGCTTGGTTTAGGTGCCGAGGTTCGTGAGCGCCCTCATGTGGCGTACCTGTCTCTGCAATCCCGATGTTGATGATGCTGGCCTTATGCTTCTGAGGGAAGTCCTCCGCAGTGGCTTTAAAGCTCAGCGTTCCGTCATCCTTCTTCACCATTTTGAAGATCCGAATGGTGTCTCCATTAGCCAGCCACGTGATGAAGGCCCTGTAGAATAAAAAAAAAAAAATGTATGAACCTAATTGGACTATGGAGGAGCATGAACAAGTAGAATAGCGTGGAGGAGAGCGTGGAGGAGGGCGTGGAGGAGGGCGTGGAGGACAAAAGCAGTAGGAGAACATGGAGGGCAAGAACAGTAGAACATGCAGGAGAACATAGAGGAGAGCATAAGAAAAGCACACAGAGCAGAACACGATGCAGAACATTGGAGCTGTGCAGAGACTCTGAGGAGCACTGTGATGCGGGTGATGAGCAGTGTGATGAGGTTGAGGAGCAGACCTGGAGTCCGGGCTGAACCGGACCAGCACTGCATGGTCCAGCTCTACGTTGGCCCTCAGACACTTGTGTTCTCTGTCCGTGAAGTCCTTGGTGGACCAGATGCGCACGGTGCGGTCGTCTGCACAGGAGGCCAGGTACTTCCCATTACTGCTGAAGTCCAGGCAGGTCACGTTCCCATTGTGGGCCTGGAGAACACTTTACATTATTTATTCTAAATAAGAAAAAAACAAGCAGAAATGATATTCTGAAGTCTCTTGCCTTTTCAGAAGTTAATGTTAATAAAAAAGAACTTCAGTAAAGACGGTATTATGCAAAATCCATTTTAGTGTTCTAGCATGTTCATCAAAAACATGACAGTTTTATATGTAATGTATGAGTATTTTAGCAATCTCTCCTGGGCAGTATTCAAACCCTCCTTATGGTTAGCAGTACGAGTCTGTACATGGCTCCGCCCACAAGCTCATGTCACCCATGCTCCCGCACAATGATTCTCCATAAATATACAAAAACATGATATTGTATTAGGACCTTGTACAAGGTTGGTGCATCCTTTTAGATCAAATCATGACAATGGCAGTAATGGTAGAATATAAATGATTTCTCCTTTATTTGTGCTGACAGAGAAGCTGTTGAAACAAAAACTGGCACAAAGTTCATGTAGATAGACCCAGAGATAATAAACATAAACCACATCAAACCATAAAGTCCACTACAGACTTCAGAGCTGTCCTCCAGTTCACTTTCACAGTTCACAAACTATGTGGATTCTAAAGGATTTCCACAGGACCGGCTCCGGAGCAGTGAGGAGGTTGGTGTGTTCTGCAGAGTTCTGCCTGACAACAAATGTGTCCCCTTGCAGAGTTCTTCAACCAGCTAGTACTAAAATTCACAGAAAGTCTTTATAGGCGATATATTTACAATGTGAGTGGCTTTTTGAGGTTAATATTCTTTAAATAATTAGCCAGCACTGCATTTTACTTTTATGACGCACAAACATTGCTATAGCTTATAGCTGGCAATATTTGACTAGCTTCTAATGACAATTTTATGATTATGTTACACACTACGTTCAGATTATGGTGACAGATACATGAATGCAATACTATTCAGTTTGGTATCTTAAAGGTAAGTAGTCCCTTCTCATAAAAATGTATTGGTAACATCCTAATATCTTACGCAAGACCTGAATACTCAAAATACTGAGAAGAGGGAGCAATCCAAATGCAGACTCAAGCGTCCTCCTGGCTTGAAAGTCCCAGCACGAGCGTTCCATTCTCTCGGAGGGAACGTCCCCCTCCTCTTGGGTGGCACACGGGATCCTGCTGTGCCCGGGAGAGGGGGGACGTTCTCACCGGCCTTTAGTCTGCTGCATCACGCACTGAGATGTATCATGTTAGTAAATCAGCTTCTATATCATCATAAAATGAAATGTGAATGTACCAGACCAAATGTTGGGCCTTGTTTGTCATTTCACTGATCTTCCCGAAGCGGCACACATTTTTTCACTATGTAATATCAATATAATCTCATCTTCTCACAGAAGTTTACTATGAAATCGTATTTTAAATATTTTTTTCTCGTTCCCCATGTCCTATAATATCTGTAACTGTTGATTTGGGAAGAAATATTAATTATTTCCTTACCTCCCATGAGCATAATTTGTAACCAGCGCAACACAAGAAACTTAGAAAGCTACAAAATTTGTTGCTGTGCCATAAAATGGAGTTGGTTAAACAGAAGAAGTTACACAAATCATTTTTTGCATGTTTTGTTTGTATGTATGAACAAATGTGTAGAGATATATTGCAGCTTGCGTGTGTAATTAATACAATATATATATATAATGAAAAAAAGATTATTATATGTACAGTATATAGATTAACTAACTTAGTTTCAAAAAAGTTCAATTCAATTCAGGGGGACTTTCCATCTGATGAAATATTCATCCCTTACTACATTTAAAGACAGGTTAGTCTTACCTACTGTATTCATACTTTGCCGTGACACTGTTTACAGCACAAATCAGCTTACTTGTTGTAGTTCCTAAATCAGCACTTTTTGGTCAAATTGTGTTCAAATAAAACTCAGATTAAAGTCTGACTGGAGTAACAAAGTCTTAGGCAGAGCAGAACTCGGCAGAAGTCGGGTACCTTGAGTGTGGCGGCCAGCAGAGGGTGTGAAAAGGTGTGCTGGGTGCTCTTGTCTTTGCTCCTCCGCTGTTGTTTCTCCTGCTTCAGCTTCTTCACCGCAGAGGGCTTCACTGCACTGCTCTCCTCTGGAACTGTACACAGGAAAACCAACTCAGAACCATCTCATCACAGGTTTAAAGCCCTAGTATTAGACTTTTATTGGCCTACACTAAATTGACTCTTCTGAGCTTCCAAAGTTATAATGTCCTCCTCAAAAACATACCCAGTTGTGTTTTGTTTCATTCACACATGTTTGAGTAATCCTGCATTATTGGTCTGTCTGCAAGTCCAAAATGCTCTGTTCTACCTTTTGATGTCATTTTGTGTAGTTTTCAAGTTAACAGTTACCTTAGTTCAGCAGAGACTGACAATTCCTGGGCTGAAATCATACAAATTATTCTAGTGAAGGTGTATACAGTGGAACACTTCCTGTATAACCACATGACATCACAAGGTGGAGCGTTTTCCATTTGAGAGAAGCACACAGCCTAAATATGCAGGGTTTGTGTGTTAAATATGTGTAATGAAACAAACAGAAGTGCAGGTGTGTTTTTGATGAGGAAACAATTTTATAACATGGATCCGAAAATAGCGTAATATGTAGAGTGAGCAGATGTTCCTTATTTCCCTGGGACAGTTCCAGTTTTGAGCCCTGTGTCCCCTGTCCCAGCAGATTTATCTAAACCCCATGATTTGTCCCAGTTTTATACATGAAATGTCCCAGGTGTCCCTATTTTTGGCCAATTTGATCCCTGCCAACAGTAAAAAGAGACACAAAATTATCATTTGTTCAGGTAAAAGCCAGAAAAGCTGCTTAAAAATGACCAAAACACAAAGAAAATGTGACTATACTGACTCACATGTTCGTCATGAATAGTCTCTGCAAAACAATTTTCCTTAGTTATGCACTCATTTCATTTCATAAGTTTATTATTACCAACCACCAAAAAACTTGGTATGCGCCAGTTTTTTATTTTGAACCTCTGGTCACTCTAGTAATACAGGCCCTTTTTAAAACACCCACTACTGATGCATTTCTCTGGGATGATCAAGGTAAAGAAATTATCCACATTAAGATACAAGCCCTTCTCCGCTTTGAAACTATGTGATGTGGTGCTGTGAACTATGTTCCCTGTCCCAACACATTCATACAAAATCTGTGATTTGTCCCAGTTTTATACAAGAAATGTTCCAGGTGTCCCTATTTTTGACCAACCTGATCTAAACCAGGACTACATCAGGTCTAAACCAGGTCTAAAACAGGACTATCAGTTTTTGACTAATCAGATCCTCGCCAACAGTAAAGAGGAGCATAAATTGTCATGTAATGTATTTTAGCCAAAATACAGAATACCTTGTTTGCAAATGACAATAAAGCAAAAAATAAGTAAATTAATTTTAAAAATGCAGCGACAGAAATCTCTCAGATTGACTGCCACGAGAGCGCACAACGTTACACGCTCTCTTTACTATGTTATTTATACCAACCATCCCAACCCAGGTGTGTCCCAGTTTTGAATTTTGGTCCCTCTAACCAAAATAAATCGGGAAGCACAGAAAAGTTGATGTGAAATGTCAGCTGCTCTAAGAGAATTCTCATCCCTGTGACTGAAAGCTCCAGCGCAGCCACAGGGCCCGCAGCCACAGGGCCGGCCACTCTGTGCGCCTCTGTGCGCCTCTGTGCGTGTCTGTGTGACCGTGTACGTGTCCATGCTCCGCAGCCCGCACGGCTCGGCTCGGCCGGAAAGAGACTTACCTGCTAACCCCGCGGCCGGCTCCGTCTCTTCCTTCCTTCTGCCCACGGCCAAGAGCACCAGCAGAACCAGCGCTCCCAGCAGCAGCGACAGGGCCCCCAGAGCAGCCGCCTCCATACTGAGCAGACCCGCGTCCCGCTGAACTTCCACCGGCCCCAGGCTCCTCGGGCTCGGCTCAATGACCCCGCCGTCAGCCCATGCGTCACCCTTCCGCCTTTTGTTGGGAAACTTTCATCCATGTGGCAATGGAAGGTCTGTGTCTGCTGACCCCTAGTGGACTGGAGCAGCGATGCCCGTACGACAATAGACTATTACACACATACCACACACTATAGAATATTACACACATACCACACACTATAGACTATTACACACATACCACACACTATAGACTATTACACACATACCACACACTATAGAATATTCAGTGTTGGGAAGGTTACTTTTAAAATGTAATCCCCTACAGATTACAGATTACACACCCCAAAATGTAGTTTGTAACGTAATCCATTAAATTACTTAAAGTGAGTAACGTTATCTGATTACTTTGGATTACTTGATATTGTCATGTTTTTTTAAACGACATGAATGTAGCGACCACATCCTGAAAATTCTTGTTTGTTGTCTTCAAATTGTCTGAGCCCAAGTCTCCATGAATAAGCAACTGTTTGCTGTAGAGAAACAAAGACCACGATATCTTAATGTAAGAGGTTTTGTCTGTTAAAAGACAGAAACAAGATCAGCCTTTCCTTCACCAGATTAAAAAATATTATTGATAGAGAAATTATTTTTTATATGAGATCACCTTAAATTATGTCAACCTACTGTTAGGTGTCATGTTGTTTAGACCTGGTTTAGTCCTGGTTTAGTCCTGATTTTAGACCTGGTTCAGACCAGGTCTAGACCAGGTCTAGACCAGGTCTTTAGTTCTGGTTTAGTCGTGGTTTAGTCTTAGTTTAAACCTGGTTCAGTCCTGCTTTAGTCCTGGTTTAGTCCTGGATTAGTTCTGGTTTAGTCCTGGTGTTAGTTCTGGTTTAGAGGCGCACAGGAGGAAGCGCGGTTTACGCGAGAAAACACGGTCCACACGCGGCGCACGAGACGGCGGTGTCCGCGCAGTAACTACGGAAGGAGACGTGGTCCGCGGGTTCTCAGGTTGATGACGATGATGAAGGTGTATGAAGGTGTGTGTTTGTGTGTGTTTGTGTGCACGTCCCCTCATGTGACAGGTCATTATAGGACAGTAGTGCAGATATTATGAGTCTATGCAGGTTGTTTTCACCAGTGCCAGTAGCTCCTGTTTCACATTTAAGTTGTAGGCGATTTTATATTTGTTTTTTTTTATATATATCTCACATCGGGAGAAGAATTTCCAAGACACAAATGCGTTTTTACCAATGCACTGCTGCTTCCACTGTGTGACTGACACCGCCAACTTTAACATGACGTTTACATCGCTCTTATTGCGCGCGTTCTGTTTGGGTTTCCGGCAATGAGTGGAATTACCGAAATAAAATAAATAAATAAATGGGATGTAGCACAAAATGTGAAAACAGGAAAATACCGCCTTGTAATCCACTTATTTCAGCAAAGTAACTGTAATCCAATTACCACTCATTGAAACAGTAACTGTAACGGAATACAGTTACTCATAATTTGTACTCTGATTACGTAACGGCGGTACCTGTAATCCGTTACTCCCCAACACTGAGAATATTACATACATACCACACACTATAGAATATTACACACATACCACACACTATAGAATATTACACACATACCACACACTATAGAATATTACATACATACCACACACTATAGAATATTACACACATACCACACACTATAGAATATTACATACATACCACACACTATAGAATATTACACACATACCACACACTATAGAATATTACATACATACCACACTATAGAATATTACATACATACCACACACTATAGAATATTACACACATACCACACACTATAGAATATTACATACATACCACACTATAGAATATTACATACATACCACACACTATAGAATATTACACATACATACCACACACTATAGAATATTACATACATACCACACACTATAGAATATAACACAGACCACCAACGTGCCCTCTTTTGAGACCTTAAAAAAAAAAAGATTTTTTTGCAGTCTGATTCTGTTCTGTGAGTCTCTATTAAATACATACTTGAGACATGATACTGGCAGGTTTATGCTCTACAACTAAATAGTACAACTTTGAAACTTATTTCTGAACTTGAATGCTCTTGAAGCGGCACTCACATCAAAAAAGGTTGGTAAACCCTGGCACAGACGAGGGCTGCATCTCAGTTCTTTTTTCCCCAAACATTTTTCAGCTGTCAATCAAATGTTAAGTGACCAAAAGCTTGAAGGAGGCAAGGGAAAGAAATCAAAGAGGAAACATGAGTGAGAGTTCAGGAACAGCAAACTATTTGTCTCAGTGAGGACTTGTGTTACTTTCTTATTTACTTATTTACATACATACATACATACATACACGTACGTACGTACGTACGCACACATGCATACATATATATGTATACATACATATAACAAACATACATACAAAAAATACTTACAACATACGACAACACGAGACATGTGAGAGCTGGAAGGGCCACTACATGAGACGTGAGAACCACAGTACGAGACATACAAGAGCAACAAAATGCAGGATGTTCAGAAAAATATTTATTTACATAAAAATTATTTATGCACATAATATATCTACAGCTTAACAAAGAGGGAGCTCCATGTTAAGGTCTAAGCCCATCTGAGCAGTTCAAGGATGGTCACTGACCATTGTTTCTTTAGTAAAACACAAATGCAGCAGGAGGCGGCTTGCTGAACACATTTGATGTTCTAATTGGTGAACAGAGAGGGAGAAATCCACTCAGGGGAAGGTAGTCCAGCGTGCATTTAGCCTTCAATGCATGTTCCAGCTCAGCACCAGGTCTGTGCTTAGGCCAGTGTGTGGAGCTGTGTGGTTACTTCTGGTGCTGGTTACTTCTTGCGGATGTGTGGTCGTCGAGCCTGGAGTCTTTGGCGCGTGGCTGAAGGTTTTGAACCAGCACCAATGGAAAAGGAGGGGGTGGCTGGAGAGCCTGGAAAACAAACCGGAAAACCACGTTAGCTATTGTATGAACATAATGACGGTTCTTAAATGTACACACAGAAATATCAGTTCTGACATCTGCTGGATAAAGCTCCCAGCTATTGGCCGAATCCAGGATACGGATCTAAACACACTCAAAGTGAAGTATTCAGAATATGGCGCTTACCTGTGCTAAGAGAAACCAGGATACTCATATTCTTGTATAAATGCGCCATTAAAGTATCCTGATAGTGGTTGCTATGGTAACTAGGGTACAGGTATGGCAAGGAGTGAAATAAGTAGCAACATAGCTAACGCAAGGCTTTTAACAGGTTTCTAACAAAAAAGAAGACATACATTCAAATAAGAACACTAGACTGTGGAGCTGTCTGTTTTTAACAGTTGGAAAAACACAACAGTGTCACAGTATCAGTTTAATTCAAGAGCAGCACAAACCACCACAGACGTGAGCCTGGTGTTAAAAGGTGGCTGTATTAAACAGTAGACTGCTTTATTTTGAGTATAAAATAGACTTTGATTTGTTTTGGGAAAGTAACTGCTCCTACCATTTTTGTTAGTTTAATTGGCACATAGTCAGTATAGCACCAGTTTTGAGAAATCCACAGTATCCTGGATACTATTAGAAAAACCCAGTGAGTATCCCGATTTGTCATAACCAGGATACAAACTTTCAGGTCTTTATTTTTTGACATGTTGATGATTATGGTTTACAGAAGGAAATGAATACCCCAAATTCTGTGTCTCAGAAAATTTGAATAGTGTTAAAAAGTTTTATATTGGTGTCACACCTTAATTTCCCACATGTATTATGAGTACTTTTGAAAAGCAGAGCAGAGCTCTGATAAACAACAAAAGGAGCTTCACCAAAAGGAGCAGTGTTGAAGCTCTGGCCTAGAGTCCCTGGACTTCCAAAGGGGATGGGAGCAGGAGCACCAAACACAGGGACTGTGGGTCCTGAAAGAGAAAACCGCCAACAAGTCAGTTTGATCTATGGCCCTTCAACGGAGAACAACTACTGTTGAGCCCCAGGACACTTCTGAAGGAGTAAACACATGCATGTCTGTGGGGCTAACATGTCTGGGATTTAACATGGCCACCTCCCTGTTGGAGATGGGGCACGTCATATGGTACGTTGCCAACTTACCAAAAGCTGGTTTATCGGAGTTCGTGGCCCCAAATGTGAACGCTCCCATCTGGGGTGCAGTATTGACGGGCGTCCCAAACTGGGGGGCTGATGAAGCCCCAAACTTGAATACAGCTGAGGGCTGGGTGTTGGAGGGGGCAGGTGGCTGACCGGAGCTGCCAAACGTGAAGGCGCCGGAGCTCTGAGGGGCCTCAGTTCCAAAGGCGGGAGCTGCGGCTGTGGAGCTGCCAAAGGAGAAGGAAGGCTTAGGCAGAGTCCCAAAGGAGGGCGCTGTGCTGGGGGTCTGTCCCAGAGCAGGAGGAGCAGTCTGTGAAGCTGGAGCTGAGGGCGTCGCTCCAAATGTGAAGGCTTTGGGAGGTTCTGCTGTGGAACTGAAGCTGGGCTGAGTCGCACTAGAGTCTAAAGATGACTTCCCAAAAGTGAATGTAGACTGTGACATGGTGCTCCCAAAGGTATTAGACTGTGTGGAGGCGGTGGAACCAAAGGTGGGAGGGGCCTGTGTGGAGGCGGTGGACTCGAAAGTCAGAGGGGCTTGTGTAGAGGCAGTGGAGCCAAAAGTGGGAGGGGCCTGTGTGGAGGAAGTGGAGCCAAAGGTAGGAGGAGCTTGTGTGGAGGCGGTGGAGCTGAAAGTGGGAGGGGCCTGTATGGAGGCGGAAGCAGTGGAGCTGAAAGCTGGAGGGGCCTGTGTGGAGGTGGTCCCGTAAGGGGGAGGAGCTTGTGTGGTGGTGGTCCCAAATGTTTGAGGGGCCAGTGTACTGATGGTCCCGAAGCCTCCAAACGTGGCCCCTCCATTGCTGCTTTGAGTGGGAGCCGTCTGTACAAGGCTCACTCCAGTCTGAGAGGAGCTGGGTGGCTTGGTCCCAGGAGTTGAAGACACCTGCAGTGAGTTCCCAGAAGCGCCTCCAAACATGGGTGTGAGAGCTGACCCCCCACTGATGGCCGCGGCATTGACCGAGAACAGAGAAGCTGTGGTGGTGATACTGGAGCCACTGGACACAGGGAGTGAGGCAGAGGAGGCTGAGGTGGACACAGCACTTTCAGGAGCAGTGCCAAAAATGGGCTTAAAGTTCTGGAGAGGTTTGGTATCAGCAGCTGTGTTGCTAGGGGTGCTACTGGGGGTGCTGCTGGGGGTGCTGAAGATTGGTTTGAAGCCCGAGGTCAGCTGAGAGGGGGCAACGCTGGCAGCAGGGGCGGATGTGCTGGAGGAAGCAGACAGCAGGCTGAAGAGACCTGGAGTAGAAGTAGGAGCAGGGGCAGGGGGCTGCTGACACGAGGCTGTTGCTGGAGGCACCACAGAGGTAGAGACAGGAGGGAGCGACGGCTGCGGGGCCACAGTGGGCTGGACCTGAGTCGACACAGTCACTGTAAAGAACAGAACAACTGTGAGAACCAGCCAAAAGTCTATGAACCAAATCCACCTGGAGGACACTAACCTGAGGCAGGGCCAGGGCTCTTCCTCTTCAGAGACTCCAGAAGGATGTTGGTCTGAGCTGAAGCACCCTCCGCATTGCTTAACGTAGGAGTGCTGCTGCCACCCCCCGCAATCACAGAGGTACCCAGGGTACTGCTCAAGGTCACAACTGAGGTGCTGAGGGTTCCACTAGAGCCAACAGTGAAGGGAGCACTGGAGGTGGTGGTCTCAGGAGCTATACACAAACATGACAAGATTAGATGCATGGTCCCTCCATATCAATAATAAACATGGCTGCTGATGAGAAAAATAAGGACAGAAATAGGACTGCAGCAAGACTCACTAGGCGTCTCCAGGACCTTGCAGATCTTGTTGAGAGTGCTGCGTTTCTCCTCATCCAGGTCCTTCGCTGTGACAGTGTAGCCCAGCTCTGGAGGGGGAGGCTGCGTGCACACAAACACACGCATGGTGAGTTTTCATCCTTCTTGGGGACATTATATTCATTCATTTCCTTGGGATATTTTCCTTTCCCTAACAAAACAACTACTACTCTAACATGAATCTAAATCAGAGGTCATTAATGGATATTTGTGTATCTGAAGGTACATTTATCATGTTAACTTTGGCTGTGGTTGCTCCATTGAGAACCACTAACACAGCAGCCCCATTTAAATCTTAGAGAGATAATATGTATGACTAGAACCAAAATTTACTACAGTAAAAGTTGGATTTGCTGATCCAATTTACTCCAGATTCTCTCTCTAATGCCATCTTAACAATTAAAATGACCTATTTCCTCTAAATAAATCAACTAATGCCTACAAAGGTCTTGGTAAAAGTACCTGAAAGTAGATTGTCTTAGTGCAGGTGTGGATATGGGGTTGTTACCTTGAAACCACAGGAAACACACATCTCTGTGGTAGGGCTGGGTGATACGTAAATAAATAAAAATTAAATAAATCAGGATAGTTTCATCTGGGGGTCAGTGATATCTTGATATTTAAGATATATCGAGATATTTTTTAAACACAAAATGGATTCTGACATATCGTATATATCGATATAATGCTTATATTTAATTCAGATTTTGCCGCCTCACTTGTTTGTCTTCTCTGTGCTCGCTGGCAAAGGGAGCAAGCTGTTTATTCAGCGCTTATAGTTTTATGCAAATGAGTCATGTGGTTTTAAGTTTTGTTTCTGTAAAACAAATGTGCACAAAGCAGCATTAAACACATTATAATATCAAACAGGTTGATGTGGCTCTATAGTCGTTATGGTGTATATGTTGTTAAGTTTAGTCATGTAAAGTTTATTTATGCAGAAGATTTTAATGAATGATCTGCTGCAGTGTACAACTTGTACAATAATGTTTGGAAACGTTGGGACCGATCTGTGCAGTAGATTGTGGGATATCTTGTAGCTATAGCTATAGCATAGTTGTTGTTTTTTTTTGCTCCATATTGCCCAGCTCTAGTTTCCTCCCATATTGATTTTTGATTTGTTCTATTTGTTCTTCTTCCATCATAGTATAAACATACATAAAGAGCAGGTTCACTAAAGAACTACATTTTGTTTTATTTTGTCCCTGCTACCTGCAGAGGACTCTGCAGTGGTAGATTGTATCAGAAATGGACAGTAGCTGGAGTACAAGACACTTATTGCAAATTTTGTGGAGTGGTCCCAGGCAAACCTCCTGCTCTTGAACAATGACAAGACCAAGGAACTGGTGATTGACTTGAGGAGGAAAAGGACACCAGTGGAGCCATCCATGGCCATGATGTGGAAATGGTGGATTGCTACAGGTACCTAGGTGCAGTGTCCCTGACTCTGAGCTTTCTAAACAAGAGAGCGATGAATTTTGAGCTCCACATACTGAAGACTGAATGCATGTGCCTTATTATCAATGCATGTGCCTTATTATCAAGATCGACCAAAAGTTTGACCAAAGATCGTAAAATATCAATATTTAGATTTTTGGCACATTCTTTTCTTTTTGTCCCCATGATGCAGATCTGAGTCCCCATGATGATGTGAGCTAGACCTGCTCACAGCTCATGACCCTGTGTGGTCTCCAGGCCTGGGTTGTGTCTTCTGTTCTTACCAGACAAACGTCTTGGTCTAGGTTGTGTCCACAGATTGTATGAATGGAGTATGACGTCACACACAGCGTTTGGCTCCAGTCAAATTACGCTCATCGAGACTGGCAGTTACAGGGATGCATTTGGAGCTGATCACAAGTATTATAGCAATCAAAGTGCCAAACCAGAGCGAGGGTATTGGTAACTGCAGGTTAGCTATGTCAATTTACAGTCTATGGTTGTATCTCGTGTTCTTACCAGAGAAAGGCTTGGGTCTCGGGTCATGAGCTGTATCTTACGCTTACGCTTCCCTCCACTCCCAGTGAGCTCTGTTGAGCTGGTGCCAAGCTCAGTGGGAGGAGGTGACAATGCATCTGGAATGTTAAAAGAACATATTAATATTGGAACCAAGCCACCAATACATATCCATCTACATTGGAACATACATTGGTACATAAAACCACTCTGCGTGTGTAGTGGTTGCAGAGGACATTCACAGGTAAAAGGTGCGAATGATACAGAACTTGGGGATCATTATGAGAATTGTACAGTCTATTCCTCATTACATGTCATTACGTTTCGATGCACAGGCAAAGCCGATTGCACTAAACAAACAAATTCAAATTGCTTTTGCCCTAAGTCAGACCACTATTAGCTCAGCCTACAGCAGGTCAAAGAACCCAATAGGTGCCAACGGGGGATACGAGCCGTTCAGGCGCTTAGCTTTAAATACTCAACTTGGCTCTAATTACTAATAAAAACCACCATCATACATATAACCACACCTTTGCCAGAAATACATAAGCAACCTCTCATTTACACTGTGAAGTAGATTTTTAGACATGCAACAAAATTATTTAGTCACAAGTTATTTGTTCTCCACTGCACAAACTGAAACTCCGCTAAGTTTCATTTTCACATTAACGTAGCAAAGCAAAACAAAGCAACATGTATTCAGTGGAGAAACCATAGTTTGCCATCACTGCTGATCTAAAATGAATACTTTCTTGATGGTTTTCCAGAATGCCTCAGCTAGCCTGTGTCTAATATACATGCAAGCACACATCGGCTGGTTGCATTATTAAGATCTGGGAGAATTAAATCACGACACCTCAATCATACTTCCAGAATACAGTTTAAATTGAACTTGGCCAATTGTCCAGTTTTCCTGGTGTGCTTGTTACCATAGTAAGGGTGAGGAGTGACCCAGTCTAGCTCCATACTCACCTAGCACAGGCAGCTGTCCTGAGACTCGGTCGGACTTCACTGATGACTCTGTGCTGGGACATTCCTGCTCCTCCTCTCTGCAAACACAAATCAAAGCTTTCAGAAAGGATGTCTTTCACAGCCAAAGCCAAACTCTGAGGAGTTTTGGATAGGTTTGGGAGTATACCTGGTCTTTTTGGAGCTTCCCTCTGGAGTCTGAGCACGTGAAGGCCCGGTGCTGGACAGAGGCGATGCAGCTAATGGCCTCTTTCGCTAAAAACAATGGGAAATTAACAAAATACACTTTAAAACACATCCATACTTGAGTACTATGAATGAAATCTGAATAGCTAAACTAATCCTATGTAAAAACTACACAGTCCTAATAATATATTTGCCATCTTCATAAAGTTCATCTGATAAAGGCTGTGAAAGGAGTTAACTTATGGAATAGTCTTGACAAAGAAATAAAAGAATCAAATACAATGATGACATTTAAAAAACATAAAATCGAATGCAATGTGTATGTATGAAAAAGAAAACAAGTTGTTGTGTATAATAATGAAGATTACTGTTTGCAACTGATCAGTAATTGTGCCTCAACTGATATGGAATGTTTAGTAACCATCGGTGTTGATGTACTGTCTTGAAAAAGGAAAAGGGGGACAGATAACATAAGATTTTTTCTTCTTTCTGCTCCTTTTCATTCATTTCTTGTGTGTCTGATGTTCTGACACTGTCAATGTCTTTTTATGCTTTCTGTATGAAATAAATAAATAAATAAATAAAAATAAATAAATAAATAATTGGCACCAATATCTGTACTGGCAAATATCTGTTAAAGTGCATTAGATAGATTAATATATTTTTTCTAATGCTGACTTGGTTTGGTGGATAGTATGTGTGCCAAATATTGATCATAATTTTACATCAGTTAAGTGATAGTTTGTGAAGAAAAGTTGATAAAAGTAAAAAAAATAATAAAATACAGGACATAGGAGTGATTGTTATCCCTCAGACGTTCAGGTGGAGAGGAGCAGCTGAGGCTCTACTTTGAGCTCCTCCTGTGTGATTAAACCGTGTGACTAACCGGATTCTGTCCATAAATACAACAAACAAACAAAGGGCAGCCCAGGCAGAATCGAACATGCACTGGGAACATGACTTGCTGTCATGACTTTAAAGGCCAAAATGACAAGCCTGACAACAGAAGTTACAGAGAGAGGGAAAACTTTTTTCAATACAGAGCGAACTGGAATCGGAGTCGATCAAAACAAAGGGCAGTGTGTCATCTTACTGGTAAAACAGAAGAGCTGACGGAACAGTGTGCAGCATGAAACTTATGTCTACTTGAAAATTGTCTCCAGTGTGGGCCTTTACAGAGTCTCAAAGTCAAAGTGTTGTTCTTATCATAAACCTACATCCACTCAAAGTCTGCTGTGTCCGTGTAAAGTTAAAGTCAAACAGATACTATGAACCAAACTCCGTCAACATCCTCCTCTTCCTCTTGAAAAAGCGTAATTCCCAAATGTGGTGTAGTGAATATTCAGTGTGCATAAAGATGCAGCCAGATGTTCAAGTTCAAGTTAAGTTCTCCAAATGCCTCCTCTGGCCAGGTAACAGAGTACAGTTATTTATCAAAATGAGGAGTGTGTGCTCCACAGCTTTCCTTTGATAGGCTATAAAGTAGCCGTATATACAGAGAAAAGAAAGTGAAACTCAAGTGTGTGTCAGTCCACATGAGGATCAACAGTGCGCTCTGGTTCATTTGAATCAATCAGTCAGCAGTCATTTTCTACCACAGAGCGTGGTGAAAAACAACAGTGAGGCCTGTAAAAAGATGCTCATCCTGGGAGCACATGGCTACTTATGCAGAGTAAACAAAGTCTGTGTTAGCACTGTTTTCGGTTTTTGGTCTGACTACTGATACAATACCTGAAAACTGTGTGGTATAAGAGTTTTTGTCGATTCCAGTATCGGTATTGGAACAAGCTTAATCAGTGCATTTTATTTTAATATAATGTTTTGTTTACACTGTGGTTAGTATGCAAAACAACCCTTTGCCATTTATGTTCACGTCACTAAAATGCAAAAGAGCAGAGTGCATTACCTGTCCCATCCCCCTGGAGGAGCTGTAGGAGCTGGAGATGGGGTTCCTGTTGAAGCTCGGGGTCCCTCTGAAGGGGGGCCCTCCACTGGATGAGCTCACAGAGGAGGTGCGGGAGTGCTTCAGACTGGGTTCCTCCAATGCTGTTGTCAGCCCTCTCTTCAAACTGCCGGGCCTGGGACAAGAAGCACCACAAGTCACACATTTGGACAGGACAACCAACACATGTGGTAAATATCATTAACCACATGTGATGAAAAACATAACAAAACAACAAAGAGCAACCAAGTAACATCATTTGGCATTAGTGTTTTGGCTGAACTTAGCAGCAAAAATGGCAAAGAAAAAGGGGGTTTAATTAGTGATAATGACATTGTAATGGGCTGTAGTTCTTCAGTTGATTGGTTGACTAAGACACAATCAGTATATTAATCAACTAAAGTTTGTATTAGTTGACTGATAATTTTTTTTAGACTAGTATTTATATTTTATATGTACTTATATGAGACAATGGCAGAAATGAGGAGTGAGTATTGGTATTTTTTCTATATACATGTGTGGGACCAATAGTATTAAGCAGGCACTGTAATGGTAATGAAGTAGAAAGCACCACCCACCTCATTTTATTTTTTAAATTATTTTATACCAAATTTGTACAAAGGAAATTGTATTTTTTTATATTTCATGGACACAAGAAACGGATACGATTGTAGACAGGAGATATGCTGGGGATACACGCAGGCAGGGGAAGGCAACTCGGGGGGGGCCTCGCGGGTCCTAATTGTAAAGTGTGCCTTGACATGAATAGCGTGATCATAAATGTGTCTCTTGTGTTTCAGGTGAGAAACGTCACTTTAAGTGAATATTTCTTTTGATAAACAAAAGTTTTTAAGTTAGATGCGTCCTGTAAGGTGTGACCTAATTGTAAAGTGTGCCTTGACATGAATAGCGTGAATTGTGCGTTGCAACACTGGAATTTCCCCACTGTGGGACTAATAAAGGCATATCTTATCTTATCTTATCATAAATGTGTCTCTTGTGTTTCAGTGCATACGGCATTAAATGGAAGTAAATACACACTCTCTGAAGCCTCTTTATCCGACCACAAGTGCTACACATGTAAAAATTGTGAATCATAAGTTTGCATTCATACAAGAAAGATTAGTTTCATAAAGAGTAAATAGTAGTTCTGCATATATTATCATTATTATTATTATCATCATTATTATTGTTAATAACAACAACAACACCTAGCAACATTAGCAATGCTCTTTAGGAATCAGCTGATTTTTTTTTATTTTAGAAAAATGGCTATGTAACATTTTTGAACCCTACATGTGATTATTCGCTGTGGGGCACAGAACATAGTACAAAGAGGTGGAGATGGGGGATAGATGCAGGACAATACAGGATTACTCAAAGAAGCATGACTCAATCAAAATACAACTGAGTGAGATAATGAGGGAATAATGCCACGGTTAGAAGCTCATAAAAGTGGATTTATCACAATATGTTCAGTGTTTCCCACAGACCAAGTAGCATTGTGTGACTGATTGTGAACATTGTGTGACCCCCTGGCCCTGATCAGACGGTGACAGCCGCCCCCACTGGACTATAAGCAGAGTCAGTACAGTTTGCTTATACACATTATGTTAGAGGAAGATCTGTATTTTAAGTTTCATCTTGAGAATTACTAACCAAAATTGAAGTTTAAGTTTAGTTTTTACCTGAACTTTAGATTCTTTGACATTCAAGGAATGAATTAGAAAAAAAGAAAAAATTTAATAAATCTTGAGGTTTTTATTTCAAATACTTAACTCAAGACCTGCTCAACCAAAACAACAATTTGTTGTTGTATTTAACTTTTTTGGTAAAACAAAATAAATAATATAATGTAACAATTATATAATAATACAAATAAAATAAATAAAATACTGGCACTATAATTAGACATAAGAAACTACTAAAGGTACAACAAGGCAACTAAAATACTGAAACAGCAACTGAAATACTGAAATAGCATGAGCCTGTTTGGTGCAGGGCTTGCATGCCCTATCAGGACACCACATTTCACGTGGCTTTCTGAAAAATAACTCAAGTGTCCTATCATAAGTGACCTCCTTAGAGGGCCAGGCTACCCCTGGACTGGGCTTAGTTATCCAAGTGTCGGGACGGGCCCAGAGATCCTCTTGCATAGACTGTCCGGTAACAGTGGGCGAAAGGACTGGTCAGCCAAACCCAAACGTTTAGGCCCCACGGGACGTAGCCATCGCCCGAACACCCTTTGCAGCCAACCTGCTCTGTGGGCTTGGGAGAAATAATTTCCTGTCCCACCGCTGCACCGCGGGCAGAAAGATCTGGAGATCAAACAGTGCAAATAGTGTTTTCTAAGTGTACCCCCATTGACATGTATGTGTGCCTGTTGATCTTATCATTCTTTGGCGCTGCGCCACAGACTGCTCTATGTATGGGAAACACTGACGTTTCTTCAGTAAAAACGTGTGCATTACAGTAGGGTAAAGGCTGGGACTGAACAGGGTGACACTCAGAGGTTAATTTCAGTCATCTAATGAAGTTGGATAGGGTGACACTCACTTGGGGATGAGCTGGCTGGATGTCCCATTGGGCAGCAGAGGCTCAAAAGCAGACTGAGCACTTCCTCCACTGTCATTGCGCCTGCCACACACAAAAGAACAACACGGACTTACATGGGTTACTGTGGATGCATCAAGTGCTTTAGGTTTTCAAACTCCAGTTCAGGGTCCATTTAAAGCACATGCAGGAGCATTCACCTGTGAGAGAACTCTGAAATCTGAACTGTTAAACTAATACATGAATGCTAGAGACTTCAGATTCAGAACTACTGGAATAGAAAGAAAGTTGTTTTTCTCTGTTCTTCTGTGTGTGCTTGGTTTGTCAGAAGTATTGAAAATCAGATATTAAAATTAATATTAAAACTAGTATCAGAACTAGATGCTGCTAGGGATCTATATGATAAAGTCCCATTTACAGGACAGAAATGAACTTTTGCTGACATTCTAGCTTTAGAATGTTCTTGAGCAGGCTGGAACAGAGGAGTGACAGGACAGAGATGGGTAGTCCAGCCTTACCTCCTTTTGCTCCTCTGCTGGGCTGTGAAGCCGCTCCCCTCGTCCTCCACTTCTCGCTTGCGGCTCTCCTTCAGCACCTTGAGCACACTCTCTCTGGAGCAGGGGTCAGCTGTGGCCCTGGGGAACACTGGGCTGCCCACATGCTCCAAGCTGAAAAATGTATAAACAAAGTCAGCACAGGCTTTATCTTCTAACCATCAAAAAATGAGTAAATTAACCGAATAGGCCAAATAAAATTTTTGTTACATTAATGCAACAAGTAAAAGCCTTCAATCAGTCATATTGTGATGGCAGTTTTGAAAAAGTGGGTCAGTGGATCTGACCGCTCAACCAATGTTTTTTATGTCAAGAGCGGGATTCCAACTGCCAACCTTCAGATCAGTGGATGAATACTCTACCAACTGAGCTACTGAGCTCAAAAAACAAAAAGTCATACATTCTAAATATTACTAGAGATTTATTAATTTAAAAAATCAAGACAGCCCTATTTTTAAGTGACACCCAAACCCACCTGTGAGCAGGTCCATCCGGCCGGGCGATCTTCACTGTCACTGGGCTGGAGACAGAGGAGTTCCGGGGTCTGAGAACACTCTTCTGCCTGAAGCCGTCCCACCTGAGTGGGGGTAGGAGCCCCACAGGATGTGCCCCCTGCTGCTGGAGGGGGTAGTGTCGCTGGGGGGTGATGGTGAACCTGGCCGCTGACCCCAAAGGCTCTCTGGGACACCGACACACAAACATGAATGAACAGAGCGCAAGCAGGTTCAAATTAAGTATCTTTATCGAGCAAGGAGATTGCCACAATTGACAGTTTCTTCCAAAGCACTGGGGCAGGGCCTGTACCCACTCACTGTTTACATAGACATACCATGAAGATGTTCTCATTGTTTTCATTAAAAATACACTGATTACTTAAAAAGGGTGAAAGAGTGAAGTATGAGCACATCTCATTTAAATCAAGGTTAACACGACTAGAATGTAAACACAAATGAGCGGCTGTCTTTTGGAGCCTCTCGGGTGCGACTCCTTTGGCCCGGCAGAACCGCCGCGGGTCTGATCCGCTGTCCGTGTGTTTACCCGGACGCGCTGGAGGAGGCACTCATTCATAAGAACCTGTGCACGGCTACAGTAATCGCACTCACCCGGTAAAGGACAGCCTGCGTTTGGGAGTGTACACTGCATAGTTGGGTTTGGCGAGCCCGAGTCGCAGCTGTTCCCCGGGGTTCCGTGGAGCTATGGCTCGGAGCGAGTTTTCCGACGGCGGACTCTCGGCTTTGGCGATGTAACTCCCCATGAGCAGGTCTCGCGGGCTGAACAGAAATGACTCGCTGTTCTGAGCCTCCGGTCGATACGGACCACCCGATCCAAACCTACGCTCGTAGAGCTGTGATGGTTCCCGAGATGGGAGTTTGCTTTTGCCGCTGATTAACTTTTCCAGCCTCAGCGGAGGCACCGACACGCCGCTAACCCCCCAAGCCCAGCCCCAGCGCCGCAGCACGCGCTGAATGTTCGCTCCAGTCCGAGGATCCAAGCCTAATCGTCCGAGAAGTGCTTCTGGACTGCGACAATAAAGTACAATGAAAAGAAATACGAGAATAACAGAAAAATAGAATAAAAGAGGCCAATAATAAAGCGCTAGAGTGAGGATTCCCAGAGCAGAAAAGAGCGCTAAATGTCTGCTTCGCGCGGGGGACATGGCGGCCTGAACGCCGGCGGAAACTGGACTCATACACTTCCGGGACAGCCTCCGCGTGTGGGTCATGTGCGCATGCGCACTCTGCTGATGGCTCCACGTGATTATTCCGTGCGCTTCGGTGTAAACAAATGCGAAGAGAAAGCGGCAAAGTGCTGCTGTTAGATCAGTCTTTATTCACACAGTCTCAGAGTAGGCCATGCAATTCTCCTTTCGTAACAAACACAAAATGGAAGCCATAATATATTTATAAATAGGGATAGATTTTCCCTTTCATACCAGTAGAATCTAAACAATTTTGGGTAATTTAATTGGATTGAACAAGAAGGGAAAATGTAGGTCATTATTTGGAGACAATTAAAATAAAAAAGAAACCATGTAAAAATATCACATTTATTATATCAAAGACACATGAAAAATATGAAATAACCATTGGTCCTGTCACTGGTGAAGGGAAAGACAGAGAAGGGGGAGAGGGAAAGTATGGTGCATTCTATTCAAATAATGTCTACACTTTATAGGCTATTACGTATTTTTAAAAGAAATCCAATAAAATTACCATATAATAAAAGTGTTTAAATTGGATTGGTCTTAAAGTAAAATTCCTATAGGATTATAAATAAATAATTTGTTCCAGCAATTTTCCAAAAAGTATTGTTCGATTAGAATCCTATTGGCATCTTAAGCATTGCCTTTAAAACATAAATAGAGGAGTGGACTTGGTCTGCATATCCACAGGTCATAATGGGTCACTGGGCACAGGTTAGGAACACAGACTGTATAGACGCTGTAACAGTTTGAAAAATAGAAGGAACAATACAACAATAGAAATGCATGGTGTCCAAGTGTGCAGCAGAGAGAATGTGTCACTGAGACGTCACTGAGCTCTTCCTGAGCCGGTTGCTGCGCTCTTTAGCGCTGTCCGAGGACATCTGTACCTCAAAGGTCTTGTCAAACGCACTGTGGTCCACACGGAATGCCTCCTTCTCCAGAGAAATGCATGACTCAAAGCGGTGACCCCACAGCACCTCATCCTCTGTGTAGGAGGTGCGGGCCTGGCACGTCATGCCTGCAGCACAGACAACACTTCTCATTAGAGCCAGACTGTACATGCTCTGACACTGATCCCACTATCATACTTGGGATGTGATGGTAAGTAATATGTAATATACGGCCAAATATGGTTGTTTTCAATCTAGTATTAAAATATAGCAGTGCCCTTTAGCTCGGTTGACTAGAGCTGCAGTGGATATAGGTCAGTTCATCTGATATGTGAGTGCGATTAACTCTAAACTGGAAGGTTTACCTGTTGTCCTCTGGGCTAGACTTAGAGGCCACACATACTGTATCTGTAAGTAGAGACCCACCTGAGGCCTCCACGATGCCTTCCAGGATGACAATGATCTCAAAGGTCTCCTTGCAGAGGCGCTCAGCTCCCACCTCCCAGAAGGGACTGCTGTCATTGATGATGTGTGTGATGGTCTGAGGTTCCACTAGGAGCAGCCGGTCGCCCCCGGTGTCGTAGCCCAGGTTAATCTCAGACTGTTCCAAGGGGATAAACTCACCCTCCTTGGTCTGCCGAGACTTGATGAGCTTGGCACGGACCTTGGCATCCACCATGTGGCTCTCCCGCAGGTCCCCTATGCGGAAGAGCATGCATAGTTTGTTATCTCGTTCACATATGACGCAGTGTTTACTGAAGATGAGGGTCTGGGCTCTCTGCTGTGGACGAGAAATCTTCACAAACATGCAGCCCACCATCAAGGCGTCAATGATGGAACCCACAATTGACTGCACCATGAGGAGAACCACCCCCTCCGGGCAGTGTGCGGTCACCATCCTGGAGCCATAGCCAATTGTCCTCTGACTCTCCAGAGAAAGCAACAGGGCTGAAAGGAAGCCATCCACCTTCTCAAAGCAGGGCTCCCACTGGGGGTCCCTCGCATGAGCAATGTCACCTCTAAGCCATGCACCCAGGAAGTAGACTGCCCCAAAGGCCACCCATGTCAGAACGTAGCACAGACTGAAGACCAGGAGGAACCAGCGGTACTTGAGGTCCACTAATGTGGTGAAGATATCTGAAAGGAAGCGCCTCTTCTCAGCTATGGGGCCCAGGTTTACCTGGCACTTGCCATCCTTGGTTACATAGCGCTGTCGCTGGCTGTTGCTGCTCACCTGGATGAGGTTCTGGTCTCCCAGAAGCTTGCAGTGTTTCCTCTTGGTCAGCTTGTCCAGACTGTGAGCTGGGATGTTGGAACTGCCAGTGGACCCTCTGGACTGCCACCTAGAGCTGAAGCGTTTCATGCGCCTGCTGCGCTGAGGCCGCTGGGGCTTGGACATGTCCACAGAGTCCACAGTGTGTCCGCTGCCCTGGCGGGATAGCTCCGAGACAGGTTGACTCAGTACATCAGGGGCCTGAAGTGTGCTCTGCTCAGAGGGGCCACTCTGGACCACAGAGGTCTCACTGAGGGGGCTGAGGGACTGAGAAGCAGGCTCGTCCAGTGGAGGAGGAGGCCAGCTAGTGCTGTTCATAAGGTTCAGAAAAGTAGCTCTTCGGATCTTTGCCACAGCAGATACATGGGGTTCTGTAGCAGGCTGCAAGAAACAAACCACATGTAAAGTCAACATAAGTACAGCGTGTGCCTGTGATCTTTGCAAATCAGTCTGGGATTGCAATTGCATTAGTTTAAAGCCTTGCAGATTGTAGTATGCTGTGAGTATGAAACTGACCATTAAATTCACTGTAATCTTACTGTCTGTTTGGATGTGACATGTCAGCATGTGGTAGTTGCCTTTCCATCACATCTTTGCCTATCAATTATGTGAAATGAGCACACAAGCAGGGTGCAAAGATGAAATTTAGCTTTGGCTACTATTCTGAATGATTTTTAATATACACTGCCCTTTTAAAAACGATGAAAACAAATAGCATAAAACAAAACAACATGACTCCATGACTTCCATGGAGGAGGACAGGTGGGAGGCACAGTGGATGTGGTCAGTGTCTGTCTGCACCTTCGGGACACTGATCTAGCCTCAGAATGCCAGTATGATAGCATCTCCAACAAGGGCAATGTGGAGCTTCCTCTTTTCTCTATTATAAAGCCAGTCCAGAACCAATTCCAGTGGAGTTTGCCAATAGACTGACCTGTTGACAGCAGGCTGGTTGTGGGGAGAGTGAGTTCTCGAGATGGTCCCAGGACAGACGGGGTGCTGCACTCACCAAGGGGTGCTCCATCGCTGGGCTCTCCATGTACAATGACACAGAGAGTATAAAAGAAACAGGACTCTAAAAGCTAGTTTCTATTGGGGGAAAAAAAACAAAAAAAAACCACTGAGCCACACCAGTGAACTGCTAACAGGACGTCCCATGCCTGAAGTGGTCTTCTCAGTGACTGGCGGTGCTTGATTGTACATGGGGATTAGCACTAATCCACAAAGCAATCGCAGAAAGTCCAAGGAGCATGATGAAAAGATTAGTGACAATGGTTGGGTGTTGGAGGAAGGATGTCCAGATGTGACTCTCATCTGCTGTAATACAACTGCATAGCCTCCTGCTGGCAATTATACAACACGTTTTGGTAAGTGAATGAAAAAAGTATGTTTATAATTCAATTTTATGGTGTGGACAACAGTGTTGCATAGTTCAGATGTTCCCAAAAATAACCATGCAACAGACTGGGACCCCTGCTGTGGAATGAGATTGATGCTGGTATTCCAGGGTATCCCTAGGTTTGACTACCCCAAATTAAAAAGGTCTTTAAAAAAAGTCTTAAAGACCACTTGAATGAAAATTAAGACCAACCTGGCACCCATTATGCGGACGAAAAACACCTGATCCAATTCTAATAATGACCAACCAACTACTGCATCTAGAATTTAAGAGCCACTGTGGATTAAACCTACACTTCCCCATGATCCATCCAACTTCCTGCTCTGTACTGATTGGTTTCTGGCACAGGCGGCAATGAGTAAAGAAAGCATTGTGTGCTCATACTTCAAATTAGACATTCCTTCATGTTACGTGATTTCACGTTGTTGTTTTTTTCCTCCCTCCATTTAACATTGCACTGCAGCCCGGTTGAGTTTGCAAAAAAATAGGCTAATGAAATTTAAGACCTTTGCGAAAGATATAAGACTTGAACAACATAATTAAAGACTTTTTAAGGCCTTAATTTAGGACCATGAATTTTAAGACCTTTTTAAGACTTTCAAGACCCCGTTACTACCCTGTATTCATTTCAGCCTGAGATGATGGATTATTTGCATAGTTTATTGTGAGATTGGACCCAGTGTTATTAAAATATACAGCTTTAACAAAGGGCCTAAAATCAAAAACACCCAAAGTTGTGTTTCGTTTCATTCACACTTGTTTAGTACTAACCCTCCATATTTAGGCTATGTTCAAGAAGTGAATTTCCTCATGACTGCAGACTAGTATCATGAGTAAAATGATTTAAGACAAGTCCATTGTCATAGAAATGTACAGTTTATTATATCTTAGTGGAAAGTATTTTAGCAAATATTTATATTACAAATAAATACATAAAAATGTTGACAGTGAGAGATGTCAGATAGGCACAGAGGTGACTGGCCTGCTGTTCGAGCCTCATTTGATTTTGGTCAGAGCAATAGCCCTCCTCTCCGTGTTCTGGAACAGTGCACGAATCAGACTCTTCACCTCGAAACTGGAGAACTCCACAGCCAGAGGGCCTTTCCCATCCGCCCAGCTGCAGACAGACAAGAGGTTTAGAACACAGGAATGATCAACTGACCACTCAAGTACCCATAACTAATGATTGCAGAATTTGTAGCTCAAATTTCATAAAAATGTCCCATCTATATGTCCCAGATATGAAGTAAGCATGTTCAAATACAGCCTTTACTGATAACAACTGTCACACTGATATTTGTATCATTATTTGTAATTACAAAAATTACCATTTGCCATTTGCCATTTTGGTTCTCAGAAAGAAGAATGAGCCTCTCCCATTTGGGATGCCAGTTAGAAATAAACCTAAAATGCTTCTCTCTGATCTGAATGGTCACTACCTAAACCAAAGTACCTGCACCAATCATGACTCAGTACTAATGCAGCTTCTGCAGCTGCAGTATATTCTCAGTGTTTCCTGCAGCACTTTATATTTAAGGCAGCTGCCTTGGCATTCAAGTGGCCCTTGCCTTGACTACATCCCTCCTAACCACATGAATCCTTGCAAAACTACAGTCGTCACACAGAATCTCCGTGCACCCCCCAGGAATGGAATGGCTACACTGACTGCCCCAAGAGGCCAGAACTAGACGGGTGAACCAGCAAGACGTAGAGGCTAGAGGCAGGGTACATATCGTACCTATAATATATTCATGAGAGTCCTGCTAATGTGAGAATGCCAATATGATGTAGTTTGAGAGTATGTGCTGCCGTTAGTTTGCTCGCCCACACTCACCGGTCCACGATTTCCTGCAGGTTGGCCTTTAGCACTATGGCCAGCTCCTTGAACATGCTCCACTTCTTCACATAGAGGGCCACCTCTTCCTGATACTTGCGGTTTTTCTTTTCTTCTGTGAGTGGAGTGAAGACCAGAGGACCTTCTTCGATGAGGGTCTGACACAATGTGTGGAGGTGCTCCCCCTCCTCTGAAGAAATATCCTGTGAAAATCCATGGGAACATTAACTCATGCATGTTCCCAAGCCTGTTAACAGGAAATTGGGTAAGCATTGTATAAAGGACAGTATGTAACATTTTTGACAAAAGGTCCACCACCTACTTTACTCTATGGAGATATTGCTTTGTCAGTAATGTTTCTAATGCCATACTGAGAAACATTCCAGGTAAAGTAACAGATGACAGAACCTCCACTGCAGTGGAGTGGTGCTTCTTTATTTACATGTGGTGATGTGAAGTGAATGTGTGTGTGGTTAAGTAGACTGACCTCCAGAGCCATGACTTTGGCTGTGATTTCGGTGATGGCAGTGCTGAGCAGGTTTCCCATGGCTTGACAGTAGTTGCTCACGGGGAGGACGTCCTGCCACACAGTGCCCAGCTGTTTGAGCTGGTGGATGACCTGGAGACGGGCACAGGGGAGGGTTCAGGATCAGGAGCAGGAGCAGGGGGTAAATCTAAGCACTCTCTCTTACCTGTCTGACGGCTTTACTGGCAGCTATGTAGTTGTCTTCATCATCAAGATTACACAGGTTGTGTGCAGTAGACAGTCTGTCCAGAAGTTCTGTCCTCTGCATGTTCAGCTGGGTCAGGAAGCACCGAGCACCTGGATACATCAACACAATAACACAAAAAAGTACAGTTGAGTTCAGACCGTGGAATAATTAACTATTTCACAGAAGTACTCGACACAAACGGCTCCACTGACGTGGCTTACCTAGTTTCCTCAGGCTGGACACCATGTCCACAAATGTGCCCACTCCCTCACTAAGGGGCTGGGGCAGGTGTGCCCTGAAATGGTGGCCCAGTGTGAGCAAGTGGTGGGCCAGATACATGCAGTTGTTGTACTGGATGGCTGCCAGGTGAGGAAACTTGAGCAGGTTCTCTCTGGAGGAGGAAAAGGGCTTTATTACAGTAGGACTTTAACATGACCATAATGATGTCAGCCTTACTTGTGATATGTGGGGACCACGTCATAGAACAACTGGAAGATGTTTCTCACAGTGAAAAAGAGTTGCAGTGCGCTGAAAGAAGCCAGAGTCAACCATGAGCACAGAGACAGAAGAGTTGATGATAAAAGAGATCATGTGCGCAGGGCTGGGCACTGAAACTCGGTTCCAAGTAGGAACAAACAAAAAGGTTCGGAAAGTACTGGTACTGAAAAACTAATGTTCATTTGGAGCCAACTTTCGGTTCCTTGACTTTAAATGTGGGTGTCAATGAGCCAGTGTATACAACGTAGATTTGTCAGCACAGGTGCTCACACGTAATGACTGCGCTCTGAACAAATGAATGCCACAAAATAGCACTCACATTTTAGCATGTGTCCAAATAAAGTGCAGTGTGTCATCTTACCCAGTAAAACAGCAGAGCTGAAGAAACAGCATGCAGTGTGAAACCTATCCACCCAAAAACACATCACATCTTCAGTGCACGGACTTTACAGTGTCTGAAAGTCAGAGTGCGCAATAATAAATCCATTTCCAGTCTGTAGAGTGCACATGAAGTTGAAGCCAAACTGACAGCATGGACCAAACTCCTGGTCCTGGTAAAGGCGTAATTCCCAAATAAGTGTGGTGACAGCCAGACGCAAAGATACATCCAAACTATTCCACAATAATGTAGTTATTCAAGCATTGAAAAGTATTTTCTTATTAATATTGGTCAGTAATTTACATTAAAAAAATACAGGCACTAAAAAAGGAACCGTTCAGGAACTGGTATTGAATATCAGGTATCACTAAAGTACTAGTATCAGAAAAAAAACAGTACCCAGCCCTAGATATATGTGTGAGTGTACCACTGTGTGGAGCTGCCCACAGCCTCAGATAGTGTGTGGAGGGCCAGCTCCATCAGCTGCTGCACAGACTTGCTGATGCGACATGGGGGCAGGCACATGCTCCAGGAGCTCAGCTGATTCTGGTTGGTCATGCCGGGCTCTGGCGCGCTGCTGTCCTGCTTCTTCAGCTCCCCCCCTGGAGAGGGCAGCTTGGGCAGGGGCAGTCTACTCTCCGGGCTGATCTAAAGCACAGCAAACATTCAAGGACTTTACTATACACAACCATACATAGTCCACCATTCTTTGTACCAAAGAGTGAATCTGAAGGGATAGACCTTAAATAGTCATTTGTGCTTTGGTTTCCCTATTCAACTTATTTAACCTATCTTAGCTGGTTCTAAACAGAGACGAAACCCCTCATGGGAATTAAACCAAAGACATTGTTGTCAGGTGAGTCACTCAACCACCACATGATCTAATTTTCACACTTTGTGGCAATCTGCCATTAACTGCATTTCCACCCACAACATGTTATTGTAAATGAGGAGACATGGTGGCCTCACAGCAAACGCAGGCCGCCTGGGCCCTTCTGTGTGGCGTGTGGAGTTTGCATGTTGCATGGGTTTCGTCCAGGCACCCATCAACCCAAAACATTTGACTGTGACACTGATAAAGTGTGCCTTGTCCTACACAGGAATGAGCGTGTGGGCTGGTTTTACAGAGTAGCCTGTACACGGCGGAGGGGCAGGTTCAGGTTCTCCTGGAGCTGTACCTTGACAGTGTCATGCATTTTGGAAGTCATAAGCTTGCGTGCTGTCACAATCACGTCTCGACACTTCTTGCTGGCAAAGTGACAGTTGATTTTGCGTGCGTATTTGAGGAGCTCTGTGCAGTCTCCGTGCAGAAACTCCATCTCCTTCAGATTCTTCTCAAACTCCTCAGTCTCCTTTATTACCTACAAGAACATGGGAAAAAGTTACTAAACAATCTTATTGTGTCTGTGCTTTACACTAAATAGGTGTGTGCAACATGCCACAACATACATACCACACTTTTTGCAGCTCACTACTGAAATGTTGTCAATTTACTATTTAAGAACACTATTTCTATATTGCCTTTAGGAGATAACCATCTGCTTTTTTAAAGTCCTGTCTTCTTCACTCTGATTAGTTAGATGCACTATGGATTGGGGGCTCTAGCAATCGCAATGGAGTGAAGATGCACTACTCACGCCTCCTGAACATTTTTGCTTAAACTTCATTACTAAAAGACACTTAAGTTACCAACTGGGTTATAAAACATTTCTAAGACTGTTAGCTACAAATAGCATGCAAAATCGCCCATAAAAGTTGCCACAAATTTGTGAAAATACAAGTACGAAGCCCCACCAAACACTAGGTCCAGTGTAACCACAGGAAGAAGTTCCAACAAAACTGCTAACCAAGCAACAACAAAGCCTGATCCGAAAGCTAGTAGCAAGGACACAACAGTGATCAAAACTGACATTCTTGCCTCCCTGCGATAGGACATCTAAAAAACGCAAATAACCAAGATATAAAATAACACCGCTGCCCTGTGGGAGAGCATGACCAGGTAAAAGCCAATGTGAAAACTATGGAAGGTGAGATGTCCATTTTGTCTGACGAGTTTGTTGAAGTGAAGACTGGTGACTGGTCTCAGAGCAGAAGTATAAAAGCTTAGGGACCAGAGTGAAGATCTGGAGGGGCAAATGATAAGAGGTAACATCAGGATTGCAGGTGTGGCCGAAAAACAGTGCTCCAGCACACCAGATGCAGTTATTATAACTTGAAAAAAGTCTCAATCAGCTGAACTGCTTAGTGATCTTAAGAATCTGCACAGAGAACTTGACAGCTTGGTTACTGAAAAAATATGGGACAATTTAAAATTTACTAAACAACAAGACAAGCAGGCTGCTGGCAATAAGGCTTAAAAAAGCAGCAGTCAACTAATACGATACAAAAATTAAAATCTGATGGAGTCCCATGTCTCCTCTATTATCTCAGCAAGCTTTGCATGTTTTTATGTTTTGTTAATTGATTTATTTTTATTAATTGATTTTTTTTTCCTTTTCTTCTGTCTATTATTATTATTGTATGTGTGCAATTGTTTTGTTATTAATATTTGTTTTTTTCTTACTGTTTGAGCTCTAAATGTATTTGTACATTTGTCCATTCTTACATATATTAGGTGTAATCAGCTTTGTAACTGACTATGATGTACAAGCTGTGATACCTTAAAGTTAATGAAGTAAAAAAAAAAAAAAAAAAAAAACACATATGTTGCACTATGTTGGTGGAGGTTCTGCCACCTGCTTGTCTCCATGGGGATATACTCACTTTGCCTGGAATGTTCCACAGTATGGCATGATTCAACCAGGTCAAGTTACAGCACATATCTGTGGAGATGTGAACCCACTCACAGGAAGAATTCATATTTTTCAATAACGGAATACTTTTTCCCCCAATAAAAACACCTGTAATTAAATAACTTCAGGATAGATAAGCTTAAAGCCACAGTGTGGAGTACCGTGCTGTACTGCTCCAGCTGACTGCTGTCCATGGGGATGGAGTACTGGAGACACTCGTGGATGATGCAGTGAGAGAACTCCTCCCAGATCAGGTCTCCTAGGATGGAGGACAGCTTCTGGTCCCCAATGGACACATCTGCACAGCACACAAGTGGACGATACTGTTCATCCTTATTTGAATCCAGTCTCATATTGGTGATGTAGTTCTGGTTTATCATTTGGCTGCTCCCATTTTTTTCACCAATATAATAATAGAAGCCCATGCAAACAAGGAACCCCATTCAAGACATTTACATAGGCATATTTAACACACTCCTGATGGACTGGGAAAAAATCACTTCTATTGTTATCAGTCAATGCACTGTTATCATTTTTATAAATTACTATACTGTTTTAATTAAAAGTAGGAAAGCCCCACAACTGGGCCTACGATCCCAAATGTAAATAAAATCACAGCTGACCGATTGGATTTTGTCCCCATATTTAAAGCAATAGGGCTTTTCTTTTACAGTTTTCTTCTCTTATATCAGTTGGGGAATAACTGTACACATACCTTCTTGATCAAATCAATTTAATTTTAACAGTATGAACCTATGTCTCTTGTAACCGGCTCCTCCCACCTACATAAGGGAGATACAAAACAACACACTTTAACTTCAAAATCTGATGCAGTAGTTTTATTAGCGGGAAGAAGACGGATTGTGTTGTACGCTCTGAAGGGGGAGTGGTTTAGCATGGGCAGCAAAGGAAGGGGACTCTCAGTGTGCCAAAAACTAAACTGAAACATTTTAATACACTGTTTTCTGCAAATATTGAGTTGAATTGAACTGAACTGCTTTATTCTCACGAAATTCTGTTAGAGCATCACAACAAACTGAACAGTAAGGTGCCAGTTGTAGGAGCTCCAAGCTGCTGCGTCTCTGCGCGCTGTCATCTTCTATTCCCCTTCCTACTCTGCTCTGATCCTTCAGTTGGGGATGAAATGGCTCAAAGTGTTTCCTCTGGAAGATCCTCTTCCACATTTGTTGCCACATATGTTGTAAATATGGCCCATATTAAATATGTTGTCACATCTGGTGTAATACAGCATTTTCAAAACAATCAAAGGTAACATGGTGATGGTATGTGTTAGCAGATAATAACACATAAAAGGAAAAAAAAACTCTGAATGACCAATATAAAGATGTTTTTTTTTTTTTGCTATATTAAGTTAAGGTTAAGGTACACTTTATTGTCCCTGTAGGTACAATTTGTCGTCTGCATTTGACCCATTCTTGAATGGCACTGGGGCTTAGGTTTGGACTCGAGTCAGACTTGAGTCTATTTTCACAACTTGAGACTTGACTTGATAAAATGTTATTATATGCATTGTTTTGTGGCAGCTAAAAGACAGGGAGCTACATAAACTATGATCATTTGCTCCATTTCAGTGCAGATACAAAATAAAATGGCTTATTATGACTGTAATGATTCACATTAAGGTCTTGCCGTGATAGTTTATCTGATATTCTGTTAGCCTCTTCAAAATATCGCAATATTGAACTGTGAGATTTGTTACCATGACTTTTTAAAGAAATGCAATTAATTAACGCAAAGGTCTATAAATTGCAAAAATACAAGCTGTATTCAACACTTTGTTTTAAAAACCTGAAATTACTCAAATGGCTCAAAACAGGACTTTGACTTGACTTGGGGGGCACTGACTTAGGACTTGACTTAGACTTGAGACCAAAGACTTGAGACTTAGTTGACTCTTGCAAAACAAGGATTAGGTCCCCTCCTCAGTGCCGGGGCATCTCCTCAGTGAGGATGCAGTGGATACCACAGCACAGTGCTCAGGGCCCCAGGAACTACTGTGTGTGTTGGGGGAAATCCAGAGAGAACCCGGAACCTTCTAGCTGTGAAGTGTGAGTGGTAGCCACTCAGTCACCGTGCCACCAAATATGCAGTGGTACAACACCCAGTCTTGCAAAATAGCTAATTGACTGAATGTGTAAGATGTGTGTGGTGTGAGCTGGGGATACGTACCGAGCAGGTGTGAGTGCAAAGTGCGGAGCACCAGTAGCAGTTTGTCGTAGGCCTGGGTTGGGCTGGAGGGGCCCTGGCTCTCAGGGTCCAAACACTGCAGAGCCAGCAGCAGCCCCTCACCCTGCTTCTGAGTGACACACACATGCAGAGAGGGGTACAGCACCAGGGGCCGCAGCATGTACTGGAGCAGAGCCTTGCCTGGAACACACAGCACAGGGCAGAGTGTGGGAGGAATGCAACAATGGATAGTGGCTTTTAAGTGTTTTTGTAATGCAAGGTTCAAAACTATTTGGCCAGTGCAACTGAAAATAAATATTTGGAAGCACATGTACAACAGAAATAATTGCCATTGTGTCTTTCACACCGTAGAGTACAGACATGTAGTTTTGAAAGCATTTATGTACAATACATTCCTAATGTTCAGGTCTTAAGTTTTACTCAAGCAGCTGCATCAGGGATAAGCAGAGGTCACATTCCAGGTGCATTTATCGGATTGGGATGGTGCCAGTGTGGTGAGCAGTGTGGGCTCTTACTGAACAGCTTAAGTCTGTGCTGCAGCTCCCCCTGGAGGGCCAGAGCCTGCAGAACAGAGCAAAGCACAGCCTTGTCCAGGGCTTTACTGTCCTCTTCGTCACAGCCCATACGTAGGTTCAGCGACACCTTAAGGAAGGACTTCATTCCTGCACCATCTGTGGGGAACAAACACATGAGCCTATTCTATCTATCCAACAGCGAGCAGAGTGAATGCAGGAGGGTCTGGGACAAAGACACATAAAATGAGTTCTCTCAAGACATTTCCTCTTGAATATCCCTGTATCATTAAGATGTCCCCTGACTAAAGGCTTTGTATAGAACAGGGCTGGCCAGACTAGTGTATTGACCACTCAAGTGGAACTATGCATCTACTCGGGTGTATAACCTCAGATGATGCAGGTGTCCCTATGTAAAATGTAAAGGAAAAGAACCCAACAGAACCATGGAGTGTTCTAAAAAAGGGCCTTTGTAGTGAGTTTCAGGGCAGAAAATATAAAGTTATTTGCTACAAAGGATAGAACTTTTACGTCTTCTTAATCACAAGAAAATACAAAAATATGTTTTTAAGATTGAAAGTAAAATTTCATGTCACTTTGCAACAGTGATAAAGACATCAAGTAAACAAAACAAGGCTTTTGTTCTACAGCGTTCTAAAAATTCAGGGAAGCGTTGTCTTTACCTTTAGAGGAGGGGAGCGTCCAGACCACCAGGCGCTTCCACTGGTCCCCCAGGTGGTAGAGCAGGTTCTCCCTCTGGATACTGAGCTCCGAGCTGAGCGAAGTGAGCAGAGGCAGCTGGGAGCTTTTCCACTGCTTCAGGAGGGCCACACTGTCTTTGGCCTGGGGTCAAAATCACACACACACTCTCAATACCACCAATACTCCTACTGATATCACTACTACTACTGATATCACTACTACTAGAAAGATAATCACACATACCTTCTTCAATTGTTGGGCTGCCTCAACATACTTCTCTTCCATCAAAGCTTTGTTGGACTCCTCCATGGAATTATGAAACTGCAACATACAGAGAAACCAAATCATACCTGGTAGAGCGATAACATGTTTAGTGCCCTTAGATTCCTCTTTGGTTGGGTCAACACTATGGCTAAATGACTGAACAGATATCCCATGTTTAGTTGGAGAGATTAGGTTCGTGATACCTGTATTAAGTGTCCGAGCATAGTAATGATCACTGTGTTCTTCTCGAGCTGCTGCTTCAGCTCGCCGTACTCTGTCACCGATGCATGGATGTTCTGCTGCACCTGCGCCAACAACCAAATCCAGAGTTCACATTAGGGTTGTCAAAAGTATTGAAAATCTGATAGTAATCAATACTTCAACTATTATCAAAACTTGATAAGAGTGAGTATCGATACTAAAAAAGTTGCATTCACAGGACATAAAAGGAGAATTTTTTTTGAATAGCTTTAGAATGATCTTGAGCTGTATCAGAACCACATAGACTAGCAATAGTTACAATAGTTACGATCTGACAAATATTTTATTATTTTGCTATGAATGTTGAAACTGTTAGAAAATCTCGTTCCTTGCTTGTTAATTGTTCCTGCATTTTGGATGAAATGTAGTGTATTGAAGACACTGATAGAGGCTCTTTCTGTATTTGTCAACATTCCACACAAACTACCACTTGACTGCTGTAAAACTATGATACATATTGACCACAGGTACTATTTCACTAAAACAAGTTAGTATTAGAGAAACATGAAATGCTGCTGAAGCCAGATATGGAAGCACAAACCTCTGTGTCGATGCAGTTGTTGAGGGCGTGCATCTCTCTGGACACTTCCTGCACCTGCTTCATCAGCTCCTCAGACGACTGCAGACTGGGCAGGAAGTCATTGTATCTGCTGTTCATCACGCAGCATACCTCCTCCTAGTACACACACAAAATACAGGAATGCTGTACTGTGCTTTTAAATACCTTAAAACTTGCACTAGAATCATCTGGATGATTTCAGCCCTGGAATTGACAACCTCTACTAAAGGTACTAAACTAAAAGGTAAAAGGTAAATGTGAACATGAAAACAACAGCTTCATGACATCACAAGGTATAACAGAGCATTTGGAGCATTGGAGATGTAGACAGACTAACAATAAAGAATGTTTGAATGAAACAAACATAACTCCAGCTATGTTTTAAAGATGTAATAACATTAACATCAACAATAACGTTCTAACATGGCTTAAATCTCACAACAGCCAAATTTGCATAATAAAAGACATTTAGGAGTTGGTTGAGTCTGGGGATTTTATATCACATCTCAGTGATATCAGAGGATTTCCCCAGATCTTGGTATTGGTCAAATATTGAATATTTTGCTAATATTTGGCACCAATATTTTTCTGCACTGCCCCAGTCTGTGCCCATGTATCATTCCCAGTTTGTCCTCAGTGCATCACATTTGTCTTGTGTCTCGTGTGGCCACGATTACTCCAATTTTCAAATCTGGTAATAAAACAGATGTCAAGAATTACAGACCAATCAGCATATTGTCTATTAAATCTAAAATAATTGAAAAATGGGTCACTAAACAATTAATTGATCGCTTAAATATGGGTTACACCCCACTGCATGCTATGCAGTTTGGTTTCCGTGCAAATTTTTCAACTGAAACTACTATACATTTTTTCTTGAAAAAGTTAAATTTTCTTTAGATGCTTACCCTTTTGTTGGTACAGTCTTTCTTGATTTGAAAAGAGCTTTTGATACGGTTGACCACCAAACATTATTAACTAGGTTAACAAAATTTAATTTCTCTGAGCAGGCCATAATTTGGATAAAATCATACTTGGCAAATCAAACCCATTGTGTGTCCGTCAGCGGTATCAAATCCCCATATGTCGATTGCAAGGTTGGAGTACCACAAGGCTCCATACTTGGACCTATTTTATTTTCATTATACATTAATGATCTGCCGAATGTTTGTACGGACCTTAACATTGTGTTGTATGCTGATGACGCCGTAATTTTTACAAAAGCAAAATCTGTCATAGAAGCCTCAGAGAAGTTAACATCAGCAATCACCTGTTTAGATAAGTGGCTGACCAAGTCCAGTCTCTTACTGAATACTAAAAAAACTGTTTGCATGCTTTTTTCAAAACGTCCATCAAAGTCTTGTTTAAATGTGTTGTTGAGGGATGAGGGACTCCAGTTCGTAGATGAATTTAAATATCTTGGTGTTACCTTGGACTCCACTTTAACTTTTAAAAAACATGTAAAAAACATATCAAAAATTGTTAATTTTAATATTCACAATTTTAGGCAAATTAGAGCATCATTGCCAGAAAATGCAGCTAAAATGTTTCTCCACAGCATGATTCTCTCTCATATTGAATACAGCATTACTAACTGGTCACTGACAAACATGACAACCTTAAAAATAATAGAATCACTTTTTTTAAAAAGCGTTAAAGATATTTGATAGGAAATCTTTATCGTTTCATCATTGTCTCATACTACAGAAGTATAATATCTTAAGTTTTGGAAATTTTCAAAAATTTAAACTCGCCTGCTCAGTCTACAAAATCTTAAATGGACTTGCTCCACCAGCTCTGGGTGAGTTCATTAAGCCCAAGTCCAGCACTAGTGGTCGGGTAACAAGAGCCTCTATCAGAGGCGACTGTGCAATACCCTTTAGACACACAACTTTCAGTCAACAGGTGTTATCAGTCAAGGGCACAGAAATCTGGAACAACATCCAGCTGCTATAAGAGATTCCACCACATTCAGTTAATTTAAAGGTAATCTGAAATGATGGCTTAAGAGAAACCAGATCTGTGATCACTAATGTTCTGCTCCTATGTAAATGTCAGTGTTGTATGTCATGCTTGTGTGTTTGTCTATTGTGAAGCGTTTTATGTTCTTATGTTTTATGTCTCGATCTCTCTGACCTGCCAGGGACTACAGATGAAAAGTAGCCTTTGGGCTAATTCTGGCGTATTTACAAGTATATGTTCATGAATATGCATTGTCCCTTTTAAATAAACAAAACAAAAAAAACTTTGAACAGACTAAGCAAAACATTTTTTAACATTTTTACAAGCTTAATATCTGAATCGGCAAATATAAAAATGTGTGTACGTGTGTGTGTGTGTGTGTCCTATGAGCATCCCAGTTTCTATATGTTATTTATCCCATAAAGCCCCTTCCCCCTGACAAAAGAAATTTATGGCATAACACAGGCTATATACAGTTCCTTTAACACACATTTCCACATGGTGGTATAGCAATTTCAAATGCCTGGTCACACATATAAATGCTCAAGTTACTTGATAATATTACGCATGAAATTTTGAAACAAACTGCCTCTTGCCCAGTGGTGGAAAGTAACTAATTGCAAATACTCACACTAATGTAACTGAGTAGATTTTTGGGGCAACTGTACTTTTTTGAGTAGAATTTTAAACCTGTACTTAAATAATTCTAGCCATGGAATTGTAATAAGCTAATTTTTAGATCATAGAAGAGTACTGTACAAGTCCCAATTGTCCCAACCCACATCTAACCCTGCTCCTTTCTAAAACCACACACATAACAGTACTGCATCCCCTGCTCTGACTGGACAGAGCTCTGCTGGTACTGTGAGTGGTATTTTGTATACTATACTTTTTTCCTTTTCTGGTGAAGTTGATCATTTTACTACAAGGGCAGGAGATGTGACATATGTAGAGGTAATTCCAGCTCTATTAACAAGGGCCAAATCCTGTCTAAATAACACAATAAGTATGATTAGACAAATAAAAATTGATGACAATGCCTGTATTTTGTTTAAAACCATCAGAAAAATGCCTTCCTTGTGTCTCTGCATTTTGGATGGAGTTTTTGGTATTGATGACAGAAGTAAAAGGATTCTGATTTAGAACTTACTGCTACTTCCTATGTTTTAATATCTACATTTTTCTTCATAAACTCTTTAAAAGGTGTAATGTGTAACTTTTCTATTGGAGGGGCCGACCATCTGCTAGTCTCCATATTACTGCTTTGTCTTAAATATTCCAGAGTATGGAAATAAACGTAGTAATCACAATGGAGACTGGTTAATGGTAAGATCTATGGAGAAGCTCATGGTAAGAGTTCATGTTTTATAAGGTATTTTTGAGCTATAAAACATCGCAATTGAACAAATCCAAGGGCGATATGTTTAATGCCATACTGTCGAACATTCCAGGCAAAGAAATAACAACTCCATGGAGGCAAGCAGGTAGCGGACCTCCCACCTTAGAAGTAGCCTTGTGCACCTTTAAGTCCAACTTTGGCAGCAGTACTTGTACTTGTACTTGTAACTGAATTCAATTAACAGCCAAGGAACTGTACTTTTACTTGTGTACAAATAGTCAGTACTCTTTCCACATCTGGGAGTAACACGTTTAAGAATAAGATGCCACTCGAATTGTTAATAGACTATTATGTTATAGTCTAATAGTCTATTTTTATTTCATTAGTTCTGACTGATATCAACTGAGATCAAAACAGTACCTGTGTTTTATTCCCAGATAGTTATTATGTTTATGTTAAAAGTGATCGTTCGATTCCACACAAGACAAGAGCCAAATGTTTGGGCCACGTAACCGAGCAGAACCAGAGCATCTCAGCAGCTAAGCTAACAGCTAACAGCTAACTGTACCTTGGTGTCCCGAACTTTGTGCGATAATTTACTGATTTTTCTGGCCAGAGCTTCCTTCTCCAGTTTGCCCGAGCTGGCGAGCACCTCGGTCACAAAAGAAGCCATGCTCCTCTTGCCTTGATCAGTCTGGAGCGGGCTGGAGCGGGCTGGAGCGGGCTGCAGCGGGCTGGAGCGGGCTGAGGAGGGGCGCAAGTGAACGGACTCGGCGCCAACATGAATCTAGAACGCGAGGATTAGAAAGCCTAGATAGGTCATGGCTTTTGTTGCCGTGGCAAATGCGGCGGCCATCTTGTGAGTGGAGCAAGTGTTTAAATTGATATATAATGGTATTTGTGGCAAACCGTATTTCATAAAATAAAAAACACCCTAAAAACACTGTACTTTAGATTTTATGTAGAATTATAATATGTTTGTGTCATACATTATAAGGTGTTAGTTTACCATATGGGCAGAACCATTGATAACTATTATGTTTACTTAACGCCAATTTCTATAAAGAGTTGGGTGGATAGCTTGGTAGAACATGGGCGAAAAATAAAATAGAATAGATTCATTTATTATTATTTTTGTTTATTTATGAGACAGGGACAGTCCACAATATACATTACCCCTAACAGGTGAGGTGCATTGTGCCAGATTGTATCATTAGAGATCATTTCCACCTGTAGTCCCTGGTGCATGTTTTTTAGGTTTGGGGACAAAGTACAAATGCAAATATTAGAGTATTAAAGGACATTTTCAAATGAAAAAGTCCAGCTCCCGAACTGTACACTCCCAAAATGTCGGCTGTGACCTGGATATTCTTGACTACAGGTTACCGTGGCGACTGTATCTCTAGTGATTATTCATGGTATTTATATTAATTGGAGTCGCGCCTATTGCTTCTGTTGTGGAGAGTTAGTTTCCTTGCGTGACCAGCCAGTCCCTTTTAAAGTCAATGAATTCTCAGTATGGCATTTCAGTTGTCTACAATAAAATTAAATCTCGTTTTTTCAAGGATCCAGAAATATTTTTTTTCTGTTTCTAATCATATAATAGTGCTGTGCCATCATAAAAAACTGGGAAAGTGCATTCAAGTTAGACTACACTTTTTCTTTTTTCCTTTTCTTTCTTTTTTAATAATTAATGTCTCGATCATGATATCATGATATGATATCGGGACATGTACAGGACGTGGTCGTCTATACTGCAAAACGTATCTAAGGACATATAATAAACTTGTACTATCAAAGGCAATGCTGGTTGTAAAACAGCAAAACAGCATGATAATCATCATAGACCCATACATAGACCGTATACTGTCTTATGACAGACGATACCGCTGGGGCCAGGAACCACTGAGTGTGCAAAAGTTCTTTAAGGAAACATTTCACCGACGGACTGATGCTAAACATTAAAACACATCGAGCGATCGTAGAGAGTACCTGCGGAACAGGCGGCACCAAAGCGGCTTCTGTGAGTGCTCAGCCCCCTGCCCAGCCCCGTGCTCAGCCCCGTGCCCAGCTCCTCTAAACTGGGCCCTGCGTCCGCGGGTCACACACAGGATCCCGGGGTGAGCTAAGCAGCCGCCCGCGGTGGATAGCGGGCTGCGGGCTCTGGGCTGGTGAGTGGCCGCTCTGATGTCGAATTCTACGATTTCGCAAACCAGCCATGGATCATATTTTATATTTCACATGGCTTAATGTTCCGTTATGATGTAGGATTACATTTAGCCATCAAACGTGGTCGTGGGAGACCAACTTGATCAGTAAAGAGTCTAATCAACAGTTGAGATGATAGAGGACTTTGATAGTGTATTTAGTTACATTTTAATGCACTCTAACGTGTTCTATACATGTCAGTGTAATTCCCAACGTTGCTTGATTATCTTCTACAGGGACTTCTCTGCTCCCTCATCATGTTGTCCCACAGTGGATTCCAGAGCAGTAGACAGAACTTCACTTTTGGTCCATGGACGGTGACTGCCGCCAAGAACCACATCATGAAATCCAAGGACATTGAACGGTACCAGAGTCTCTGTTCACAGTCTTACACACTCTACACTGGATTCCATTTTCAGTAACTATATCTTTTTACTGCAATATTTGAATATAGTTTTGCCACAATGGGTTCAGTTTAAAATTGACTCTCATGAGCTTTAAGCCATGTTATAATGCTGTTATTTCTTCGAAAAGAGACCAGGAGTTGTGTTTTGTTTCATTCACAAGTTTGAATAATCCTTTATTATTAGTCTACATATCCCAGAAAACTTTGTTCCACCTTGTAGTGGTAGTTTTCAAATTAAGAGCTCCTTTTACCTTAACTTTAGAAGAGATTGACGATTCCCGTCTGAAATCATCCGCATGATTCTGGTGAAGGAGTAGGAAGTTTAAAAACCCACTTCTGTTTTGCCTCATGACATCACAAGGTGGAACAGAGCGTTTTCAGATTGAGGGACGAACACAGCCTAAATGTGCAGAAAATATTATATATAAAGGGCTGTTCCATTATGTGTGAACGAATCAAAACTCCAGTTATCTTTTTGAGCAAGTAACAACATTCTAACGTGGCTTAAAGTTGACAAGAGTCAGTTATGTGTAATATAGGACATTTAAGCCTTTGATTTTAACTAGGGATGGGCATGATTAATCGATAATTGATCATTAAGAATTTCATCGATTACGTTAATTTTAATCGACAAACCGAATGTAGGTTGCTGTGCGTAGCGTGACCAAACAGGGGTAGCGAGACGCAAACAGTCGGTCAGTCTGCAGTGTACCGAAGCACAAATGTGTATTTAACGATGATTTGTACAAGAAATTCCACACTTTCCGTTGCGTTCGGGACAAGTGTGAGTCCATGTGCACAGTGTACAAAGCAGGAGCATATGTCTCGGTGTCCAGTGGGAAAAAGCTTTACCAGGTGAGAGTCGCGCATGTCGATGACGAGTCCCCACCTCCTACCCCCCGTACGGTGTCCTGGTTTTGACAAACGCAAATCTGGTCACACTAACCTGTATTCACCTGAGTCATGTCTTTTAATCCGACATAAACATCGCATCAGCGACACAAGAGCTGCAGTTTTATTTTCGCTGAGTTTATGCAAATTAGCGATGCGGTTTTAAGTTTCGTTTCTGTGAGAGTTGCGCAAAACTGAATTAAACACATTATAATCTAAAGGGCCGTTCACACCAAGGCGTCAAAGCGTCCAGTTTCAATGTAAAGTCGATGTGGACGCGCGACTAGAGCGTCCTGCGTTTTTGCGGCACGTCTTCAGCGTCAGCGCGGCGCGAATCTGGCGTCAGCGCGGCGCGTCTTCAGCGTTTTGGCGTCGGCGGCCAAGACGCGCGTCCAAGGCGTCAGCATCAAGAAGTTGAAAATGCTGAACTTTTCGCGTCAGACGCGCCGCGTCAACCAATCAGGGACGAGTATCCAGTGACGCATTGACGTTATTATCAGGAAGCAAGACCCGAGAACCAGAACGAGAACCACAAACATGAGCGGAGAATAAATATATACGCCACAATTACCGAGCCGATGGCGAGGAATACACCAGGAACGGACCAGGACTAAACCAGGACCGGACCAGGACCAAACCAGGACTAGACCGGGACTAGACCGTGATTAGACCGGGACTAGACCGGGACTAGACCGTGATTAGACCGGGACTAGACCGGGACTAGACCGTGATTAGACCAGCACTAGACCGGGACTAGACCGTGATTAGACCAGGACCAGACCGGTATTAGACCAGGACTAGACCGGGACCAGACCGGTATTAGACCAGGACTAGACCGGGACTGATCCAGTGTCATTAGCGGAGTATAAATATATATACGCCCCAGTCGTCGACCCGATCTCCTCCTTTGATGTTTTATGTCATAAAAACACTCTCTCAGTCTGGTCTGACATTGTTTCGGGAAAAGAGCGGGACCGGGCCTCTTGTTTCCAGGGCAACGGACGCGCGTCAAGTATTTTTGTCCCGTTCCTCCACGGCGTCAAAGATGCGCGTCGGGGGCGTCTGAACTCAAATGCAAAGGCTCCAAATAGAGGCGTCTAGGCGTTTTTTTGACGCTTTGGTGTGAACGGCCCTTAAAACGGATTGATGTGGCTCTTGAGTCGTTACGGTTTATATGTCGTAAAGTTGAATTTATTTTTGCAGATTAGTAGTGCAGATAGTAATAATAATGATGATCATTTTAATATAAAAACGTTAATGATTAATCGATAATCGATCGTTAATTCTTCCGACGATCGATTAAGAAAATTTAATCGAATGCCTGTCCCTAATTTTAACACATAACTTTATGTCAGGTAGCACCTTCTGTTGACTGTAGGTCAAGTTGGAGTTGGAAGGAGATCCACTTTTAAAGTGTGATATTTTGCTGAAGAAAATGTAGATGATAAATTATCCATAAAAAATGTTTTAAATGTATAATGTGGTTAAAAACACGAACTGTAATGAATAGACAGCAGAACGAGACACTTAAGTAGTGATTTTGTATCTATAATGAGTCATACAAGTTATTTATTCAACAATCTGCTGCTCAAATTTTATTGTAGTAAAAAAAACAAAAAAAAAACAAAACACTGGTACAATTTAAATATTGACCCACAAAAGTGATAGCTTGATATATGTCATGTCCACTGTGTCTGCACAGGCTGTCAGAGGAGATGAACATGCCCTCACTTCCAGAGATGCTCTTTGGGGATAATGTTCTTCGTATCCAGCACGCTGATGGATATGGCATTGAGTTCAACGCCATCGATTCCTTGAAAAGAGTCAACAACATGTCAGACAGTGTCAAAGTGGCGTGTGCGCAGGAGTGGCAGCAGAGCAGGTGAGCAGCAGCTCCTGGTCACAGTCTCACCGTGAGCTGGACATGAAGGGTTTTATAATGATTTGAGCTGCTATTTATCACCTTGTGGGAACTAAAATCTGTATACTCACTTCCTATGGACATTAGGGACACAACGGTGTCATGATTCGATACGTATCTTGATACAAGGGTCACAATATCGATTTAACTTTATTGATACATTTTAAGAGACAAAAAAAAAATCTCATATCAGTTTATTTCTGCTAATGAGTATAATATAATAACATTGTGATGTTAATGAAACATTACATACAATACATCCAATACATTACTATACAAGTACTGTACAGCTGGAGTTTAATGTGAAGTCTTTTAGTTCTTTTGGTTCAGGGATTTACAGCTCAGAAATTTTATTCAGTGAAAATAAGAACAGAGCTTTCTCAGGCTGTTTTGTATTTTATAATATAGCCTGTCTACTCTTACTATAGACTGTAGTGGAGTTACACTATCAGACATTTCCTTCTTTGATGATGATTTGATGGTTTCTTTTCTTCTTGAGTCTTACAGCACACGCCTGTGTCCACGCTGCTCTGCTCTGGCCTCCAGCAGAGACAATACATAGCTCCTCCCACACTGCCCCCGACAGTCTGTGCTCTTACAGACACACTGCGCTCTCCTATCCTCTTTCTGGACACTCAAACTATGTAGAAATGTCTCAACAGACTGTTTTCAGACTAAAACTTATGAGATAATAAGATGAGAAAAAGACTGCGTAAAGCTCGCATGTGCGTAAAGCAATTCGAAAGTATTTTAAAGTGAATCTCTTTGTCATTCCTGGGTCTTTCAATGTCAAATAAAAAGTGACTGAAAGATAAAGTCCTCCCCTGAATAAGTCAGCTGTAAGTCCCTATGGAGCTGTTTTCTTGCTGCATCTGAGGAGGACACCGCAATAACTATTTTCCTTTCGAACCACATAAACGACAACAGTGCACATGGAGGGACACGTGCATATCGACACACGTATCGAATCGTGAATCCAGTTTCAAACAATTTGATATTGTATCGAATATCTTTGCATCCCTAATGAACATGCCTCCCTTATGGGGACAAAAATCAGGTTATGGCATAATCCTTTTATTATGTGAACAACTGTTTGGAGCTTTCCTTTCATGACTCCAAGCGTTGAAAGCATTTGTGTGTGTGTGTAGGGCCGACTCAGAGCATTCAAAGGAGGTGGTGCGACCGTACGACTGGACCTATACTACAGACTACAAAGGCACGCTGATCGGAGCGGACGCACTTATGAAGGTAAGACAGACAGTTTCTAGTCTTCACTAAGGCTGGAAGTTTGGTCCGTATCAGCATAGCCATTTCAGTGGTGGTTCAATCTCCTGGGGGCCAGTTTTGTATAAATCCTGCCAACTTGGTGTACAGACTTTACTTCACATTCATTGTATTGCCCCTTTATTACCTGTCATTGAATAATTTCACCAAATGACATATAAATATAGCAAACACAAAATAAACAAAAACAATAGGGCCGGGCACCTTAATGTGTTAATTTTGCGCGTAAACTAATGACTTCATTATTGCTTTGCTGACGATTATTTTTCTCCCCTTAACGCAGTTTGTATTATATATATATATATATATATATATATATGTGTGTGTATATATATATATGTGTGTATATATATGTATATGTGTATATGTGTATATATATATGTATATGTGTATATATATATATATATATGTATATTTTGAAGAGGTCCATCCTGAAGGAGCCTAGAATGCTGCATCCTGCAGCGCTCACAGTAAACAGTCAGAAAAGAAAAGAGAGAAAGAAAGTGGGATAAACAAACATGGAGAAGGGTAAGGAACTTTTACATGGCCATTTTCATTTTAAAATTCTCCCAGATGGTGCAGTCGACAGAGCCACTCATTTGTAACACTGCAACGCTGAATTGTCACCGGAGTTTCAGGAGTCTGAAATATCACACCTAAATACAACACACTCTGTTGATGCAAATCATAGAAACAAGTGGAGCGAGGCTTCGGCCGACCACGTTAGATGTATGTCAGAGCCGTCGCTCTGCACACGCACCAGGGCACCAAGAGCGTTCAGGGCACCACCGCGCAGTCCATCGCTCTTCGTCATCTCCCGTCTCACTTTTCTTCCACAAGAAGCTTGTGTCAGAGATCGCATTCTTAATAATAATAATAATAATAAATATAGTCACAAGCAACAATGATTGGCCCTCACGCCTGCCAACGCAAAATGCTGCACCTTTCACTGACCCTAATATCCCTAACCCAAACTCTTTAATTTTACTAAATTTTTGCATGTGTTTATTGGGAAAAAATAAATAAATAATAATCATAATAATCATAATAATAATAATATGCCAATTGTGCAGAAAAGTAAAAAATAAAAAAATAAAAATTCTAGGACTTGACAAACTGTTTTCTGGTCATGTGTACTGTTTTCTGGTGACAGGATAACATTAAAACCCTGGCAGTGGCAATACATTTCAGTTTTGTATTCAGTTTGATGAGATTTTTTTCATTTGAGATTTACACTGAATACTTTATTTTATTGCTGCTGTTCTTTTTTGTTTTTGTTTTTAAATGCTGATCACATGCACTTTACTTTTGAATTAAATTCATTAAGTCAAATTCTAGGAATTGACAAACTGCATTGGGTGAGATTCTCCAAAGGAAGAAGAATAAACATGGACTTTACAGACTAGTTCCTTGCCTGTGTATAAAGAAATGCTGTTTGCACAACAAATGTATGGCACTTTCATTACATATTGGTTTCGCGTATAACATGCGATTAATCATGATTAATCACAGGAACTCATGAGATTAATGTGATTAAGATTTTTTATTTTTGCCCAGCCCTAAAAAAAAAAAAAAATTCATCATGAATCTAACTTAGAGAAGGCCAAGGTTTTCAGAACTGTCGACAAAGCAAATGGTGGCTACTTTGAAGAATATGAATACAAAACATTAGTTATTTCACTTTTTTTTTCTTCGCTACATAGATCCACATATAGTGCATCTTCTGTGTGTATGTAAAATATAGAACGTAGTAAATCTAAAGATAAATAAAGAGAATGAGTTTTTCAAAGGTTTGACTGTGTAAGCCGGTGCTCACACACAGCCCGTCCCTCCTCAGGTCATCCCCACAGACGAGCGCATCGACCTGGAGCGGCTGAAGGTGCGAGAGCAGATCAAGTTCTTCCAGGAGGTGCTGCTGTTTGAGGACGAGCTGCATGACCACGGTGTCTCCAGCATCAGCGTCAAGATCGTCAGTGTCTACACCTCTTCTGCTCTTTCTCTCTCCCCCTGCTCTCCTCCTCCTCTCTGTCCTCACCCCTCCTCTCCCTGCCTTTTTCTCTCCTTCATTATTTCTGTTCTTTCCTTACCCGCACTTCCCCTCTCCTTCTCTTCTTTCCTCTCCTCCCATCCTTCTTTCCTCTCTCCTCTGCTCCTGTTCTTCTCTTATTTTCTTCTCGTCCTCCTCCCCCTCTCCTCTTCTCGTCTGCGTTCCTCTCCTCTCCACCATTCCTGTCTCCTTCTCTCCTTCCTTCCTCCTCCCTGCTTTCCTTCTGTTTTCCTCCTCCTCTTTTCTCCTACTCCTGCTCTCCTGTTCTCCTCTTTCCTCTTACTCTCCTCCTGTTCGCCTGTCTCCTCCTGCTCTCCTTTCTCTAAAACCTCTCTCCTCCTCCTGTCCTCTCTCCTGTCCTCTCTCCTCCTGCTCTCTTCTCTCTTCCTCCTGTGGTCTCTCTCCCTCCTGTCCTCTCTCCTCCTCCTGTCCTCTCTTCTCCTCCTGTCCTCTCTCCTCCTCCTGTCCTCTCTCCTCCTGTCTCTCTCTTCCTTCTGTCCTCTCTCTTCCTCCTGTCCTCTCTCTTCCTCCTGTCCTCTATCCAGCTCTCCTCCTGTCCTCTCTCCTCCTCCTGTCTCTCTCCTCCTCATCTCCTCCTCTTCTCCTCCTTCTGTCCTTTTATTTCCTCTTCATCTTTTTCACATCTGATTTTGCAGAGGGTGATGCCGACCAGTTTCTTTGTGTTGATGCGTTTTTTCCTGCGAGTGGATGGAGTGATGATTCGAATAAACGACACGCGCTTGTACCATGAGGTTAGGAAATTGTGTGGATATATTTGTTGAGTGCTCCATATCATTAAAGGGCCCATATTACGCTATTTCCTGATTTATGCTACAGTAACAGCAGCGTTAATACATTGAGATACAGGTTTAAAGTTCTGTGCTTTGCTAAATGTGAATACATTATACATTGCTCAAAAAACACATCAGATTTTAATGTGAAAAATGTGTTGGATATCTGTACAAATCTGAACAGGGCAACGTCTTAGGAACAGAAGGATGCCAAATCTTTTAACGGAAATTAACAGCAGATGCTCTAGAGCGACACCAATGAGACAAATCCTTAAACAAAACTGGTTTTACAGGTGGAGGCCATTTCAGGTTTCTCCCTCTTGGTGTTTTGGCGACTCTTTAACCCTACAGAAGCTGCACAGATTGTCAAACTTCTCCAGAAGTCCACATGTGGACGTGCCGTTTCAAAGAGATTTAATGTGTCTCCCAGCACAATCTCCAGAACATGGAGGAGATTTCAGGAGACGGGCAGTTTCAAAATGACCTCCAGCAGACCACTGGTGTGAATGTCTCTGCCCAAACAATCAGAAACACACTTCATGATGGTGGCTTGAGGGCGCCACGTCCTCCACCGTCCAGTACCATGGAGCTCCACTGGCATTTGCTAGATAACACCAGAATTGTCAAGTCCAACACTAGTGTCCTGTGCTTTTCACAGATGAGAGCAGGTTCACCCTGAACACCTGTGATAGACATGAAAGAGTCTGGAGAAGACAAGGAGAACACTCTGCTGCCTGCAACATGGTTCACATGAGCGGTTTGGTGGTGTGTCAGTGATGGTCTGGGATGGCAGATCCATGGAGGGACACACAGACTTCTCTTGGCTGGAAAACAGCTGTCTCACGCCATTGGGTATCAGGATGAAATCCTTGAACCCATTGTCCTGGGTTCCTCTTGATGCATGTGGCAAGAGTCTGCAGGCAGAACCTGAAGGATGAAGGGATTGATACAGCTGAATGGCCCTCACCATCACCTGGCTTAAACCGGATAAATCACCTCTGGGACATTATGTTTGGGTCCATCAGATGCTGCTGAGTTGCTCCTCAGACTCTACAGGAGCTCAGTGATGCCCTCACACAGATCTGGGAGAACATCCCACAAGACTCCAGCCGTCATCATCGAGCCAAGATCTTGACTAAGACATTGCCCTGTACATATTTGTATAGATAGATATCCGGCTCCAGCTTTTTTTTTTTTTTTTTTTTACATCAATGTTTTCAAAGTGTTCCTTTATTTATTTATTTATTTATTTGAGCAGTAGTTATAAGGTTGTTTCTTCATCAAAATTATAGCTGGAGTTGTGTTTTGTTTCATTCACATGTTTAACACACAAACCCTGCATATTTAGACTGTTCTTCTCTTAAACTGAAAACACTCTGTTCCACCTTGTGATGTCATGTACAGAAAGTGCTCCATTGTGTTTTTAAACTCTATACACCTTCATTAGAATCATGTGGATAATTTTCTGGATTTGCAAAATCTCTTTTAAACAAAAGGTAAAAGGTAGCTGTTAACTTGAAAACTGCCTCTACATGACATCACAAGGTGGAGCAGAGCATTTTAAGATTTGGAGATGTAGACAGACTAATAACGCAGATTACTCAAGCATGCGTGAATGAAACAAAATACAACTCCAGGTATGATTTTGAGGAGGTAATAACATTACATCATTTAGATCCTAGTACTTTTTTGTTTGTTCCCATGTGTCTTATATGTGTGTAATCCTCAGTGGTGCAGTAGGCACCATAATGGTCCATACTAGTCTACATGCTGTTATGTTCTGATACAGCTCAGGGTCATTCAAAAACTATTCAGGAAAGATTCTGCTCTGTTCTGTGAATGGGACTTTTTTAGTATTGATACCTGCTCAAATTAATATCTAGTTTGCATGACGTTTGTATCTAGTAAAGTATGAACTTTTAGTATAGATTAGTATGGGATTTTCGATACTTTTGACAACCTTAATACAAACAGGAAGTACTGATGCTGTGTTTGTGATTGCAGGCTGGGACGAGTTTCATGCTGCGAGAGTTCAGCATGAGGGAGAGCAGGTTGGAGGAGCTGAAGGTAAAGTATGTCACTCACTGCACCACTGCCATGCACTACGCAACTATTATTAGGCTGTTTACATCTCCAAAGCTCAAATTCTCTCTTGCACCTTGTGATGTCATGTAGTGGCATGTCAAGTTAAACGTGTGAATGAAACAAAATGGAACTCCAGCTCTCTGTGACTATACAGCATTACAACATGGATAAAAGTGTGCGTTTTATAGGCCCTTTAAATGTAGGGAGTGAGACTGGCAGCTGTGGCATCAGTAGTAACTTACCACCATGTGCTTGTCTTTCTCATTCATCTTAACCTGTAGGATGGAGTGGCTGAGCCTTTGTTGTAAATAATGTGTGCGTGTTTATTGCAGAACGTCCCTGCAGCCCTCTACACTGACCCCAACGAGGTGGCTCCTCTCCTGACCCTCAAGCTCACCCACTGCGAGAAGCTGGAGTTCCCTGAGACGACAGGGCAGACAGGACGGGACCCTGAGCCACAGTGACCCAACATGCACTACACCTCTCAGCCTGTGGGAGGTGCTCTGTGGGCTCACCTCACCTCATTTTGTGGGTCTTGTTATTGTGTGTTTAGGTTTCCATGTGAAGATGTTTTTCCACTGATGAAAAATGGCTAATAAAATTAATACATCATGAGTTTTACTTTCTCATTTTCTCAACACAAAGTGCAAGAGTCCAGGCACACCTCTCAGTTTCCCCCATCATCCCAAAATGTACACAATAGGCTCAGTCATCCAGCTAAGGGAGTCCTGACCAAGACCAGCTCAAGATCTGGAGGTAGGGCCACTGCCCTTGATGAGGTACCCCAGCAATAATGAAGAATGGGTCAAATGCGGAGGTCAAATTTGTGTACATAATGTGTACCTTATATTTATGAATTGTGGCACAGCCTGCTCATTATTTGATTTGTAATAACTGCGTGGACATTTACAGACCATTTGCAAAGCAAGTGCCTTATGCCTGGTGGGTTCAGCATCACGCATCTGTCACAGACTGAATGTTTCTCAAGCCCCAGAGTCTTTCCTCCCAAGAAAAATGGTCAGATGTGTTTTTGTGTGTTAGTATGCATTAAAACATGTGAATAATGAAGGCTGAGTGAATCATCTGTTATCAGCAGATCGTTAGTGCTTCCTGTCAGAAGTAGATTTTGCTGCAATGATCCTGATTTGAATTCATTTAATCTGATATAATAGTGCTATCTGAAGCAAAGCGGCTTAAATCGAAAAATATTAATTTCTTTTTATTGTGTAATGAGTAAACTTAAATCAAGTTCGTAAAATTTTAAGTTGCAGTGCATTGTGGGTAATTTGCAGCGCTCCGAGAGGGCCCAGGATCCTCAGGTGCGTCTCATACATCCACGGTGCATCCTTGGTAAAAGCCAGACGGAGGAGTGGAGCGAGGAGGGCGTGAGGACTTTGCAGGAATTGGAACAGCACTTGGCGGAGGATTGCGCAGGAAATGGGGGAGGAAGTCCCGCCCACAGAGGAGGAGAGAGGGTCTAAACTCCTCACTGGGACCAATAAAGTTTGATTCTTTTCTCTGGTGTCTGCTCCTGATGCCTCCCTCGGGTTTAATCTTTCCTTCCGTGGTTTTCTTTGGGACAACACTCATTATGACACATTCAATTGACAGCTGAAAAACGGAGGATCGAGGAAAGGAATCAAGAAGATGGAAGCGAGGAAAGAGAAATGAGACGCGGCCCCTGTATCTGTGCACCGGATATGTAAAGACATTCAAGATGGAGCCCGCCGTGGAGAAACTGGAGGCTCTGGTGAGAAGAGCTCGGTATTTTATGATCACTGTTTTAGTGAGATTCGTAGGAGGACAGTGGGGACAGCGGGGACAGCGGGGACAGTGGGGACAGTGGGGACAGCGCGGACAGCGCACGTCTGCTCTGCGCGCAGACCTGCCTCTGACCCGGGCCGGGAGGGCGCGGGGCGGAAAAACTGCTCCGTTTCAAGAATACATAAATACTTTAGATATGATGTATATATTGTTGTTTACCATATTATTGTGATTTCATGTGATTCGTGGTGAGTTCTGTGGTTTAAAATATTGAAATGTCCCAGTTGCTATCACGTTTAATAGTAAGTGTGTGTGTGTGTGTGTTTGTGTCTGTGTCTGTGTGTTTGTTGTGTGGTCAGTTTCAGAAATCAGAAGCAGATCTGGATTACATTGAGAAGAGGCTCAAACTGGACTTCATCAACACAGCCTCAGCGAGCGGCTGTACAGATCAGGTCAGCGGCACCACCATGGTGTCTATGGTTATTAATATCACCGAGCCGTCCACATGAAAAACCAGATCAGAACAAATCAGATTACTCACATCAGAGTCAGAATGACTTTTGTTCATCTCCAAGATCTTCATCTCCATGCTTTGCATGACATGTAGCCAACCAGGAGAAGAACGCACTTACAAGACTAAAGAAAGTTTCAATATCAGTAACACAAAGAAAATAAGTGCAAGTACAGTCTTTATCAACTAAAAGAAACATACATTTTAACTTACAATATAGCACCTTCATACCATATTTACATCTATGAACAGAATATTGTATGAATATGTTGTACAGTGTAGGGCTATTGCAATAATCACAAAAATAAATCACCGCAGTGCATGTTGGGTCACCGTGATCACTGCACGTGACCAACATGACCCGACCCAGAGTCCTGCATGGGTCCATTTTTAGAGACCCGCACCTGCCCAGACCTGTTAACATTCTACCCATTACCACTCGTGCCTGTAATAACCTAGGACTAAACCAGGACTAATGTGCACCCGCGTAGACCTTCTGGTGACCGCAGGTGAAAGGACCGGCACAGAGCTCCACGCCACACGGAGTTAAATGCGGCCGTGCTTTGCAGACACCTGCTCCTTGTGTTCGGGGCTCTCTCTCTTAAGTCCGCGGGTACCTGACCTGGTGCAGGATTCTGACTCGAGCTGCCACAGTGAAAGCTGGAGAGATGCAGTGGTACTTGTTCCAAAGCCAAATGTTACTTCTCCTATGCAAACACACTACATATACTACACATGCTACACACACTACACATGGTATATCCACACGACAACCAAGGTACATGTGCATCTGCGCAACAAGTGCATCATCGAAGAGTTTTCAGTGCTGCTGGAAATATTGTAACTCCAAGGGATGTGGGGTGGGGGAGTGTGACAGTAACAGTCAGTAACAGTAACAGAGGGGTGTGTGATCGCAATCGTTTTTGTTTTTTGTTTTTTCTACTGCTTATGCTGCCCCTCACGAAATTCTGCCGGGCGGCTGCCCTGTCCACCCTCGCCTAGGACCGCCCCTGGTCTGACACTACAGTTTGAGGGTTCTGTTCCTCCTCTACAGCATGGCCGCCTTCTTGATGATCTTATTGTTTCTCTTAGTTTGAATTGGACTAGGCCAGTTATCTAGACGTCTTCTTGCATCTAAACGTCCAAGTACAGTATGTCCATCATGTTTCAACATGGATGACTTCCCTCTTTTGCCAGTAGAGGACAGCAAAAATCCAATGTTTAATGAGAACCTGAAATCTCAGTGCTGGGAAACAACTGTTCACATTCTTAGGACTGTACACTTAATCGTTTAGTCAAAGTCTTAATTGACCAAAATTAGTATGGTATTTTATTTTAGATATTTTTTTAGATTATAAGGATTTAGACAGAGACAAGAGCAGGAAGGAGAAGTGAGTGAGATAGCTGCTATACACTCATGAATCAAAAGTTGAATCTGTCTTTATATACTGTTTCCTAGATTTTTTTTCTGCATAAATAGTTGTTGCATACACTCCTGTACATGTGTAGTCTTTGTGAGTGCACTTTGGGTTGGATATGTAATAGTTTTTTAGAGGTTTTGCCACGCCTTCTTTTTAGTCTAATCAATCTGCCTTTCACATCTTTAGTTCAGCAGTAATTTCAGCACAGCCGTACACATTTCTATTATGATATGTTCTATTAAATACTGACACAAAGCTATACAAATAGAAAACCTTCATTAAGAGTGTGCTGTGTTCCAGGAGAACCCGGTGGCCATGCTGGAGCAGCTGACCGCCATCAAAGCTCGCCACGCGGCTCTGAGCTGCCAGCTGCAGGAACTGGCCTCAGAGCACACACACACCATGGACTCCATCAGGGCCAACATGGAGCAGGCTGTGGAGGTGTTGAGCCAGCTGCAGAACACTGCCCAAATAAAGGTGACCCCTGCTCCTGCTCACACAAACAAATACATTTGATATTTTAAAAATATAAGATTAACAATCCTGTATGAATCATGTATTAATGTAATCTTATATTACCACTGTATTGATGTATTAAAGGGCCCATATTATGCTCATTTCTGATCTATGTTATAATATTGTTCCTCAAAAAACACACCTGGAGAAGTGTTTTGTTTTATTCACACGTTTAACACTCACACACATGACAGTACAGTTCATAAGGCAAAGTAGACCAAATCAGACATGTGGTACATTCATCACATTAAGGTACATCCACCACATTAAGGTACATCCACCTAATCCTGACTCACTGTTGCTGTCTTTATGCCTGTAGAGTATGAACCAGTGGGTTTGTGGGTGTGCTTGGTCGCTCATACATGTGTTTGTTTTCTCCACAGGAGCTGCAGGACGCTGCACTTCCTGGACAGTCCACATGAATATTGCGTCAGCGCGGTGGAAGGACAGGGTGGATATGCTGGTTTAAATGTGCTCATATTTTGAACATTCTACTACAGTTTCACAAGCCTAATACTATGATGTTGACATTTGTAATCTGCAGATGGACTTTTGTACATGTTGTAAAATTTTTGAACTTTGGTGTTATTAAAATACTTGTCATGAAATGTGTCTTGTTTGGTGCAAATTGGTAGCTGATAGGTATTGCTAAAAGTATCAACACTAGATCAATTCACTAGATCAGCTCAACTCATTTGAGCAGGTATCAATATTAAAAAAGTTCCATTCACAGGACGGAAATGAACCTTTCCTGTGAATAGCTTTAGAAAGATTTTGAGCTGCCTCAGAACAAGTGTAATGAAACCTACATGGACGACACGATTACCCAGATATAAGGCAAATACACGGGTAATATAAAAGAAAGTACTGCCATTTAATTATGAAAATCAGTAGCTGCTAAAGGAATGTATATCCAGTGCATTTGACAGGTTTAGTGGGTATAGTAAATATATATTATAGGTTTGTATCATTTAAGTGACAGTTTGGAACAAGCTGAAGAACAGGTTTATTCTCTATCTCTGCCATCCAAAGTGCAATGGTGCAAAATGAAGGTTATTTTACATGAATTTGTCAATGTCAAACTATTGTGTAAATGAATAATAAGATTTGTTAGGGAAAACAAGTCCTAGAGATGTACAGAGGAAGGAGACTCAGGCAGAGGCATCAACCACCATTTACCATCAGTCCAGGACCCGGTGACTTGAATAGTCAACAATGTGCATTAATATTGACTATTCAAGCTTAACCGTGCTTCCACATAAGGTTTCAATAAGAGCCAAGAAAAACAGATTGGAGCAAAGCTGGTCGAGGTCAAATGGGAGGAGTATCGAATACCGCTTCTGTGAAACGAGTTGACCAAAGAAACTGAAGGACAAATTCTGTAATAGTTGAATGGCACGAGAGCTAACAACTGAGAAATGTCAGTAATGAAGTGGGGGTGCCCTCGCTAAGGCTCTGCAGGGGATGCTAAATTCTACCACAATACATTTGACCTTACATGAATAGAATGATAAGAACATTATAAGAATAAGATCAAAATAAGCTCATCTAAAAAGGTGGGATTTGAGGCGGGACTTGAAAAAGGTGATTTGAGTTTAGGAGGGAGGGAATTCTAGATGCTGAACAGCTGAAAGCTCATTTCCATGTTGACCAGCAGGGTGGAGGGTACAGGGGAGTGTAGGGAGTGTCAGGAGGAGGAGGAGAACCAGAGAGAGCAGGACTGAATGTGGCTTTGAATGTGAGGAGGATGTGTTGTTCAATGGACGAACAGTGAAGCTGCTGGAGGACGGGGGTGATGTGATGGCTCTGCGGATCTGGTGATAATTCAGGTTACAGAGTTTTGGACAAGTTGTAGTTGAATTAAACTACATAAAATGAAACAAGCTTTGGCCCCTGTTTACAGTGTTACAGTGATTTGAACCAAATCTTAAATGTAATGATGTTAACTATGTATTGGTGCAGTGCCTAGTCTAACCTGTATTCTAAATGTTGTTTATTATACTTAATGTTGTAATCATGTTTTCAAAAATACTGTAGTTGTTTTGTTCATTTCATTCACATAAGTCTTCCAGCATATTTAGGCCACGTTCCTCTCATAAACTGTGAGCAGTGTAGTCAGTTTTGTAATGCCATTCTCATGTGAAAACATGCTCCTCTGGGCTTTTCAAGATGGACTTTGACTGAAGCTAGAATTTAGTCTGAAGACACAATTAAATGAATATAGGACCTTTAAATGGGTGGCGGTAGCTCAGTAGGTAGAGTGTTTCTGGAATGTTCTCTGTAATTACTGGTCCTATACATTATTATATATTGTGAAACAAAAATTTGCATAAACTTAAAGCCTTTGTCAGTATAAATAAGTAAAAGGTAGTGGTACTTTTTCACAATAGCCTTAGAAACATTCAACATTTGTGGATCATAAGTTTGGAGATTTCTTTCAAAAACAGTCAGTCTCCCCTTCCATACAGTTATACAGGACCATGGCCTCTGAATTCAAGTTTTGCTGCAGCAAAATGTTGCAGTTGATGTTGCTGCAACATTTCCACTGCGTGTCTCAGTGGCTTTTGTGTCTCAGTCAAAGGTCTGAGGTCAGTTTCACAGGAGGACTGGTCAGGGAGGGTCAGCAGATCCTGTGGAAGAGACAAAAGTGTCTCTCCTCTGTGTCCTGCAGCGTCACAGCTGAGTCCAGGGGGAGACAGGTGAACTCAACAGGAAAGGCTCCACTCTGGTGTTTCAGTTGGTGATGAAATGGTTCATTCCTTCAAAGTGTTTCCTCTGGAAAGTCTTCTGCCACATTTGCTGCCCCATATGGTGTAAAAAGCCTGTAGCATCTCAAATGTCCATAGTTACATAGTTAGCTCCTTAACTATCCTCTTGCAGTCACCATGGACACAGCCAAAACAAACAGCTCATTTCACAAAATCCAACGGTCCTTTACTTATGTCCTTTAAAATGCACATGCTGCCCTTCCTAGTTTGTTAAAATCCTATGACAGGATGTCAAAAACTGAACTCAAAAAAAAAAGTTTCAAAATCTGCTCAGTGTGTGAGCAACGGAGTCACAAAAGCAACCAAACACTCCACTGCCATGGAACAAAAAAAAAGTACCCTTGTTTTAAGCATACATGTCCAAGCAGTGAGTTTATTTTTGACTTATTTAGTTGATTAAAAGCTGAGCTTGTAGAGTGAAACCACATGACATATTTAATTGTGGTATTTTTTAATTTTTCAATTACAACATTGAAGCAAACATTTTTTCAAATTTTCAACCAAACTGTAATAAAATGCAGCTTTACAGGCAAATAAACAATGACAATATGGACAAAATACAACTTCAAAACAATCTGAAGAGAGAAATACAAATGTTGTCCATTTGAACAAACTAAATATGGGAAATAGAACACTTCTGGAGAATAAATTCTCATCTGGCTTTGGATTAAAGTCATCCATGCATGTTTAAGTAATCTGGTGATCTCTCCTGGGCTCTACTGAATCCCTCCCTACAGTTAGCCCACAAGCCTGTCACCCATGCTCACACACGACACTTCTCTTAAATCCACAGCAACTTGACAAACCTGGTGTGATGTGCAGTCGTTTCATTTGTGGGATGATTGTTGTGATAGTGCTCTGAAGGGGGAGAGAGCTTAGAGCAAAAGGGGTGGGGGGGACTCAGCGTATGAAATGAAAGTGAAACTTATAAAACATCAAATATAACACTTTCAAAACAATAAAAGGTACACGGTGATCTAAATCTGTTCTGTATTAAGAGTTAAGAGTTACCCTGTAGAAGTGAAATGTCCCTTTCCTCTTTCATAAAACCTATAACATGGATATGGCTAAAAAAGGAACCGTAAGGTCCAGTGTTGAGTTTAGAGTCTATATCTTGCTAAACCCCAGAGTTCCTCAGCCCCCAGTCGCCATGTGCAGTCTAGTCCATCTCAGAAAATGTGAACATCATGAAAAAGCTCAATACTTTTTGACACTCATTTCAGAAAGTCAAACCCATGTATTATCTAGAGCTTCACAAGGACTGAGCCTGGAGTTGGAGCATCAAGAGCCACTGTGCACAGAGATGAAGCCCATGTGATATGAGATGATGTCAGGAGAGTCTGACCTGGGCTGTGGAGAAAAAAAACTGGAGTCATGCTCAGTCTAAAGTCTCTTTTCAGATGAAAACACATTTTGCATATCGTTTGGAAATCAAGGTCCCAGAGTCTGCAAGAAGAGTGGAAAGGCACAGAATCCACGTTTCTTGAAGTCTGATGTGACGTTTCCACAGTCAGTGATGGTTTGGGCTGCTCTGTCATCTGCTGGTGTTGGTCCACCGTGTTTTCTGAAGTCCACAGTCAGAGCAGCATCTACCAGCACATTTTACAGCACTTTCCATCTGCTGCTTTATGGAGATGCTGACTTCATTTTACAGCAGGACTTGGCACGTGCCCACACAGCCAAAGGTACAAACAGGTGATTCACTTTGATTGTTCTACAATCTCTCCTGACCTGAACCTCACAGAGAATGTCTGTCGAGAGGAAGATGAGACACACCAGAGGCACAGAGCAGATGACCTGAGGGCCACTGTCAAAACATCATCCATTCCACGTGAGCAGTGCCACAGGGTGATCTCGTCCATGCGTCGGTGCATTGATGCAGTAATTCATGCCAAAGGAGACCCAGCCAACTATGAGTACTTCAACATACTTGAACATATGAACATACTCTTTAGAAGCTTGACATTTCTGTTTTCTTTAAAAAAAAAAAGATATTATGTAATCTTCAATTTTTCTGAGACACTGATTTTTGGGTTTTCATTATCTGTGAGCCACAATCATAAAAATTCAAGAAATACACTTGAAATATTTCACTCTGTGGGCCTGATCTTGCCCCCAGTCTTAGTACCAGAGTAAGTATTAAGGAGGGGGCGTGTCTAGGTTGGGCTGTACTTCACTGCTGGAGGCTGGAATGGGACAGTACAAGTACATTTATGGTGACGTCATCTGAGCCAATCTGTGACCGCTGTGGCATTTAAAAGCACTACCAGTGTGGGTAAAGTCTGCAAACTTTGCCTCATCATCAGGCAGCACAGTGTGTGTGGGGGGAAGAGTTATATATGTGAGAATAAAACAGCTCCTGAGCCCCGCGGTGCAAGTCCACACCAGCAGAGGCACCAGGAATATAAACAGAACTGAGTGGGTTTGTGTTCCGAACACTCCACACTCTCCCGCACAGTGCACTGATGTAAACCCGTGCACGTGCGCACACTTCAACCTTTTATAGTTTTCTCTGTGTTCGTTTTCCTCCTGTTACACAGCAGACCAGTGTCTGTCTCATGCTCTCCCATCCCACAGCAGACCCACTGCTTTCTCACTCTCACTCCCATCTGTCCTGCAGTCCAATCCCGCTGACCGCTCACATTCTCGTCTCTCGGTGTCCACTGCATTTGGTCCCACACAGGTGGAAGTCTTGTGGATTATGGAAAATGTTTATTGTCATATAAATGTTTCTGCTGTTACTGCTTTGGCACAGACATGAGATGTGCGTCTACTCCACTGTCACAGCCCTGAGCTGACAGTGAATGCACTGATCTCTGTCAGAGTCCAGCTACGAGAATGTGAGGAAATCAACAATGCAGCATTAGAACTGCAGACAGAGTAAGAAAACACACTTTGGGACATCGTTGTAAACAGCCTCATGTGAATGAGCAGCTTCTGTACAGATCCAGATCAAACCAAACTCTAGAGCAGAGCTGAGTGGATACAGGGAGCGGGTGAGGGGCTGTGCTCTGCTGCGGGAGGGCATCTGGACCACTCCCGCACAGCACACCAACATGTTATGAATGTTAAGCATTTATTATCCTAATATATTTCCAAATAAAAGAAGCCTTGAACATGTTACATGTTGTTTTTCAGTGGACTTGTTTAATATTTATTTTTAGATTCTGGCAATTGACTGAACGTGCCACACCTGCCTTCAGTCTGCTCCACTCACCTGATATTCACACACGACACACCGACTGTTCAGAACTCCACACTTGTTCTAGTGCTGAGACTGGGGGCCCTGGGTCTTTCTGAAATGAGAGGAAAAACGTACTGAATTTTTCATGATATTCACATTTTTTGTGATGACTAGTATTATGACATCATTTGTCGACAAAGAAGCCGCTGAACTTTGTGCTAATATTAATTTCATGTGGATAGTGCCATAATTACAGATGCAAGATATTAACCATCAACCCAAAACATGCTCCAGGTCTCCAAGAACAGTTGATAGTCAAGGTCAGTTAAATACAGTCAATCAGTGAATCTGCCCAGGGATGACAGGTGGAAATGAGCACTGATTCTACAACCTGATGTACAGTCCATCTCTCCTGTAAAAAAGGTTAATGTAAAAATTGTGCGCTGTCCCTGTCACAAATAAATAAATAAGTAAATAAATAAATAAACCACGGCAAAGATCTGACAGTTAAACAGCTCATTCTACTGTAGAATTCTGTCCTCCTCCAGCTCAGCATTAAACTATGGGCAATTTAAAATGTTATCACGTGAACCAGCCTGTTACTAGAAAGAGCTCTGATAATAGTTTGGATAGGCTGTACCCAGCATCCATAATTGTGATATTTCAGGTCCATAATAACTGTGTGAACTAAAGAGGAATGATCATGTGACAGTTTATCTTCTCCCTTCTTCCCCTGGGCTGTATATTCTTTACTTTTCAAATCAGTTTCCATTGTTATAATCCACCAAACACAACACAAGTCTCCCTCCCTCCTTCCTCTGTGACCGTTGAAAGAAATTAAATCTTGATTTCCTCAAACTTAAGCGATTTTCTCATCAGTGTTATAGTTTCCTTATCACACGCACACATGGAGTTGCTTTGTTTCATTTTCACACACACACACACACACACACACACACACACACACACACACACACACACACACACACACACACACACACACACACACACACACACACACACACACACACACACACACACAAACAAACAAACAAACCCTGCAAATGTAGGTTGAGTTCTTCTCTGAAACTGAAAACACTGTTCCACCTTGTGATAGTAGCTGCAGAGACGTAGACTGAGTAATAACAGTTAGTCAAACGCGTGGTGGAGATCGGCGCTAGGGGGCAGTGGTGAGTGTTGAGAGCTCAGGAGAAGGAGCGCATGTAAACATGGCGCCAGTGGCGTCAGCTCAAGCGGATCTGTGCCACTGTTTGGTCCAAAGCGCAGCCTGAACGCGCGCACAGGACACTGAAACATGTCCCAAGTGAAGCTGAAGCGGGAGCCGAAAGAGCCGAAGGAGGATTGGGACAAGAGGTGAGCAACAGGACGCTCTCAGCACACAGCCCTCCGCCCTGCCAACTGAGCCACAACCACAGAACCAGAGCTTTGTGCGGGACTTGACCAGAGCCCAACTCAACTCTATAGTGTAAAGAATACAAACGGTCTCTGATCCCAGGACTGGTGCTCTTTTAGTTGCTGTAGACTAGTTCACCCCACGGTCACTGTTGCGCTCGTGGCTGCATTTGTCCGGGCCGCATCTCACTTCTCTTTTCTCACCTCCTTCTCCTTGATTCCTCTCCTCCACTGAGGAGGCCCCAACCTCAGAGGAGCCAAGGAGAGAGGAGCAGAGGAACGGAGACACTAAATGTCCCTGCAGTGAGGGCTGCACCTGTTCATTCACAACTATAAATCATCACTGTAGTCTATAGACAAAGATTATGAATACAGGCGGGGGCAGGTGAAATGAATATTGTTCAAGTGCACATGTTTGTTGTAATACAACATGGTCTTAGGTCTAGTCAATAATGAAAATGATCTGGTTCCATATTTGGAAATTTACCTTTCCACCAGTAAATAAGAGCAAAATCTTTGATCAGATAAACATGTTTGAACATGAGCTTTTATTTGTTTAAATGTCACCTGAGCTTGTGTTGCTGCACAGATACAAACTCCTCATTGTGAGACAAATCCAGTTGTGTTATTGTGACTGATGAGGAGAGGCTTACTGTGAATATCACCGTAAGAATGTGGTGTTTCTTCTCACAATAATCCTAATAACGTAACATCCCTCCTCGTGGATGATTGTGTTTGGGGATGGTGCATGGGGGAGCAGAGAGTGACTGTTTCACTGATTGTTGTGAGTTCATCCTCGGTGTGTTCTCTCTTCCAGTGTGTTAAGTGAGGTGAAAGAGGATCCAGACTGCACAGGTAAGACAACATGTATTTATATTGTTTATTAATCATAAACTATTCACTATTCTCCCTTTTGTCAGTAACACAATTGCTTGTTTAGGCCTAATCTGTGGTGAAACGACTCAGATTTTAGGCATGCTGGCCTTGGGATTTTATTATGATATAAAAGTAAAAATGAGATGAAGAAAGAGTTTCTGATCAAACCATGTCAGCTGTCAGTGCACTTTCCCTTCACGGGTTAACAGCACTGCATTTCCCATCATGCCTTTAAACTTTGTAGCCCGTGAAGATAATGAAGGTGGCTGCAGTTGCTTGTTTTTGCCCTCACTGCCGTGCTCATTTTAAACACACCTAAATAGTGACAGGTGGATTTCAAGGTCACCTTTCACTAATTAGTTTCACTAATTTAGTTTTATTAATTAGTTTTTATATTGCATATTTTTGTTAAAATGCTGCTGTCTGATCACAAACACACCTGGACCAGTGTTTTGTGTCATTCACACTAGTGCATACTTATGCTGAGTTCTTTTCTCAAACAGAAAACACACTGTTCCACCTTGTGATGTCATTTGGTAATACAGGAAGTGCTCCAATGTGTTTTTAAACTTTACACAGTTTCTCTAGACTCATGTGGATAATTTCAGTCCTGGAATTGTGGAATCTCTACTGAACTAAAGGTAAAAGTAGCTGTTAACTTGAACACACGACTACATGACATCACAAGGTGAAACAGAGCATTTTGAGCTTTGGAGATGTAGACAGACTAATAATAAAGTAATAAAGTTACGCAAACATTTGTGAAACAAAACACAATTCCAGGTGTGCTTTTAGGTAACAACTTATCAATTTTGTGTAATGTAGGACCTTTAAATAAGGGTCCAGTAACCTTTATTTTTTACTGAACCATCGAATTGATTTGAAATGTATCAATATTGAATATTGTTGTGTGTCCTGCAGGTGCTCAGGCTTTAGAAGAGCCCAGTTCAGTTCTTCACCACATTAAAGAAGAACCAGAGGAGGTGAGAATCAAATCAGACGTTCTCCAAGAGGTTCCATACATTTGGGTAACTGTGAAGAATGAAGAGGAGAAAGAGGAGTCTATTGTCCTTCATCAACCTCTCTCAATCAGTAAAGAGGAGAGCAGAGTGGACAGGGAGGGAGCAGAGCCAGGTTTATCCAGCTCCTCCGACACTGATGACTCTGAAGACTGGACATCTGAAAGGACTGCTCTACAAACGCACATGGTGGAGAGCAGGGAGGAGCATGGGGAATGCTGTAGTTCTGACTCTGAGTGGAGCTGGGAGTTCAACCTGCCCTCCAAGAACTCAACCAGGGCCAAAACCCAAATGGAGTCCTCGTACAGGTCCCCTGCAGCCGAGAGCCCACAGAGTGAAGAGCACAAATGCAACCAGTGTGGGAAGGTCTTTCCATATGGAGCCAGGCTAAGAAAACATGAACTGACTCACATGCTCAAATGTCCAGTTTGTGCCAAGGATTTTACAGAAGTGTGTAATTTAAAGGTACACATGAAAATACACACTGGAGAGAGACCATTCAGGTGTTCAGTTTGTTCAAAGGGCTATATACAAAGGAGTCATCTAAAGCAGCACATGAAAACGCACATCGGTAAGAGATTATTCACATGTTCTGTCTGCGCACAGAATTTTACAACCAACAACAAGCTGAGAGTCCACATGACCGCTCATACAGGAGAGAAGCCATTCAGGTGTTCACTGTGTGTCAAAAGTTTTACAGTGCACGGCGCGTTAAAACAACACATGATGACACACACAGGAGAGAAGCCCTTTAAATGTGATTATTGCTCCAAGGAATTTAGATCTCAAGGGGATCTAAATCGACATGTACGTACCCACACAGGGGAGAAACCTTTCAAATGTTCAGTTTGTGCCAAGGACTTTAGAGTGCAGAGTGATTTGAAGCGACATATGAAGACCCACACATTCAGCTGTTCATCCTGTGCTAAGGGTTTTGCAAAAGACAGACAGCTGAAAGAGCATATGAAAACTCACAGTAAGGACAGAGCTTTTGTGTGTAGTTTCTGTGCTAAGAGTTACTCACAAATGGGTAATCTGAAGATACACATGAGGATTCACACGGGAGAGAGGCCTTTCAGGTGTTCAGTTTGTGCACGCGATTTTCCACAGAAGAGCTCTCTCAAACGACACATGAGCATGCACACGGCCCAGAAACCATTCAGGTGCTCAGTTTGTCCAAGTGACTTCAGAATCAAACGTGAGCTAATGGATCATACAAGGACTCACTCAGAGGAGAAGTCATTCAGCTGTTCAGTTTGTAAAAAAGATGTTTCTGAAATAAATAAGGAATCCCATTAGAATCCACAATGTCATCTTATTCAGTCACAATTAAAAATCCTTGTATATATGTTGTTCCTGTGAAGAGTGTGTGATTTGGTTCTGAAGCTCACACATGTCACATATATCTACTGTTGAATTATCTACTACATGATTATCATGAAAAAGTTCAAGATTTTTTTGTCACTCATTTTAGAAAGTCAAACCCATGGTTTATATAGACTCATGACACGTACTGTAGAGTGAAGCTTTCAAGCCCTTATTTCTTGACGTTTTGATAATTATGGCTTACAGATAATGAAAACCCAAATTTCAATGTCTCATTATTGGAAACTCATGGTGTCGCACTCAACTCAGCTAATTAACTCAAAACACCTGCAAAGGTTTCCTGAGCCTTTAGACAGATGGATACATAAATACTTTATTGATCCGACAGGAAATACATTTTTTCAGCAGCAACAATGAAACATGATAAAAAATAATGATGCAGCAGTGATTGAATTTATACCGATGTGTTGTATGGTGTGAGGTACAAACTACTTCCAGAGTGTGTCCGTGGAGCCGGACAGGGACAACAGCCTGTCCCTAAAGGTGCTCTCCTGTCCGGTGATGGTGCTGTGCAAGGGGTGCTGGAGGTTATCCAGGATGGACAGATGGACTGCAGGTCATGCTTTCCTCACCAGCTTCTCAAACTGCACGGTGTTCTTCTTGAGGCAGCAGACCACAGCGTACAAGAGGCACACGAGAAAGAACTGTCTGGTAGAACATCAGCAGGAGATTCTGTCAAATGTTAAAGACTTCAGCCTTTTGAGAAAGAACAGGTCTGTATTCTCCCATCAGTCCAGTTTGTGGTCAAGCTGCAGACCCAAATACTTATAACTCTCTAGAACCTCCACAGTGTCCCCCTCTGTGGTCATAGGTTGCAGCTGTGGCCTCCTTCTCCTCCTCCACCTAACCCTTTGATAAAGTGGTTAAAAACATATTTTTATGTGGTGAATGTGAAAATGTTTGGGAATTTTACCAGTACAAGGTAAAAATAAGTCTTCTAAATAAATAAATCTTTATTAAATTGAAATAAGCAATTTTTCTTGTTCAAGGCAAATTGAGTAACTTTGCTTGTTCGTTTGAATGTCCACAATCATGACCAGGACTGGCTCATTGCCACTGACATTGTAAATAAAGAGAAGTAGATTTAGTTCGTTTATTTTAAGGGAAGTAAACTAATTCAATTTAAATTTCATATTGAAATATAAATATAAATAATCTCCATCCATTTGTAGTAAATATATAGGCCTATATCACTGGAGGCACATGCGGGTCGGGGCAGTTTTTAGGTGTCAGGTGTTTTATTCTTTTATTGTTGTTTTATTGTGAAAGGTCCGGTACGCGCGGCGGTGGGCGGAGACGTGCGCGTCCGCGTCCCGCCCACCGCTCTCGGCTCTGTTGTTGTTTTCGCTCCAGCCTCAGCCCGAGGTCTAGGCCGCTCCCGGGCTGTTCGCATGCAGCACAATGGTTCGGCGTCTCCTGGTTCTGTGGAGGGAAGCGACAGGGAGCGCCAGCCGCCCCTGTCCTTCAGCCAGCTGCCCATCGCCACCACGACGCGAGTGAGACGCTTCATCCAGGAGCGGCGGGCGCTGCCTCTGCCCAGAGTGATGGTGGTGTTCTCGGCCGCGGGGGACAGCGACAAACCGGGCAATGCCATGATCAGCTCGGACTCCCCCGAAGGCAGCGCTCGGAAGGCTCCCCCCTCGTCCCCGGGCCCGAACCTGAGTCTGACCAGGCCTCTCCGGTCTTCTCTTGGGGGACAGGAGCAGGAGGTAGGCCCGCTGTCATCCACAAGAGCTCCTCCATCCCGCCAGGCCTGGAGGCTGGACTACACACATCTATTTCAATTCAGCAGGGCTGGAGTCGACTAAAGTCATTCTTGATTGCTAACAAAATACATGCCCTATCGATCGATTAGTCGACTAAAAAGGGGGGCGTGACAAAAGCTTGCAAAGCTATTATGTATCATTATATATCTGACCCAGACTGCACAAGACTAAACCTTCACTGTGTTAATGAAACAAACAACAACAACAATGTATTTATATAAAAACAGATTAAATTTGTGAATCATGAGTTTAATTATACTTTTTACATATAAATGGGCATACATACTTTTTACATATAAATGGGCTACCAAATCTTCAGCTCATTCACTAACTTTGCCCAGCTGCTGTCGTCCCACAGAAATCCCTCTCATCATTCAAATGTTTAGCCAAGAAATAAAATATTAGTTGACTAACACTTCATCAACCGATTAATTGACTAAACAACTAAAGTCCGTGGTGGTGTCATTTGGTTTGAGTTCTATTTTGGATGACACTTTCTCAGAGCCTCATCTCCTCACCCTTAGCTGTAGATTGCCTTCTACCCATCATTGGCATTAGGGATGCACCGATACCGATACTGATACTGGTATCAAATTCATAATGTTTTGAAAACTACACCTTCATGACATCACAAGATGAACTGGCACATTTTGAACTTTAGGGATGAAGACAGACTCATAATAAAGAATTACTCAAACATGTGGATGAAACAAAACACTTGAATGTTTTTGATGAGGTAACAACATGTGTAGAATTATTAGGCGACATGTATTTATGAGGATTCATTTTATAATTGAACAACTACAGTGCTCTCGGTCAATCCAAAATGTTAATAAATCTCAAATCTGAATATTTAAGCAAGTAAAAGTGAAGTTTTGGCTTTTCTTATGTGAAAATCTATGTGTGCACAATTATTATTTAATTAATTATTGGGCAACTTAAGGTGCAGAATTATTACACAACCAAATGAAAAATGAATATTTCCATTCTTCATTCTCTCTTTTATTTTCATCTGTCAGAAAAGTAAACAAATTAAAATTTACAAATAAACATTTCTGACATTTAAACTGCTATACTGTATATAATTTAATATATAACCACCCTTCTTCTCAGTAATGGTCATAAAGCTTCCATTCATGGAGTCTGTCAGTTTCTTGATCTGTTGACTTTTTGCGCAGCAGTGTTCACAGTCTCCCAGACACTGTTCTGAGGTGGACTGGTTTCCTTCACCATAAATCTCCTGTTTAAGAAGGGCCCACAAATTCTCAATAGGGTTTAGGTTAGGTGAGGAAAGGGGCCATGTCATTATTTTTTCATCTTTAAGGGTTTTACTGACAGCGACGCAGAGGAGGACTACCATGGAGCGAAGGGGCATTGTCCTGCATAAAAATCATGGTCCTCTTGAAAAATGCAGACGTTTTCCTCTACCACTGCTTGAAAAAAAAAAAACTGGCAGTAGATTTTGGAGTTTATTCTGAGTCCATCTTTAGCCTGAAAAGATCCAACAACAGCTCATCTAATAATACCAGCCCATACCAGTAGCCCACCTCCATTTGCCTGCGTCTGAGTGGAGCTCTGTGCCCATTACTGATCCAGCCACGGGCCCATCCATTTGCCCCATCAACTCTCATCCCATCTGTCCATAAAAACTCTGAAAAATCTGTCTTTAGATATTTCTTGGCCCAGTCTTGATGTTTCAGCTTGTGTTTCTTGTTCAGTGGAGGTCGGGTTTCAGCCTTCTTTGCCTTGGCCATGTCTCTGAGCTCTGAACACTTTGTACTTTTTGGCACTCCTCGAAGGTTGCACTTCTGGAATATAATGATAATGTGTTCCTGATAACTTCATGTTTGATTTTTTGCCTGAGGAGCTGCCTAATAATTCTGCACACCTTGATACAGGATGTTGATCTCCTTAGGCCACACCCTGTCTCCTTAGACAAATACACATCCCTTGATCTGCTTAAATCCAATAACAGTTATTTCATACAGTTTGGAGTTGGAGAATATGCTTAAAAATCATGATATGGTCAAAATACTCACTTGCCTAATAATTGTGCACACATTGTATAACATGGTTTAAATCTCACCAGATTAAATTTTGCATAAAATACAACCTTTAATATTGAATATTAACAGATGCCAAAAGCCAAAGTACTGATATCAGTATCGGCACAGAAAAAGATGGATTGGTGCTTTCCGAACTGGCATGATGACTGAGGCTACCCTCTTCACCTCACAGCCATAAGGTTACAGGTTCAGTTCCCATGTGGGTGGGTCCTGTCTGTGCAATGTTCTGCTCTAATTTACTCCTCATCAACCCCCAAAACAAGCAGAGCTAGGCACTCTTGAAAGATCCTGCCTCTAGATCTGAAGAGTTGGAAAAAGGCATCAAATGCAGAGGACAAAATAGTTAAAAAAAAAAAAAAAAAAAAGCTAGCAAGAGGGGAGTGTAGAAGACACTTTCCTTTTCCCTCTACTTTGGATTGTCAAAAGTATCTAAACATTTTGTTGTCTAAAGAAAGAGCATTCTTTCATTATCATTATGATGCTGGAATTGGTATCAAGTTTATTCCTTAGTATTGAAATTGAAATGTTAGTATTGTGACAACACTAGACTGGAAGACTGTAATATGAACTGTCCAACTAAACTACAAGGACCTCATGCATTTCAGAACATGTTCAAAGAGCTTAAAAGTACAGGTACAGGATGCGATTGCATTTAATAATTGCATTCCTGTTCACTCAAACTGCGATTTCGATTGGAAGGTGTCTAGATCACTGTGCATCTCTGGAGTCTTTGTGAAGACACTTGGACACATGAGATGTGTCCCTGGCCCCAGCTCTCCACAGAGGGGCTTAACATGAAACAGCACTAATCCTCTTACAGTGCGAGCTCTTGGCTCTGCTCACCTGTGTCTGTGCAGCCTTTTAGTACCATTAACAAACAGGGTATGAATCACAAGAGCACAGATTCCTGCTCAGGATCATGCAAAGTGAATACATAGCTTAACCAATTAATGTCAAAAAGAGCACTTTTTCTAATGTTCCATATGAGACAAAATGTTTACTTAAGTGGTTCCAAGCCAAGTCTTGTGATTTTCTAACATACAGGCTAATACAGGTGAGCTACAGGTGACTACAAATCCTGAAGAACAAAATGGCAACTTTGCTGACTTCTACAGCTCATTATACACATCAGAAGTTATTTTTAATGAGTAAGCAAACTCCAATGATCATAATCCTCCTCAGTTTCACAGACACAGAGCTATAGCACACTTTCTCTGCTAAACACAGACATGAAAATATATACTACTCCTGACTGGACCTTCTAGTAATGGGGTGGTGGGTGATAGTGATGGAATGTTTCCTTCATGTATGTACACTACCAGGCAAAAGGTTGCACACACTTTCATATAGTTTTATTCTTTGACAGTGGCGGTACACTGATTCCCCCCCTTGAGACAAAAAAAACAAACAAAACAACCAGGAGGGGGTGTTTTTTTTCTAAGCACTCATGCTGCCCCCCATGAAATGCTGCCCCATGCTGCTGCCCTGTCCGCCCCTGCCTACGACTGCCCCTGTTCTTTAATTATTTACATTGTAGATTCTCACTGAAGGCATCAAAACTATGAATGATGCATATGGAATATAGGGACCTAAAACTAAATGTAAAAGAACTCACTGGTAATTGACTGGTAGTGTATGACGTCCTTGTGAAATACCATATGAAATCTGTATACTATATGTCAAATGAATGCTATATTTTACTCTGGGGAGTCTAGAATGTTGTGACGTGTGTTTGCAGTTCCCTGAGATCCTGTCGCTAAACGTTGGGGGCACATACTTCACCACACGCCTGTCCACGCTGCAGCGCTATGACGACACCATGCTGGCCGCCATGTTCAGTGGACGCTACCACATACCCCAGGACTCCGAGGGACGCTACTTCATCGACCGCGATGGACACTACTTCGGGTGAGTCCCAAGTCTACCTCCAAATGTCCAGTACTTTTGACAGTGCAATAAATGACAAATGAAACATATCTGCTGCTTCTGAGAATTCATACTTCACTGTGATTGTCTGAGTCTAATTTATTTAACCATTTTGTTTGAGACATATTATGCAAAGTCAACTTTGCAATTCCTAATTCATCCATTTTTACCAAGCTTTTTAACTATGTGAAGTTGTAGTTTGTCAGTTCATATAATCTTCTCTTTAACTGTTAATCCTCCTAGAGTTGTTTAAAATGCGCACTCTGGACAGACTACTTTTTAAATGCATCACAAATCGAAATGCAATCACTTGGAATTATTTATTTATTTTTTTCTTCAAAATGCTGTTTGCCCTTTTAGCGTGTTAGCTGTTGGCCTTAAATCTCCAGCAGAGGCCGATATTTTCTTTGGTCCAACCAGCATCTTAAATATGCTTGAAAAATATATGCACAAAACTTTGTTTGTACACTTTAGTCCAAAGAGGGTAGTGCAAAAATGTGACTATACGGGACTCAGGGCACAGTTGGTAATAAAACACTGTAAGTGTGTATATTTTAATTCGATAATGTGGGAAAAATTACCTAAACCTAGACCTAGACTCTACATATCAGCCCAATTATACTGGCAGAGGTCATCAGCTACTGGTTCCTGTAGATTCTAAACAAACGTTGGCCATGAAAAAATGCATATGGGTCCCTTTGTAATAGTACAGCCCTAGATTAAATAAATATATCAGACAAAAACACAGCTGTGTTGTATCAAGATGTGTGCGACTGTACGACTGAAATGTTTTCTATTGTTTTAAAGGGACGTCCTAAACTTCCTACGAGAGGGAGAGCTGCCACCCCGAGAGCGTGTGCGAGCGGTGCACAGGGAGGCTCAGTACTACTCCATCGGACCCCTGCTGGAGCAGCTCGAGGACACTCAGCCTCTGACTGGGGAGAAGGTCCGCCAGGCCTTCCTCGACCTGCTGCCCTACTACAGAGGTATGACGCCCTACTGTAGAGGTATGACGCCCAACTGTAGAGGTGTGACCATAGACTGTATATAAATGGACATAGCTAAAGGTGCTAGCTGCCGCTTTCCAAATAGGAAGTTCACAAGCGGCTCTTCCGATTCCTACTAACTCCCATTGACTTTATATTATGAAAAGTCCTGTTCATAATATAAAGCCTGGCTACAAATTCACTCCTGGTAACCGTTGGCATCACAAGCTTCATTTGTGTGGCACTGAATGCTATGGGTGAGGTCACACTTGTTTAGTAGACTTTTTATACAGTCTATGGGAATGAGGCCCTACCACCCTACTACTACAGAGGTATGACACCCTAAAATATACAGGTCTATCACACCCTACTACTACAGAGGTATGACACCCTAAAATATACAGGTGTATGACACCCTACTACTACAGAGGTATGACACCCTAAAATATACAGGTGTATGACACCCTACTACTACAGAGGTATGACACCCTAAAATATACAGGTGTATGACACCCTACTACTACAGAGGTATGACACCCTAAAATATACAGGTGTATGACACCCTACTACTACAGAGGTAAGACATCTACTAAAGAGATATGGAGGTGTAATTGAAGGAACAGGGAATTGAATGTATAAGTTTGATCTTATTGCAGATCATGTGCTGGAGCGGGTTTATAAACATCACACATGAAGGCTGCTCTCTCTCTCCCTTTCTCACATTATTATGTCCATGTTTTTCAGACAACCTAGAGCGTATCGTGGAGATTGCCAAACTACGCGCCATGCAGAAGAAGGCCCGCTTTGCCAAGCTGAAGATCTGTGTTTACAAAGAGGAGATGCCCATAACGCCGTACGAGCGGCCGCTCTTTAACTCTCTGCGCTTCGAGCGCTCGGACAGTGAGGCTAAGCTGTTTGAGCACCACTGTGAGGTGGACGTGTCGTTTGGGCCGTGGGAGGCTGTGGCAGACGTCTATGACCTGCTGCACTGTATTGTGAGTGACCTGGCAGAGCGTGGCATCTCCGCAGAGCAGCAGTGTATCGGAGTGTGTGACAAACACCTCATCAACCACTACTACTGCAAGAGACCCATCTACGAGTTCAAGATCACCTGGTGGTGACACAATGAGACATGTACCTACGCTGAGGACCAAGCCTGCAGCTCCAATACAATCCTATGGATGTGTAATGCCCTACTTTAGGTTTAAGAGACTTTATATAGCTGTAGACAATAGCTACACATCAAATGTTTTATTTCAGGTTAAAAACTGTCATGTAGAACACTTGACCCACTCTATGCCTCATGTAAGTTTGTGATGGTTTCATAAAAACTAACCATTGTTTAACCAATGCTGCAGCTCAGGGGCCATATAAAGCTCGTTTAAGCTCCGCACCAGGTTAGAACTGCTGTGTAGAACTTTATGATCCCAATTCCTCCTCACATTTGCAACGATGTCCACAGCAAAACACTACTTCCATTTGAATCCTACTTTTAAATGTGCAAGAGCTACACATAATCCACTACGGAGCTATGAAGTGTTGTTTTAAACTGAATGTTTTCTAAGAGCGTTGTCGCTCCAGGCCAACACTGCACTATCACAACAGAACCCTGACTGTTGCTCTTGCGTTTATGTTATAATATAGATGTTATTTATTTAATATTGTCTTGCATAAATGTTTTTATATCCAATACCATGTGTAAATGTGTTGTTTTTACCTTTGGCTGCACCTCAGGGCTTAGTCCTGGACCTTTATCGGTTTGTTACGGATTATTTACTTGGCCTACCTTTTGTGCTCCTGTCTGATTAGGAAATGAGTAGGTTTCTTTGTTTGTTTATTCACTGACTGATGCATGTCTGTAAAAGTAATTATGATCTGTTAAAAAAATCACTTTAGTTCCTTGAGACAGCAGCCAGAGCCAGAGGCTCGAAAATACACTTTATACAGTTTATATGAACTCCAGTGACCTCCGACTCATACACTGATGACCTCTGACCTCCGGCTCATACACTGATGACCTCTGACCTCCGGCAGGCGTCAATGATGCAGCAGGTATGCGTGTCTCTGAGTTCGTGGGCAGTAATGTAGCGTTCTCATGGTTCTCATTTATTATAATCTTTATTATTTAATTTATTTATTATAATCTGTCATCGTGAACAATCTCATTGTTTATTATCATGAACATTCTCACTTGTTCTGACGTTAGCATGGGACAAGCTAACAACAGACGTTCGATTTAACGGTCGAAATATCACCGTTTCTAAAAATTAGAAGGATATTCCAGTCAGGCTGGCGCCACCTAGTGTCACCGCTCCAATTCATTTTTCTCCAGGTTTCTGCGGAGTGAAACCGGCTGATGAATCAGGTTAGGGATAGTCCAGATCTTCGCTACAACTGTGGAGTTTTTAATTATTTGGATTGGATCAACCGTTTATTTGATGATCAATTATTCCTTCAATGAGTTAATAATCGGGGTTGTTTTGGATAGTGAAAAGCCCGTGAGCATCAGCTCCCAGTGCTGCTCAAGTATTTCGACTAAATACAGACTGCAGACAGTAGGCTGCAGACTAAATCATGTTTCCTGTGGATTTCCTAGTTTGTCTTAAAAATCTCTTCTCTCTGCACATGGGATCGACCCAGAACTCAGTTTTATTTCTATAATAATTCTTTTGTATAAGAAGTCTTTTCTATTCTACCATAAAGACCAGCTGCCCTCCCTCAGATCTCCCATGAACAGAGCAGAGCCTGTTTTCCAGCAGCCTCGTGTCCCTGTGTGGAGCTACAGTGGAATGCTGTCTTTATTATGTGGGTGCTTCTGTTTCATACTCTGGTTCTGTGTGTGATGGTGTGATCTGTGTGCTCCAGGCTGATGTTGTGGAGGGCCCAGCTGACCCCAGCGTGCTCCTCAACTCTATAGGTGTGAATGTGAAGGTGTGCAAGGAGCTGCTGGTGCAGATCCAGGCCAGTCTCGACCGTGTGGAGGCTCGGAGAGGGCAGAGTCAAAGGACTCGCTCTGTCCAAGGGCCCTCACACTCTGCTGCTGGCCGTGCGGTGGGGCCCCCTTCTGCTTGCTACACTCTCTTCCGCCTTCTGCCTCAAGACAGTGAGTGGGCCAAGAACCTGGAGAGGCAGCTCCGCACACACACATATGAACTGCTGCCCAAGGAGCAGCTGGAAGCAGCCCTCAGGTTTCTGACTGAGGGGCCCACGGAGGAGTGCACCCTGTACCAGACAGCTGAAGGGCCCACACAGGGGCCCTCAATGTGCCAGTGTGCAGAGCACCTGTCTGCAGAGCACCTGTCTGCAGAGTATGTATCTGCAGAGTATCAGTCAGCTGAGGGGTCCACGGAGGGGCCCACCTTGTACCAGTCTGTGCTGGACTTCTCTCTTGAAAACACACAAGTACGGTGGTTCTAGGAAATGATCTGGTTTGTGTCCTTTTTACTCTGGGGATATAGAAGTAATGTAATGTCTTGTGTGACCAGGAGCAGCAGCTGAGAGGAGGAGCTCAGATGCAGGACCTCAGTGACTGCAGTAAGACTACAGAGCAACACTGACACAGTAACATGGGCCATTTTGAGTGTGACGTGTGCTTGTGTTTGTGCAGGATGCCCCGGGGAGAGCAGTGAAGAAGGCCCCCCAAGCTCCCTGCCGCCCTCTATGTAACACCACAAGACACGCACACATTCTTTTCCAGTTCATTTCACTTTGTGTACCTGATTTTGTGACAAAAAAAATCAACTTCACATTTTATAATCTTGCCCAAATGTGAGGTTCCAATAAAATCAAAGCTAAACTATATATTTTCAGACAAATAATTCCATTTTTTTCCATGCTCAGAAAAAAAACAACAGCTAGTCATATGTATTATTATAATTTTTATTTTATTTATTATTTATTAAAATCTCATTTGAAATAATTATTTCAGAGCTAATTTTAGAGAGTCGTGTTTGTGCATGTGCCCACTGCCTGTGTCTGAGTGAGCAAAAAGCTGTACCCTGGACAGTAATGAGGGAAACAGTCCTAATCCATGTCTTTTCTTTTCACTGATGCCAGGGCTCTGCTGCACATAGAAGAGGGAGACATCTCTAGTATAACCCACTCTCCTCCTCCTCATCAGAAGATACACAGTCTCCTCTTTAAAAGACATTTGGCCCCTTGTAACAGCACCCCACGAAGCACAGGTACCAACAGCTCTGCCCACTGTGTCAAACAAACCCCAACACAGCCATTTTACCATCTGAGAATGGTAACAAATCAAATTCTAATTGTGACGGAAGACTGGCTTTAATTGACAGTCATTCTAGACATTCATTTTTGCATTTGTGCTAATGAGCCCACAGAGGAGACCTGAGAAGACAGAGTAGACCTGTTCTATTGATAGGTTGCAGTGAACCAGGGGGGTGTTCTACCTGCATCTCTATGGTGGAATTTTCAACAGTTACCATGGTGGCACAATGCACACTTTGGCAAATACAGACAAAAAAGTTTTAAGATCAACAAAAAACATGATTACGTGAACTAAAGTGATTAGTTAGTTTGCAATTGTAATTTTATATGGAAAGACTTGTTTAAACGCACGCATCATCTCACCCAGGGGTCTCCAAACTTTTTTCCTCCGGTGAATTACCTTTACCAAACGAAAGTGCCAGAGACCTCCTCATTTTAGCGGACGCTAGAAATTGAGTAATTTTCAGAGCCACAGCCTTCGATTGGGACAGTTAGAGGCCTATAAAACATACACCACTATCCATTTATTAGTGCAGAAAGGAAAGTTGGGCATGAAAATGATACATTTACAATTTTAACAGTCATTCTATTCATCAAATTTGAGTTATTCAGCACAAAACTTATAATTCAGAAATTCTTTGGCAAGCTACTTGGAAAGTGGTGGAGAGCTACTGGTGGCTGCTGAGCTACAGGTTGGAGACCCCTGATCTAATCTGTTGTAGTTCCAACTAAGTCTCTTTCTAGCCAGACTGTGTTAAAACAAAGCCAGATTAATGCTCTGTTAGAAGCTCTGTTAGTCAAATTGAGTAACAGAGCTTCTAACAGAGCAGTGCTTTCAGTTAGCTTCACACACCCCCAGACAATGTATATGGCATTAGCTGTATCAACAGGTTGTACTGTGCAGGGTGTGTTCTGTGCTTCCTACAGGTGTCCAGCTGATTTCTGACATTTCCCATCTGGTGAGCAGCCCGTATGCCTCACAAAGCTACTGCACAGCTGGAGACAAGTCAGCCAACCTCTCTGTAAGAACATAAACATGCTCCTCTAGAGAGTCAGCACATGGACTTCTGCATTCAGCCTGTTTTACATCTCTTTACATTTCAGCAGCCAAACTCGTACCCAGTGGTTCGAGCAGCAGCAAGGGAGCAGCACCAGCGAGACAGAGACCTGGAAGCCGGCATGAAGAGAGCGCAGGAGGAGCTGCTGTTCGGTATGTCACCCCAAGGATCACTCACTGTGTCCGTCTTCAGTCTAGTGCAGACTCACTCTAAGTACCCCTCTTTATTCTGAAGAGTCTGAGAGAACAGCTGAAGGAGAGGGCCAGGGAACAGCTGAAGGAGAGGCCAAGGGAACAGCTGAAGGAGAGGGCCAGGGAACAGCTGAAGGAGAGTCCCAGGGAACAGCTGAAGGAGAGGCCCAGGGAACAGCTGAAGGAGAATCTGAGGGAGCAGTTGAAGGAGAGGCCAAAGGAACAGCCGAAAGCAGGGCCCAGGGAACAACTGAAGGCGAGGCCCCGGGAACAGCTGAGGGAGAGGCCCAGGGAACAGGTAGGGCAGATTGTTCGTCCACTAATCCAAAGGTTGGCAGTTCGATTTCCACTCTCCGTATAAACATCATTAGTAGAGTGGTCAGATCATCTGACCCACAGGTTTTGCTGTGCGATCGCAGCTCCCACAGATACTGTCGCTGTGTCCATGGGGAAGACACATAACCCACCTCACCCTCAGTTTTTGCGTACACTGGTGTGTGAATATGTGTGTGTGTGAATGGGTGAGTGGTTCCTTAATGTAAAGTGCTTTGAGTACTTAGAAGGTGCTTGACCATTTACTATTTAACAGTTCAAGGAAAGGCCCAAGCAACAGCTGAAGAAGAGTCTGAGAGAACAGCTGCAGGAGAGTCTGAGAGAACGGCTGCAGGAGAGTCTGAGAGAACAGCTGCAGGAGAGTCTGAGAGAAGAGCTGCAGGAGATTTTAAAAGAACAACTGCAGGAGAATCTGAGAGAACAGCTGGAGAGGCCCAGGAAGGAGAAGTTAACACCAAAGCCTGGGGATTGGCCTCACATCATCAGCTGTACATGAATAATATGGGCATCAGGTGAGGCTCCCTCAGAGACTGCTGCACACATGTAATCTCAGGGTTTAACTGCTTGTGTCTGGTTTGATTTCAGAAGTCACCTCACACTGGACAATGAGCCGGACAGTGCTGAAAAGGTCTTTTAAGCCTGTGTTCATCAATCTACTAACATACTGTTTTTGGGCAGTGAAATTATGTATTGGTTAGTGGTCGGTAAACATTACTTCAAAATAATATTACTCAAGTAAAAGTAGTGGTCCAAGAAATTAAAAGAGTGAACAAGTATTGAGAGAAACAACAACTCAAATGAGATTAATTTAAAAAGTAACTGTCGGGACATAACCTTTGATTTGTAAGGATAAGGATTGAATTTACTGTAACTGAAAGTACCAGACAATAATGCACCCAATCTGATATTTACAAAGGATAGACAGATGGATAAAAATGATAAAACTAAACATATCTGAAGGAGCTGCAAGAAACCCAAATGTTCAGATTATTTCATATTGTCTACATAAAGCTTTTGTCGCTTCTAGACTGTGGACAGTCTTCAAGTTAACTACCGTGTGTGAGTCCACAGTCTGAAAAGGAACCACAATTTTTACTCTAGTGAGAGTACTGCTACTTCCATGAAATATTACTACGTAAGAGTAAAAGTATGCTGCTGGAACAGTACTCTGAGAAGTACAATAAAAAAAAAAAGTTACTCAAGTAAATGTAACTGAGTACTAGACCTGTCTATCTCGACTTATCGTTCAATACATGACAGATGGAACAATTATTTTTGGGGTAAATATTTATTGTGGGTACTTTTTCTTTGACTTTGTGCTGTTGGGGAAGTATTATTTTTCTGTACTACGATAAGATTGGAGCTAAAAACGTTAGAAACATCATTTCCACGACTCATTGTAGATACATAACATGGTTTACAAATTTGGGCTGTTGATTTTTCCACTGCTGTACAGGACTCTGCACTGGTGTGTAAAGTGGTCTCCAGAGCAGAGAGCCGAGAAGGACAGGAGCCAGGGAAGAGCCTACCCGGTACTCGTCTATCTGAGCCGTCTGAAGTCTGCTGCTCACCACATGAACAAGGTAATGATGACAATAAAGTGATGCACTGCTTGTCCAGTCAGACTTGATTTAGTGGGTTAGTACTGGTCGTCAGTATTTATCATAGTTTTACGTCAGTTAAGTGATAAAAATACAGGAAGTAGTGCTGAGTTCTGAGTTTTATTAGTTTAGTCATAACGACTGTGTAATTTAGACAAGTTTTGGTTGCTAGGTAGCAGTTATGGAATTACCTCTACGTATGTCACATCTAGTGCCCATTGCCAACCAGGAAATAAAATTATACACTTAGAAGGAAAACTAGAATCATTTTTTAATTATGTGAGTAAGAGAGTAGTTCAACCTTGTAAAACATGCATTCTTACTGTAAGCGGAGCCTCTCCACAGATCTAACCTGCAACTTGGCCTACATATATTTAATGCCATACTATGGAAGATTCCAGACAAAGGAATAGCATCCATACAGGGAAGCAGGTGGCTCATATCCTGGCTCACACAACATTGATATGTAGCATTTGTAGCATTTTGAATTCTACACATGCATCTGGAACGGCTCTCACTGAAATAAATGGGGAAAACTGGAGCATCATGGTTATTTGAAATTATGTGATGGAAGCACCATAAATCATCATTTTCAGATCCAGTTGAGTGAAAAGCACAAATACACAAATACTGTCCACAAATACACAAAGCGCTTCTTTCTGCACACTTTTCACAAACAATAGTCTGTATTGATGTGAAAATAAGCTGAGGTATGTCGTGTCATGTTTGTTGTGGTTCATTTGGGCGCTTTGCCACAAACGGGATTGTTCCTTGTACAGCAGGCTCACTCCCCTGCAACACCCTGGGTTCTTCTGAGTTTGTGAACTCACAAATATCAGGAGAGTTCATGGTGCTGTGTGAGGTTAGGCGGCTCACCCTCCAGAAGAACTTATATTGTGCACCTTTAAAAGGAAAGGAAAATGTGAAATAATTCATAACAATAAGAGCTGTGTGTGTTTTCAGGTGAGCCACAGTGGGCGTCTCTTCTGACTGACAGTTACAGGTGTGTTGTTAGTTTATTTCAACCACATTGTTAAAACAGTGACAAACTAGTGTCAGGAAGGTCACGGTAACGTTGTGTTTTTGTGCTTGTTCTGATCGGTTGTTACTTGTCCTCAGAGCTCACTCCACTCTGGATGACATCCTGCAGGCTCATTTGCACGACTGAACCCCATCAAATCCAAGATCCATGTTAAAACCTCTCCAGCATGATGAGAAAACAAAGTTATAACATCGTAGAAAGCACAAAAAGCTACATTTAGTATACTGCCTCCTCTTTAATCGTAAACCCCGACACTTTTGGTGACCAGTCATGGATCTCCTCCTCTAATACACTGGAAGATGACTGAATTTAATGAATGATTAATTAAATAAATATATATATATTTTTTTTTTAATTCTAATTTTATAATACATAATGATTCTCTGGTTCAAAAAAGTTTGTTCTGTCTTCAGTTTTGGTTTATTAGAGGACCCAGATTACACAAAGTAGACCCTTGTGAGCTTTAGGCCATGTTACAGTTGTTTAGGGCTGTTCTAAAATATTGAAATATCAATATATTGTATCATTTAATGTGATGATACAGTATCAATAGCTTGGGCTGCTGTATCGATATATCACCAACATTATTTTTTGGTATATTTTACTCAATTATTTTGTTACAGCTACAGTTATGTTGCTTGTTCAGAGGAAGGAAACTCGTTTTTGCGACACATTTGACATTTTCACTGTTTTGAGGATTAAAATGTTTGTATTTCATATGAACTTTGCACAAAAAGTGATTTAATAAAGACTTTTAGTATCCACAGACATGATTTAGCTTTTATTTTTTATTGAACCGAATCAAATTGATATGAAATATATCAAATCCAAAGTGCACTGTATCGAGATATGATATATGTAGATATATAGAGGTATTGTGACCTATGTATGGAGGTCTGTATCGTATCGGCAGTGATCCCCAGCCCTACTGTCATTCCCTCCTCAAAAACAGACCTACAGTTGTGTTTTGTTTTATTCACACATTTGAATAACCCTTTATTATTAGTCTATCTACCGCTCCAATGCTTCACTTTTGTTTTTGACACTCTGAGTCCCCTCTTCCATTTGCTCTCTGCGCTAAGTCACTCCCCCATCATGCTATCACTACACAATCTGTGTGCATCCCCCTAATGAAACTACTGCACATTGCCTCATCTGTTGTGTTGTGATTCGTGTCATGCTTTTGTATATTTATGGAGAATTGTCGTTAGGGAGCATGGGTTACGCTTGAGGGTGGAGCACAGGACAGAATCTTACAGTTAACTGTGAGGAGGGTTTGAAGAGAGCCTGGAAGAGCTCACAAAATGACTGAAACATGCTCGGAGAACATGTAAAAACCTCTTCTGTTATGTTTTTGATAAGAGGACAATGTTATAATATGGTAGAAAGTTCACAAAGTTGATCTTGCATAATACCCCATTTTTAAAGAGTAAATAAATATTAAGAGGCCAAAGTGGCAAAAAGAGACCAAAATGAAAATGTACCAGCTCCTTTGGCTGATGTTAAAGTCAGGCCCTTTAAATAAACCCCTTATTTATATTCCCTTTAAAACAATACAGCACATAAAAGCATTTTTAAAAAAACAAACTTTTCTTAGATGAAGCAGTCTTTATGAGGTGGTTTCTGTGACTCTCATTTTCATGTTTCTGAAGAGAATCCCCATCATGAGCTCGTTAATTACAAAGTGAACAGCTAAATGGTTTCTCTACACTGTGGATGCTCATGTGTTTCCTTCAATCCCCTTTTTCTATAAAACTCTTGGTATAATGTGGACAGCTGAAAGGTCTCTCTCCCGTGTGACACATCAAGTGTTGATTTAAACCACTCTTTCGTATGAAGTCTTTGCGACAAACTGAACATCTGTATGGTCTCTGTCCTGTGTGAATCTTCATGTGGTGTTTTACGTCACACTTTCGTCTGAATTTCTTTTCACAAATTGAACATCCGAAAATGTTCTGGTCTGAGTGAGTAGTCATGTGTTGTTTGAGAGAATACTCAATAGTAAAGGTCTTTGCACAAACCAAACAGCTGAATGGTCCTAGCCCAGGGTCTCAATTGTGAATCCTCAAGTGGCGTTTCTCTTTATTTTGAAGTTCTTTTGACAAACTGAACACTCGAAAGATTTCTCATCTAAGTGAGTAGCCATGTGTCTCTTCAAATTCCCTTTCTCTGTAAATGTCTTTTCACAAACAGAACACCCGAATGGTCTTTCACCAGTATGAACCCGCATGTGTATCTTTAGATTACCTTCAAGTGTGTAACTCTTTGAGCAGAAAGAGCAGCCAAACAGTCTCACTCCTGTGTGAATGCTTTTGTGTACTTTCAAAGAACTCTTTTCTGTAAAACCCTTTCCACAAACTAAACAGCTGAATGGTCTCTCCCCTGCATGTCCTCTCATATGTCTGTTTAGATATGCCCTGTACTGAAAGACTTTTCCACAGTGATAGCATTTGTGTAGTTTGGCTGGGTCCCTGGCCACACTCCTGTCTGCACTAGCACTGTCGCTGCGAGCTGGCTCTTGCAGCTGTTCAGTCAGATTAGTGTGTGTTTGTAGAGTGGCTCTTTCAGCTGTCCAGTCTTCAGAGTTGTCAGTGTCAGAGGAGCTGTTTAAGCCTGGTTCTGCTCTGCTCTCCTCTTTCAGGGTGTGATAAACTGTGGAATCCTCTTTCTCCTTTTCTCCTTTTCATTCTTCACAGTTACACAGATGTACTCAGATGTAGATTGTCTCTTGGAGAACATCCAATTTGATCTTCACCTCCTCTGGTTCTTCTTTAATGTGGAGCAGACACCTTTGGATACCTGCAGGATGAAGAACAGATGAAAAAAGATAAGGTTATTTGTTATAACTTCTTTTTTAAAAAGGTTCTATATTTTGGACATTTGACTCTTGTGAACTTTAAGCCATGCTAGAGTGTAGTTCCCTCCTCAAAAACATACCTGGAGTTGTGTTTTGTTTCATTCACACTTTTCAGTAATCATTTATTATTAGTCTGTCTACACCTGTCTGCTCCACCTGTCGAGGTTTTCAAGTTAACAGCTTCCTTTACCTTAGTAGAGATTGGCAGTTTCAGAGTGGACACATTTCAGAGCCCTTTTGGATTTATTACAAACTGGTTTTAGCCATATTTGGCAACCCCAAATACAAGGTGAACACATCAGATAGGCTAATGCTGATTTATTCTTGGTTATAAAAAAGTCAATTGAGTTTTGGGGGTTTTCAAGACAATTATCCAATCAGAAAGCAGAATGAGCCTCACATGAGGCTCTCATTTGGGTTGCCAGTTTCAATGCTGAAGTCCAGTTAGTTTAAACCTAAAATGCCTTTCTGTCTTGTCTGATTCCCTAAACTCCAGCACCTGCACCAATCATGGATCAGTGCTAGTGCAGCCTCTGCAGCTCAGAGAGGGAAGAGGTTTGTCCATATACTGAGAATGAGGGGAAAAAAAACTGGTGTCATCTACAGGTTAAGGCAGTGGCCATGCAGGTGGTACCTGCAGCACGTCCCCTCTTGTCCAGTAAATACAAGAGTACAGTGTCTCACCTGCACAGTGTGACTCCTCGTGTCACTCACTGCCCACACTGGAAGAGAGAACACAAGGCTTCACACTCATTTATATGCTTAATAATGGATATTAACATGTTTCTTTAGGGAAAAAAACATAATTAAAGAGGCTGATTATTTAAGCCAGTTGTTCTCGATTCATACGTCATGTTTGCTCATTATTTGGGCTGTTTTATGAGAAACTACAAATATAGACAACGTGTCCCCTTTTAGTTTTCAGTCCCACAGAAGATCACAGTGTGTCAAACATGCACTGGCTGTCCTTCTTAAGTCGCATTTCATTTCTCTTTCCTCGCTTCCTTCTCTTTGATTCCTCTCTTCGATCCTCAGTTTTTCAGACGTCAATCAAATGCACCATAATAAAACAAATATGATTGATCCACAAAGGAAATGATTTGGACACAAGAGTCACTCATCACAATATAATAGAATAACAAAGAGAAAAAAATAAAATAAATGGTAATAATAAAATCTAAATAAGTAGCAAAAATAGCAAGAGGCCGGTGTGAACTAAGACATAATTCTATAAATGTAAAAATACAGTATAGAAATGTAGGAACACACGTCTCAGTTAAATACAAGAGGCTGTGAGAAGAAACAGCACAAATATGAAATAATGATTGACAGCACAACTTTGGGTTTTCTATGACATAAGGGTGAGTTGTTGTACAGTTGTAGGGAGTATTATCTGTCCCTCTATAGTCTGCTGCAGTGGGTGAGCAGTAGTGTCCATGATGGAGAGCAGTTTGTCCGGTGTCCTCGTGTCTTGTACCGCTGGTTAGGAACCCGAGCTTCCTGTTTTTTAGGAGGGAGGAGAGATGATATAAACTCCTCACTGAGACCAATAAAGTTGAATTATTTTATAAGATGTCTGGCTCCAGAAGCCTTCCTCAGGTTTATTCCTTCCTTCTGTGGTTTTCTTTGGGACACCACTTAATATGGCAAAATTGATTGACAACTGAAAAATGGAGGATCAAGGAAAGGAATGAAGGATAGTGTGACCAGAATGTCAAAATCTAAAACTGGGACTCTCTCGGTGTGTGGTGGTTCATAAATACAAAACTGTGAAACCAGTGTGTGATTAAGGAAAATTGTTAATTGCACTCTGCCCATTCATGACAAACATATAAGTCAGTATCGTCACATTTTCTTTGTGTTTTGGTCATTTTTAAAGCTGCTTTTCTGTATTTTACCTAAACAAATGTCAATGTATGCCTCTCTTTACTGTTGGCAGGTATAAAATTGGTCAAAAACAAGGACACCTGGGACATTTCTTGCATTAAACTGGACAAAATGATGGATGGATGAATTTGCAGAGACAGGGGACACGGGGCTCAAAACTGGAACTGTCACGGGTCAATAGAAATCTGGGTCAATGAGAAGGAAAGGAACTTCTAAAGCGCATTTAACTAGTTTTGGATGCGCTGCTGGTTCTGGGTCAGTCCGCAGGGGGCAGGGCGCAGGGCGCAGGGCGTAGGACTGTGCGCTTTGAGCGTCCTGCTGCAGCGGCTCGAAACTCACCTGTTGTCCCCGTCCTCCGGCTCCTGCTTCAGCTTCAGCTCTCAACACTCACCACTGCCCCCTAGTGCCGTTTGATGAGTTTTCCTGCTAACCTAGACCTACATTACATTCTGTTGCATGAAGTTTGAAGCAGTGGGTAAAAGTGTTTTCCAAATGGTAGCCTATTATAAATGGTGTGCAAAATGTCCAGAGCAGTGGATTTAAATGAGCACATGATCATGCTGTATACTCACTTGACTCTGGTTTTACAAATTTTGTCAAACCAGTTTCATAATTAACCTCTCTGGATCAGATCTCTTAACTAAGCCTTAACTAATGGTGTCACAGTGAGGAATCAGTGGATCTAGAACGTGCTGTTGTGTCCTTAGGCAAAACACTTGAGCCACACTGCCTAGTATTAATGTGGTCTGTGAATGAGATCTGTGTGGTGAGTGGGGTGGCGGAGGAGAGTGGCAGCCTGGCTTCTGTCAGTCTACCCCAAGGCAGCTGTGGCAACAATACTAATTTACCATCACCAAATGTGGAGCGAAAGAATAATGTATGACAAACACAAACACACCCAAATGTAGTATTATTATTATTATTATTATTATTATTATTATTATTCATGTTAATGGTAGGTCAGCCCATGGCTTTAGTAGACCAAGAACCTTTGGTCTTGATTGAGGCTCATTTAAGACAAAAATCACAAATAAAATGACAGAAGGCACACAGGGCCATGTTTTGATTCTTTCATTTGGTTTAATACACTAATGCTTGAGTAAAAACAATAGACAAACACTGAGTCTCGCACGTTACAGAAGCAAACCTCTGTTTCCACAAGTCACACACGACTGTGACAAGGCCTCAAATGTGTGTCCAGTCAACTGCCCACCCCACAGTCCTTCTGTTCGCCCAAAGGACCTGGTGAGCTCCCCACAGTCCCAGCAGGATCTGGACCAGCTTTAACTCACTCAGACCTGGACTGGATTCTGTTTGTGAACTGAGGATGTCCATATGTATCCACAAGTCTCTCACCTGTGCTCATTGGTCAGATATGGAACTGTGACTTGACAGATACATCATGGTGTAATCAAATTAAAGTACATCGTTTATTTACTCAAGTACTATTTTTAATGTGTGGAGTATTTTTTAGTCTTTAACAGGTGCCTACAGCAACACATGAGAAATCCTACTATCATGAAATGATGTGATCATTTATTACTGGACACAAAATGTTCACACTGCCTGATAGTATCACATGATTTCATGATCGTTTTCACATTAAAACATAACACAAAATTATAATGATGTGAAATGATGCGATATTGAAAACATGTGCATACAGCAACACTGGAAGATCAGTCCACCTTTGTGTGCTTGTACCATTTGTACCAAGGCTTAGACAGACGCTGGTATGGACAGATGGTTCGAGACAAAGCTACATCTTCTGTTATCACACCTGTGGCAGAATGAACTTTTGGAGGCAAGCTATGGGAGAAAAGCCTTGAGTCACCCTCTCGACGCAAAGCTGAGAGGAGTAAAGTCAAGTCCCTGCTTAGTTCTCGCTCACAGCCTATGGCTGTGCACAGAAGCAGCACTGTTCCTCCTGCCACTGTGTTACATAATCCAGCAACAAACAGGAAAAATGCAGTAATCCAACTGGTGTTTACTGGTGTGTTATTGCTCAAAAATACCTCAAAGAAATTACTGTTCACATGATCGCCTCTCCACAGATCTGACCTGTAACTTGTTGACCAGCTGTGGTCACCTGCTTGTCTCCGTGGAGACAGATGACTGATACAATACAAGCAGTTGGTGAAAAAAAGTACATGATGCATCTTTAAGTAGATCTATGTTATAATTTTACTCCTGCATAAATATTTTTGACTTTACTTGAGAAAGTAACTTGAGTATTTCCTTCAGTGCTGCCTGTGTGTGTGTCACAAGTTCCTCTCACACACCTTCTGACCCACATCACTGTGCGTGCGTCTTCATGTGGATCTCGAAGCGGCTCTTCTGAATGTAACTCTTGGCACAGACTGGACAGCTGAAGGACTGCTGACGTGTGTGGATCCTCATGTGCTGATTGACTTTACTCTTCTCTGTAAAACCCCTGGAGCAAACCGAACACCTGAAAGGTCTTTCGCCTGTGTGCGTCTTCATGTGTGCTTTGAGACTGTTGTCGTATTTAAATGCTTTTGCGCAAATCAAACAGCTGTAAGGTTTCTCTTCAGAGTGGATTCTCATGTGTATCGTGAGATTCCCTTGTGTGCCGAACCCCTTTCCACATACAGTACATTTGAACGGTGTCACTCCAGTGTGATAGGTCATGTGTTGTCTTAGTCGAGCCCTGTCGATGATGGCTTTGTCACAGATAGGACACCTGAAAGGTCTCTCTCCTGTGTGGGTTATCATGTGTTGTGTTAGATGACTCTTCACTATGAAATCTTTGTCACAAAGTGAACACTTGTACGGTTTCTCTCCTGTGTGTGTCCTCATGTGTATCCGTAAAATACTTTTTTGCGTGAAGGCCTTAGAGCAGTAGGAGCAGACGAAAGCTCTATCTCCCGTATGTGTCTTCATATGCAGTTTGAGAAGATGTTCTGTTGAAAATTCTTTGGGGCAAAGAGAACACTTGAATGGCTTTTCTTCCAAGTGTGTGTTCATGTGCGCTTTGAGACTGTTGTCATACTTAAACCCCCTGTCACAAACTGTACACCTGTATGGTTTCTCCTCCGTGTGGATTCTCATGTGTACTTTTAGATTGCACTTGGACACAAAGTTCTTGGCACAGACTGAACATTCGAAGGGTCGCTCTCCAGTGTGCGTCCTCATGTGTGTCTTTAAGAATGTTAAGAAGCGATACACCTTCCCACAGTGAGGGCATTTGTGAGGTTTGGTTGGGTCGGCAGCATCACTTACGTCTCCACTAATGCCGTCACTGAGAGCCGACCCCTGCAGCTGTTCAGTCAGCTCTGTTTGTGGAGTGAGACTTTCAGCTGTCCAGGCTTCAGAGTCATCTGTGTCAGAGGAGTGTGCTTCACCTGGCTCTGCTCCGTCACTGTCCTCCTCTGCGTCCTCCTGTGCATCCTCCTCTTCACTCTTCACTATAACACTGATGTACGGACACTCCAGGTTCACTTCCTCTTGTTCTTCCTTAATGTCACATGGAGCTGAAGAGGAGTCTTCTAATATCTGAACACCTGCAGGACACATCACAACTTTGCACTTTATATTTGAACCAATTTGAACTAGAGTGCGGCTGTAAAATGAATTCAGTTGAACTCTGTTTTTAATACCCAAGATTTAAAAAAAAAAATAATAATAATAAAAATTGTGAAATCAAGGATTATTATGAAACCACTAAGTGATTACACAGATATAAGGCCACATGGTAATATCTGATTTAACCCTTGTGCCTTGTTAAGTGAAATTTGTGTATCTGAAGGTACATTTATCATGACAACTTTGGCTGTGGTAGTTTGATTGCAATGAAAATTCATGTGTTTTTACAGAATTTAGAGTTTCGTCCTGATCTGACCAATTTTGGCAAAGTGAGAAGTTTTGTAGACACACTGCGTGTTTTGGAAATTTGTGTATCCATTGACTTCTATTATAAACTCATTTTTAACCCCCTCTCAAAATCAAAGTGAACATAATTTATAGGCTTATTATAGGATGTGTGTATGTGTATGTGTGTATACACACATACACATATATACATATGTACATACTTGTATCCATATGCATACACGCACAAATATGTTTTCGTTTATGGTCGTACAAACTATCCATGTGAAACTAAAACTGGCACAAAGTTCAGTGCTTTCTTTGTCAGCACAACATGGTGTCATAATATGCACATGGCGGCAGGGGGCTGTAGAACTGCAGTCTTGAAAGATTTCCAAACTGAACCTTATCGTTATTTGTTTGGGACTGGATCCACAAAACTGCCAAATTTATCTTATGGCTTAAAGTCCTTTTAACTGACAGGAAACGTGTCTCTGGGGTTGAATAATGGCACCACTTTCTGAAGCTAGAGAAGACTTTGAACTTTGAGCCAGTTTTTGTTTCTCTATAATTACTTAGCCTATCCACATTAAAGAAAAACTCGCTCCAAGTTCAACATCTTCTCTGTTAAGATAAATAAACACAAGGGAAATATGTTTTACACAATAGCTTCAGAAAGTGGAGCCGTTATTCAACCCCAAAGACGTAACTGTTGTCTGCTAAAAGGACTTTAAACCATAAGATTAATATGGTGTATTTGCAGAGAACTAATCCTAACAAATAAAAATAAGGTTCAACATATGGAACGTCACTTATTTCTTACAAACATACATTTCCCATAGTTATAGAAGGCCTCTGCTCTTCATCTGTTCACTCTTCACAGTGAACATGGGACACGTGTGTGCTGTGCTTAACAGCAGTGCCATAACTAGATCTAGTCAAATGGAAATGAGCTCAAAGCTACAATCCAGTGTGTTTTCCACATGTGCATCATGGATGTTCATGCACCATCCAAACCAAATAACACTGAACTAAAAACACAGAAGTCCAGAACACTTGCTCCTCAGGGACAAGGATCAGAAGGTAACAGAGAGTGAAGATGAGCATGCTCGTAGTATAAAAACTTACTGTGGTAGAGTAAAAAGCTAGAGAGCTACCGGTGTCGAAATGTCTTGACTTTTATCATAATTCCAACAGAGTGCCTTGGACTTTGTTTTTATAGTACAAGCAGGTCATCTTCACTGTCTGTTAACATTCAACTAAATTTGTGTCAGTTTCTGTTTCGTAAGTACAGAAATGACAGAGATATAAAGACTAGAAGACTGTAGGTGAATAGGGAAACATTTCAACTTGAAACTTGTATGTAGTTTAAATACATCAATGTAAGAAAACTGCAGTATCAGTTTTTCATTATGTAGTGTGTCATGTTGCAGACACCTGCAAATCATTAGAAACCACAGGGTAATACTGGACTCTTAACAGCCACATCAAATCAGGAACATCTGCGGCTTTTTACCACCTTTTTCCACTGGGAAAATCAAAGTTATACTTAAAGCAGTCTGAAGGAGACTTGGAGAGACTGATCCATGTGTTTGTCTCCAGCAGGTGAGATACTGTAACGGCCTCTCACTGTGACACAGCTGCAGTACATCCAGAACAACTCTGCTCCTGACTCGAACCAGGAAGTGTGAGCACATGTATCCTGTGCTCAGGTTTCTGCACTTCCTCTGTAGATTATTAATAAAATGCAGCTGATTCTATTCTATTCTATCTATTCTTCTTTTATATATTTTTTATGATAATACAATGTCATCAAAAGGGAAATCTGGCTCTTGTCCCCACCTCAGTGTATGACATCAGAGTGATGACACTGGATTTCACATTCATTTGTTCTTTTCATACTGAAGCTTGTGCAAATTTTGGACGTTTAGGTTTTGAATGAAATATCTGTTCAGAAAAGGAACAAAATGATTCCTTACACTTGTAACATGCTTTTCAGGCTTGTCGCAGCCGCTCAAAGTGTGACACTGAACTCATTATTCACACCATACAGGGTGGTGGTGAGATGTAGCCACAGCTGCCCTGGGACAGACTCATGCAAGTGTGGCTGCCAATCTGTGCCACTCACCCCTCTGACCACCACCAACATTCACACACACACACGCACACCCCACCCGTGAAGAATGTTACACTGACGACAAAGGTAAAGTAAAGTTTCAGTGACAACAGTGTGGCCTTGGAAAAGCCTCGACACTGATCAAATCCTTTGATTTGATTTGTGCTGACAGAGCGCTCGCTGAACTTTGTGCCACTTTGGTTTGGTCATGTGGTTAGGCCCATTTACACATGTAGAGCCTATTAATAATAAACCATCTGCTTTCTGACACTTAAAAAGCAACATCCTCAGCCTTTTGTCTGTAATAAAAAGCCTTATAGGCTAGCACGAAATGAAATCAAAAAGCCAATTTATGTATTTAATTGTTTATTTATTTATTTTTGTACCACGCTCACTTCCCAGCTGGGCAGGTAAGGATTATAAAATATTTCTGAGAGCATTTGCAAAGTTATGTAATAATTTTTGTAATTGTAATAATTTTTTGTAATGTTCATTTTGGTAAAAGAGATATGAGCCTAATTTAGAATTATGAAATGTAGTAGGCCTGTGTATTTGTACTATTTTTTATTATTATATTATTACTATAAGGTGCTGTACAAATAAGAGTGAGTCCAGCCAATAGGCCAGAAGTGTCTTACCGATGCAGTATGGGTCCTCCGTGCACCGACCGTCCACACTGGAAGAGACAACACAAGGCTTTATGCACAGGCCTATATACGTCTGTTTAGATAAAGTGAGTATATCAGCTTTAAACATCCATCCATCCATTTTCTTCCACTTATCCGGGGCCGGGTTGATGGGGCAGCAGTTTGAGCAGGGACTCTCAGACTTCTTTCACCCCAGACACATCCTCAGGGGGACCCTGAGGTGTTCCCAGGTTAGCCCAAAGACATAGTCCCTCCAGTGTGTCCTGGGTCTTCCCCGGGGCCTCCTCCCCGGTGGGACATGCCCAGAACACCTCCCGAGGGAGACGCCCAGGAGACATCCGGGACAGATGCCCGAGTCACCTCAACTGCTCCTCTTGACGTTATTTAAAAGGTTAAAAGGTTTAAACATTTGTATAATTATTACTGTATTGGTGGGATAGTTGGCCTACGTGTGCTAAATATTTATCTGATTTTTTTTTTTTTTATTATGCCATTTTCTTCTTTCCTCATCAGCTGTGTTTTGTTTCATTCGTGTGTTTAACACAAACTCTGCAGATTTAGGCTTTTTTAGTTTTCATAATTATTTCTTCTCTCAGACAGAAAATACTCACCTTGTGATGTCATGTGGTAATACAGGAAATGCTCCACTGTGTTTTTAAACTCCAATACGCCTAAAAAGTAGCTGTAAAACTAAAACTATGGCTTGAAGACATCACAACAGGACATCCCGCTAAGTTTTCCATGAGCTAACAGTTAGAACACGACTTTAAGGCAGGAATAATAAAGGAGGCCTGTATAAAGTGCGGGCCTAAATATAATTGGCCTAAGCCATGAGAGTTGGTGTCTGTTCCAAAGGGCGCCGCCTACGACGTGTCCCTTATCCGCCAGTGACACGCACGCGTTTTGCTTGATCTGTACCTGACTCGGTGCGCCTGGTTCGGGGTCAGTCCGCAGGGTGCCGCGCTGTGCGCTGAGAGCGTCCTGCTCTAGCGGCTCTAAACTCACCTGTTGTCCCTGTCCTTCGGCTCCTTCGGCTCCTTCGGCTCGCACAGCTCTGACTCCTGCTTCAGCTTCACTTGGGCCATGTTCCAGTGCGCCATGTGCGCGTTCACACTGCGCTTCGGACCAAACAGTGGCGCAGTCTGTTGGAGCGGCTGGAGCTGACGCCACTGCCGCAGCCTCCGTCTTCCTCTCTGTGGCTTCACGGCGGTGTTTGTCCAAAAGTGGCACATTACCTCCACCTACTGGCGCGTGAGCGTCTCCACAGTGGGGCTGGGATTTGCAGTTCCTCCAGTGAGCACATGATAGATACGGTACGCGGTACGCGGTACGCGGTACAAGACCAGTTCAAACATTTATTTTTCTTCTTTATTTCCAGTATTATTTACATTGTAGATTCTCAGTGAGAGCATCAAAATTATGAATGACACACATGGAAATTAGCAAACAAACAGTAAATCTCTTCACCCTGACACTGAAGTGAAAACTATTTCAGGAGACTTCATCATGACACTCACTGAGATAATACAACTGTACAATTGTTAGGATAAATAACTAGGTTTAGGTGGTGTATAACTACTGCTATGATGTAACTGATGTACTGCTATATTTTATTATTGTACTATTATAATTCACTACACAATGAGGCAGAAAACAGGGACTAGATTACAGCTGAAGGATGCAGAGATAGTTTCAGTTCATGTATAAGATATTCTATTTCTATCTATATGTCTAATCAATTAACTAAATAGGGCAAGGACTTATTGATAGGGCTATACTGACTCACGACTCATCACCCTGATCACACCAGCAGGACGCTCCTGTAAGAGGAGTGAGATGAATCCAGGGGATCCTTGTCACAATCAGCTAAGATTGTGCAACGTGCCAAGAGGCCTGGCTGCACCAACGAAGAGGCACTAAGTCTAAACCACGGTCGCCTCCCACTATAGTTTGTGTATAAAAATCATTATACAGGCATATATATTCAGTCTCTGCATGGAAATGTCAGCACAGACTCCTTGTACAAGAAGGACTTTGGAATAAGTAAATTATCTGCACTTTATTTCTGTTTCAACTGTAATTTTTTTATTTTATTTTTTTTGTCTAAGCAAAAACTAACGAACATGCAAGGAAAAGGGTTATTTTCCTCAACACAACTCATCCTTATGAAACAGAAAATACTCCCTACAACTGTACAACTCACCCATGTCACTGTTGCACTGTGTTCATCAGAACATTACAGTACATTGTTACCATGGTGCTTCCAAGGACCCCTGAGCTGCCTGAGAACACCTGAACTAAATGTCTAACAGTTAGTGAACTAAGGCTGTATCTGAAAATGGTCAAAAATACTTCTTCCTTGTCCTTCCTTCACCTTCCTTCTCCTTATCGCTGACCTCTGAGAGCATCATCATGAGGTCGACTATAAGGACCAAGGAGGAGGAAGTGCAGAGAGGAGAAGGAGCTGTCGCTGCTTTAGGTGGATCCAGATCCTCCAAACCAGCAGCAGGAACAACAGTCAGAAGTACAGACGCCCCAGCTCCACGACTGCACCAGCCTCAGGACAAATGTATATATACACCTTAACTCTTCATCACAACAGAGACGACGGAAACAAAGTGACTGTCAGTGTTGGGGAGTAACAGATTACATGTACTGGAGTTACGTAATCAGAGTACAAATTATGAGTAACTGTATTCAGTTACAGTTACTGTTTCAGTGAGTGGTAATTGGATTACAATTACTTTGTTGAAATAAATGGATTACACAGCGGTATTTTCCTGTTTTCATATTTTGGGATAAACCAGGACTAAAACCAGGACTAAACCAGAACTAAAACCAGGACTAAACCAGGACTAAACCAGGACTAAAACCAGGACTAAACCAGGACTAAAACCAGGACTAAACCAGGACTAAACCAGGACTAAAACCAGACTAAAACCAGGACTAAAACAGGACTAAACCAGGACTAAACCAGGACTAACCAGGACTAAACCAGGACTAAACCAGGACTAAAACCAGGACTAAAACCAGGACTAAACCAGAACTAAACCAGGACTAAAACCAGGACTAAACCAGGACTAAACCAGGACTAAAACAGGACTAAACCAGGACTAAACCAGGACTAAACCAGGACTAAAACCAGGACTAAAACCAGGACTAAACCAGAACTAAACCAGGACTAAAACCAGGACTAAACCAGGACTAAAACCAGAACTAAACCAGGACTAAACCAGAACTAAACCAGGACTAAAACCAGGACTAAACCAGGACTAAACCAGGACTAAAACCAGGACTAAACCAGGACTAAAACCAGGACTAAACCCAGGACTAAAACCAGGACTAAACCAGGACTAAACCAGGACTAAACCAGGACTAAAACCAGAACTAACTAAACCAGGACTAAACCAGGACTAAAACCAGGACTAAACCAGGACTAAACCAGGACTAAAACCAGGACTAAAAGGACTAAACAGGACTAAAAAGGACTAAACCAGAACTAAACCAGGACTAAACCAGGACTAAAACCAGGACTAAACCAGACTAAACCAGGACTAAAACCAGGACTAAACCAGGACTAAAACAGGACTAAAACCAGACTAAACCAGAACTAAACCAGGACTAAAACCAGGACTAAAACCAGGACTAAACAGGACTAAACCAGACTAAACCAGACTAAACCAGGACTAAAACCAGGACTAAACCAGGACTAAACCAGGACTAAACCAGGACTAAAACCAGGACAAAACTAAACAGGACTAAAAAACTAAACCAGGACTAAACAGGACTAAACCAGGACTAAAACCAGGACTAAACCAGGACTAAAACCAGGACTAAACCAGACTAAAACCAGGAAAAACCAGGACTAAAACCAGGACTAAACCAGGACTAAACCAGGACTAAAAACCAGGACTAAACCAGGACTAAACCAGGACTAAAACCAGGACTAAAACCAGGACTAAACCAGAAATAAACCAGGACTAAACCAGAACTAAACCAGGACTAAAACCAGGACTAAACCAGGACTAAACCAGGACTAAACCAACTAACTAAACCAGGACTAAACCAGGACTAAACCAGGACTAAACCAGGACTAAAACCAGGACTAAAACCAGGACTAAACCAGAAACTAAACCAGGACTAAACCAGAACTAAACCAGGACTAAAACCAGGACTAAACCAGGACTAAAACCAGGACTAAACCAGAACTAAACCAGGACTAAACCCAGGACTAAACCAGACTAAAACCAGGACTAAACCAGGACTAAACCAGGACTAAACCAGGACTAAAACCAGGACTAAACCAGAACTAAACCAGGACTAAACCAGGACTAAACCAGGACTAAACCAGGACTAAACCAGGACTAAACCAGGACTAAAACCAGGACTAAACCAGGACTAAACAGGACTAAAACCAGGACTAAACCAGAACTAAACCAGGACTAAAACCAGGACTAAAACCGGAAAAAACCAGGACTAAACCAGAACTAAACCAGGACTAAAACCAGGACTAAACCAGGACTAAAACCAGGACTAAAACCAGGACTAAACCAGAACTAAACCAGGACTAAACCAGGACTAAAACCAGGACTAAACCAGAACTAAACCAGGACTAAAACCAGACTAAACCAGACTAAACCAGGACTAACCAGGACTAAAACCAGGACTAAACCAGGACTAACCAACTAAACAGGACTAAACCAGGACTAAACCAAACTAAAACCAGGACTAAACCAGGACTAAAACCAGGACTAAACCAGAACTAAACCAGGACTAAACCAGGACTAAACCAGACTAAACCAGACTAAACCAGGACTAAAACCAGGACTAAACCAGGACTAAAACCAGGACTAAACCAGGACTAAAACCAGGACTAACCAGGACTAAACCAGGACTAAACCAGGACTAAACCAGGACTAAACAGGACTAAACCAGGACTAAAACCAGGACTAAACCAGGACTAAACCAGGACTAAACCAGACTAAACCAGGACTAAAACCAGGACTAAACCAGGACTAAAACCAGGACTAAAACCAGGACTAAACCAGGACTAAAACTAAACCAACTAAACAGGACTAAACCGGACTAAACCAGGACTAAACCAGGAACTAACCAGGACTAAACCAGGACTAAACCAGGACTAAAACCAGGACTAAACCAGGACTAAAACCAGAACTAAACCAGGACTAAACCAGAACTAAACCAGGACTAACCAGACTAAACCAGGACTAAAACCAGGACTAAACCAGGACTAAAACCAGACTAAACCAGGACTAAACCAGGACTAAACCAGGAAACCAGAACTAAACCAGGACTAAACCAGGACTAAACCAGGACTAAACCAGGACTAAAACCAGGACTAAACCAGGACTAAAACCAGGACTAAACCAGGACTAAACCAGAACTAAACCAGGACTAAACCAGGACTAAACCAGGACTAAACCAGGACTAAACCAGGACTAAACCAGGACTAAACCAGGACTAAAACCAGGACTAAAACCAGGACTAAACTTGAACTAAACCAGGACTAAAACCAGGACTAAAACCAGGACTAAACCAGGACTAAACCAGGACTAAAACCAGGACTAAACCAGGACTAAACCAGGACTAAACCAGGACTAAACCAGGACTAAAACCAGGACTAACCAGGACTAAACCAGGACTAAAACCAGGACTAAACCAGGACTAACCAGGACTAAACCAGGACTAAACCAGAACTAAACCAGGACTAAAACCAGGACTAAACCAGGACTAAAACCAGGACTAAACCAGGACTAAAACCAGGACTAAAACCAGGACTAAACCAGACTAAACCAGAACTAAACCAGGACTAAACCAGAACTAAACCAGGACTAAAACCAGGACTAAACCAGGACTAAAACCAGGACTAAAAGGACAAACCAATAAACCAGGACTAAACCAGGACTAAACCAGAACTAAACCAGGACTAAAACCAGACTAAACCAGGACTAAAACCAGGACTTAAACCAGGACTAAACCAGAACTAAACCAGGACTAAAACCAGGACTAAACCAGGACTAAAACCAGGACTAAACCAGGACTAAAACCAGGAAAAACCAGGACTAAACCAGAAATAAACCAGGACTAAAACCAGGACTAAACCAGGACTAAACAGGACTAAACTAAACCAGGACTAAACCAGAACTAAACCAGGACTAAACCAGGACTAAACCAGAACTAAACCAGGACTAAACCAGGACTAAACCAGACTAAACCAGGACTAAACCAGGACTAAAACCAGGACTACTAAACCAGACTAAACCAGGACTAAAACCAGGACTAAACCAGGACTAAACCAGGACTAAA